GGGGAGCGGGCTGAGTTGCTGTGCGAGGGGCCATGATGGGGTTGGGGCTGCACTGGTCGGTGAGAGTGCAGGCCTTGAGCCCAGTGTGGGCCGGGAAGAGCGAGGGCGAGGAGGAGAAGCAGAGCCAAGCGAGACAAGGTGCGCTGCCCCGATCCGACGACATCGCTCAACCTCTCGCAACCAACCATGAGCATCGACCTCGAGTGGAGCGCACTCGACGCCCACCTCACCCAAGCCTGCACCCGCTTCCTCTCGCACGCCTTCAACACGGCCCCGACCCCCGACTTCCTCGGCCCGCTCGAGGTCACCGCCTTCTCGTTCGGCGACGCACACCCTGAACTCACCCTCGTCGACATCCGCGACATCCAGCACGAGTTCCTCCACCCGCAACTCGACGACCCGGACCAAGCCGACGACGACGACGAGGCCGCCTTCCCGCTCCCCTCGCCTCCTCCCCTCGAACGCCCTCCACCGCCCGCCTGGCACCACTCGCACACCTACCCGACCTCGCCACCAGCCAGCAACAGTGGCAGGAGCCTCTCCGGCTTTGGCCCCCTCGGCGGCGGCGGCAGCGGAGGAGGACCGGGTCTCTTCTCGCCCGGCCTGCTTCACCACCAGCACCCGGGCGGCGTCGGCCTCAGCGCCCTCGCCGGTGCTACCCTCGGTGGCGGCTCAGCGTCGCCCTACGGCGGCCGAGGTGCCGGCAGCCGCTCGAGGTCCCGCTCGCCCGCCGCTGCACCAGGACGCGGTCGTCCTCCTCTCGCAGGCGGCGGTGCCCACCCGCTCGCCCAGCACGACCTCCACTCTCAGCACACCCACACCCACCCGCACTCGTACGCCGCCCCGTCCCCCTCGCCCTCCCTCTCGTCCCTCCCGCCGCTCCCTCCCCCCTCGAGCGCCCCCTCCCCGTCCTTCCAGGTCCACCTCCGCCTGTCGTACTCGGGCAACCTCTCGCTCGGCATCGCCACCGCCCTCCGCATCAACTACCCCTCGAGCAGCTTCATGAGCCTCCCCCTGTCGCTCACCTTGACCGGCCTCGCCCTCGAGGGAACCCTCGTCGTCGCCTTCGAGGGCGGCCGCCGCCGCGTCCACCTGTCGCTCCTCGAGCCCGACCCTTTCTCGTCCTCGACCGACGACCCGACGACGACGACCACCACCTCGCTCCCCGGCGACAGCCCGACCAAGCCGTTCGCGCGCCTCCACGGCGCCGGTTCGTCGAGGTCGACGACGCCCGGCGCGCGCGTCCTGCGCGCCGCCCACGTCGAGAGCGAGGTCGGCCAGGCCGACAAGCACGTCCTGAGGAACGTCGGCAAGGTCGAAAAGTTTGTCGTCGACGTCGCGCGCAAGACGCTCGAGAACGAGCTCGTGTTCCCGTGCGTCCTCTCTCTCTCTCTCTCTCTCGTTCGTCGAGTCCTGGTTCTCGCAACGACACGCCTCGTCGGCGTCGTCGGCACGAGTCGACGGCCGCATCGGCGAGACGGAACTGACACTAGCGTCGTCGCACCCTTCCACAGCAACTTTCAGACGATCGTTTTTTAGCCACTCTTCCTCCTCCTGCTCTCTCTCCCCTCCTCGACCGTTACCCCTCCCGTTGTTGCCATACTACGTCCTCCCATGAAGCCTCTCTGCCTGCTCGACGCGAGGAGCGTCGAGCGCGTGCCTGCCGAGCGAGAGCAAGAGAGCAAGAGAGCGAGAGAGCGCGCGAGCGAGGAGCGCACGGACCCGGCGCCGTTCTCGAGGCGCTTGGCTCGCCAACTCTCAAGACCGTGAGGCGCTACCGCTCTCGACGAGCAGAAGCGCGAGAGCTACTCGTAAGGGCGTCGCCGCCTGCGACGAGGAGCCCGCTCAGGCCTCGACTTGCTCGCTCTCGAGAGAGGGCCTCGCTCTCGCTCTTGGTCTCGCACTGTCGCTTGGGCCGCAGGCAAAGACGTCGTAGACAGGCTGGCATTGCAGATATGTAGGCGCAGGGTACAGGGCGCGACTGCGAGAGAGGAAAACACGAGGGAGGGAGGGGAGGAGGTCGGTGACGAACGGCGACATAGGGGAAGAGAGACGGGGACGCACCGGTCGTGTAGTACTCGGGAGCTTGGACGCGAGATCTGCGAGCGCGAGAGGGACGAGAGACGGCGAGAGGGTGGCGGGAAGCGTCCGAAAGAGTCGATGAGGAGTGCGAGGGAGGAAAGGGCGGGTCAGTACTCGTCTTTCGAGGCACTGAGTACGCCGTTGCTCCTCCTCGTCGGTCCCCGAGAATAGCGCCGCGCGGTACTTGTAATCTCCTTGACCGCGTCGCCCAAAGTACTTGCCCTTGACCTTCTTGACCCTGACGCCCTGAATCCCTTGACGACGACGACGACCTTGACCTCGAAACCAACCCGCCGACGACGACGACGACGACGACGACGACATAAACCTCGACCTGGGCAGCGCTTGAGCGCGAACATCTCCACGAACAAGCTCGAGAGCCGCTATGGCTTCTCGGCCTCCTTCTCGATCTCCTTCTCGACCTTGTAGACGAACTCGAACATCGCCGTGCACTAGTGCAGGGCGTTGTACATGCATAAAGTTCTTTTTGCATAAATAGGGACCGCCCGGAGGAAACAGCGACGCACCGGTAAAGCCGCGTGACGAAGACGAGCCCTGCGCGACGAGCGGAACCGCGTGAGCTCTCTTCCTGCGCGACGGCTTGGACGAAGAGAAACAAGGACGCACGAGTGTCGTGACCGTATAGAGAACGAGCGCGGCGGACGAGGCTTGACGACGTGCCGAGTCGACCACGAGCGGTTCTGCGAGCGGGTACGGCCGTCGCAGTCAGCGCCCGATCGGCACGCTGGATGCGTCGTCATGCTCTTGTCGAAGCGACCCTTCCGACTCGGACCACGAACGCGCGCTCGATCGAGCGCCGTCACGCCCGACCTGCCACGGCGTCCGCGGCCGCCCCACCGAGCCAAGATGGTGCGGTAGGTATCCACCTGCCCAAGCGGGACGACGCACCGGGAACAATAGAGAGGGCCAGGGAAACGCTGTGGGGCGGCAATCAGAGGTCAGTCGCGAGAGACGGAAGTGAAAGGAGGCGGTGGGGGACGGACCTCGAGCGCGCGCTGTTCCTGACCTGCAGGGAGAGTGCGAGTCAGCTCTTGCGGGCCCTCACAGCCACGAGACGGTGTCGGACGCACCAGGAGAGCCGTTCAGGAGCATCTGAGCGTGTTGCTCGGTCGAGACGAGATGACGACGTGTCGGGAGGCTTGAGCGGACGAGGGGGAGGGGGGCGAGAGTCAACTCGGGGCTGCCAGGGGGAGCACAAGAGAGAGTGAACGCACTGAAGAACAAGTCGGGGTGGGTCGCGCGAGCCCTGGTGGTGGCGGTGACGAGCTGGACGGTCGAGGTCATGCGGGAGGTGATGAGGACAAAGGCGGGTGGCGACCACGCGTGCCGGGGTGCGCGTTGGCGGGTAGCGGTCGACTTGGTCCAGGGTACGGCAGGTGAGCCGGCGAGAGGCTCAGCGAGGTGCCGAGGTGAGAGCGAGTGAGGAAGAGAAGCGAGAGCGGCGAGGAGAAGGAGCGGGCCGCTTTAACAGCGACGACGAGCTGCTCTCGATGACTTTCAGTCTCTGCGACCTCGCAAAGTCTCGAGTGAATGCTCGTGGTGGGACCAGGGAGCTATGAGCGAGGCAAACGCGGGTGCGGCAGCCGAGCAGTGCAAGTGAAAGCTACACCCCGGCCTCGACGCCCGCCAACTGCCGCTCGTCCTCGCCATCGTCCTCGCCGTCGGCCATGCGCTCGTCACCGTCATCTCCATCGCCGTCGCCCGGCGGAGCGAAGCACACCTCGATCTCTTCGAGCTCGAGAGGCGACACGTCCTCGAGGATCTCCTGCGCGAGGTCTGTGGAGGGCAGAGGCGGTCAGTGACAGAGCCCGACGGCACCACACGCCGAGCGTCGACCTGGAGAGAGGGAGGGGCGAGGAACGAGAGACGTACAGCCAAGTTCGCAGAGGACTCGCCGCTGCTCGCTCCCCTCCTCGGCCCAGCTCGGCATCCCTCCCTCGCCCTCGCCGTCCTTGTCCTCGCCCTGCGCCGAGCCCTCCTCGGCGCCGAACGTCGCAAAGCCGACCGTGCCGAGCGCGACCATGAAGAGATCGTTGACCGCTTGGCGAGCGTAGGCCGGTGCCGGGCCGGCGGCGTGGTCCTTGGCGGATCCGGCTGCGCCTGCGCCTGCGGCGGTCGCCGACGCCGAGGTCGGGCCGGCGAGGAGGTCCGAGATCGAGAGGGACGAGTGCGGCGCGAGCGAGAGGTAGTACAGGAGGTGCATCGTCGCCGAAAGCCGAGTGGTCGTCCTGCGCGGGCACGGCACGGTACAGGCGTGTCAGTAACGCCGAGCGACAGGACACGCAGGAGAGGGGTAAGCGATGACGTACCGGTTGAGCATGTCTCGCGCGGCGCTGCCCTTGGTCGCCTCGCGCCCGTCCCACTCCCACAGCGTGCGCACGTCCCGCCACATCTTGGCGAGCAGCTCGGGGACGAAGCTCGCCGCCTGCGCGACGAGCATGACGGCGTCTTCGTGCGCCGTGAGGAGGAGCGAGGCGAGGCTGAGGAGGGTGAGGTCGAGCGTGTGCGCCTACGAGAACGAGGACGAGTGAGCGTCGCTCAATCGCTCGACGAGGATCTCAAGAGCGAGAGGGGGACGCACAGCGGGAGCCTCGGCTCGAGGCATGACGAGAAGCGTCGCGAGGCGGTCGACGAGCGGGAGCTTGCTCGCGCGGATGTCGGGCGACTCGTAGAACTTGAGGGCGAGGAGCGTGCGGAACAGCGCCGGGCCTGCGAGAGGCACAGAGTGAGCGGGACCTCGTGCTGGGAAGAGTATGAGAGGACGTACGACAGGCGAGAAGGGCGAGTAGACGAGCGCCGCTGAGGAGGACGCCAACCGACTGGCTCGGGTCGAGCAGCGTCGCGACCGCGTTGGCCGTCTTGAGGAACGCCATGAAGCTGTAGGCGACCTCGTGAATCGCGAGTCGGTGAGTGCGCAACGGGCACGGGTGCACGACGAGGAAGAGAGAGGTGGACGCACGCTTCTTCGGCCGCCCTTCCGCCGTCGCCCTCCCCGTTCGCCTCGTCCGCCTTCCTCGACGCGAGACACCGCCACGCAACGCCCTCGAGCACGCCGAGCACACCCTCGACCAGCCGTGCCCGCTTGCCCGCCTCGAGCGGCACGAGCGCCTCGCCCTCCTTTTCCCCCTCTGCACCGTCCCGCCCGCCGCGCCGTTTGCCCCCACCGGCGCCCGCCGAACCCGCCGCACTCGGCCTCGCGATGCGCGCCTTGCGCGAGCGCAGCATGACGCCGCCGCCACCGCCTCGGGCGAGGAGCGCCGCAGCAGCGGCGGCCGCCCCGCCGGCGTGCTCCTTGGTCGCCGTCTCGGGGCGAGCGTACCGTGCGACGATGCGCGCGAGCAGCTGGACGAGCGGCTCGCCCTTCGAGCTTGGGCTCGGGGCCGTCGTCGTGGCGGCGGCGGCATCGGGCGGGGCGACGGCGGTGGCGGCGGCGCAGCACGAGTGCGCGACATGCGGGAACAGGAAGACGAGGTGCGACAGGAGGCGCAGGAGCGCCGTCATGGGCCCGACGAGCGTCGCGCGCTCGAGGACGCCGAGGAGCTTGGTGAGGGCGCGAGTGAGGTCCGAGGCGAGGAGCGCCGTCTCAAGGTCCTCGGGCCGGGTGCTGAGCGCGAGGTGCGGCGGAAGGAGGGCGAACTGGGCGGCCGTTGTCGGGCCCGTCGAGTGCGACTGTGACGACGACGGGTGCCCGTGCGGGTCGAGGCGGCGGCCGAGGAGGGCGAAGAGCTCGCGCGTGAGGATCTCGTATTCGGCGACGAGGGGAGGAGGGGTCGTCGAGGGGAAGCGCAGGTTCATCAGGGCGTGAAAGGTCGGGACAGGGCCCGATGGCGCCGACGAGGTGGCGGAGGTCGGCGCGTGGGTCGACGGGTAGCGCCCGCCGTAGGTCGACGCGGTCGAGCGCGCCGAGGTGCCGAAGCGCGAGCTGCTCGTCGCCGTGGCCGTGGCCGTTGCGCCGGTCGCCGTCGCGCGCCGCATCGAGTAGGCGTGCGCGTGCGGGTGCGCCGAAGGAGGGATGACGGCGGGCTCGAGGTCGAGGGGCGCGAGCGTCGTGTGCGAGAAGACGGCGGCGAGGAGCTCGCCGCGAGCGTCTCGATGCTCGGGCACCCACGCCCACGCCTCGCCGTCCTCGTCGTCACCCATCTCGGCCTCGCCGTTGGGCACGAGCGCCTCGCCGTGCTCGTACCCGCCGAGGTCCGTCTCGTCCGCCTCGCCGCCGAACGCGTCCTCCTCGACGAGCATGAGGCGCCCCTTGCCCTTGCCCGTCGTGTCTTCGCCCCTCCTGCGCTTCGACTCGAGCGGCCCGCCAGGCGTACGCGGCGCGCGTTTCCTCGGCGGGCCCATCGACCCCTCGCGCTCCTCCTTGTCTCCTTCCTGCCGCTCTGCCGCTCCTCCCGCCTTCTCCTTCGGCTTCGCGCCACCCGCCGCGCCTTTCGACGTCGTTGTCGACGGCCCGAACGCGCTTTGAAAGCCGGCGAACGACGGCGCGGGCGCGGGCGCTGGTGCGGGAGCGGCGCTCGCCGTGCGCGCCGAGCGGCGCCTCGCCGACCCGCCGCCCGCCCGGTCGACACTCGGGCTCGGCGCAGGGCCCGCTGCAGGACCCGGCGACGGCGCGGCGCTGGCGGCGCGGCTGTAAAACCTCGCGCTGCGTGCCGAGCTGAGGCCCGGGTGGTTCGGGTGCGCCGATGACGACGCGCCGTACATGCGCTGGCTCGACGCGCTGCCCGGGCCCGAGATGCCGGCCGTGGCGAGCTCTTGACGGCGAAAGGCGTCCTCCATCTTGAAGCGCTCGAGCTGAGTGCGGTACTCGCGCTCGCGTTGCTCGAGTTGCTCCTGGAGGAGGGCCTTGTCGCGCTGCTCGGCCTTGAGGGCGACTTGGTGGAGGGTCTCGGCCTGCGGGAGGGTACGAGCGAGTCAGGGCAGGGTTCTCCATGGACGAGGACGTCGGCTTGACCGGCTCGAGGGACAGGCGAAGACGTACCTTGCTCAGCCGTTGACGAACGACCGAGTTCTCGCCCGTCTTGGTCATGACCTGCCGCTCAAGGTCTTGCTGCATCTTCTTGGCGAGCGCGAGCTGTTGAGCGAGCTGTGCAACGATCGTGAAGTCGAATCAGTACCTCGAGCACAAGCTCGATAGCAACGAAGGAGGGAACGGTCGCGGCGCACCTGGTCCTTCTCGGCCCTCAAGCGCTCGAGCTCTCGCCGTTCTGCGTCCTGCGCCGCGACCGCCGGCCCCGGCGAGACAGGCGCGCCGCCTTGCTGCGCGACGACGGCCGAGTGCGCGTGCGCGTGCGCCGGCGCCGGCGCGCCTGCCCTCGCTCCACCCCGCACGCCAGGCGCGGCGACCGTCGTCCCACGCTGCGGCTCGGCCTTGTACCCGCCGCCGCCGTGCTCGTCGAACGCGATAGCGGGGAGGTCCTCGTCCCCCTCGTCCCGGCTGGCCGCCTCGCGCCCGTGGCCCGGCCCGAGCTCCCGGCCGCGCGCCGCCTCAGGCTCGGCCTTGACGGCCGCTGGCGTGCGAGAGCGTGCTCGAGCGGCGGCGGGCGCGGCGACAGGAGGAGGTGCGGCGGCAGGACGGCCGGCGAACGGATTGGGGTCGACGAAGCCGGGCTCGCCGGCGGCGTTGAGCGACTGGCGCGGGTGGCGCTTCGGCACAGGCGCAGGTGCGGGTGGAGCTGCGAGCGCTGGTGCGGCGGTGCGAACGGGAGGAGGTGCTGGTGAGGCGGCGGCGGCCTGGGTCGAGCGCGGAGGTGGTTTCGGCGGGCGCAGGATGCCCGTCTTTGGGGCCGGGCCGAGGTACTGCTGCTGCTGGGTGCCGCCTGGGAAGCTTGCGCCGCCCTGCGTGCCGCCTGGCGCGAGCTGCGACGGGCCCGGCGGCGCGAGATGCGGGGGGAGGACGGGAGCGCGTCGATGCTGAGGAGGAGGGTTGGGCGGGGGCTGCGCGCGTCGCTGTGGCGGGACCTGACTCGCTCTCGGTGGCGGGACCTGACTCGCTCTCGGTGGCGGCGGGGCTGGTACAGGCTGGGCGCGCTGCTGAGCCGGCGTGCGCGTGTCGAGCGACGCGAGCTCCTCGAGGGTTGCGTCGTCCCACGCGAGGTCGTCGCCAAACTCATCCTCGGACGACATGGGGGCTTACTCAGAGTGGTGCGGCCTGGCAGCGACGTGCGGGCATGCGGGCGAGGGAGCGGTGAAGAGACAGGGAGCTCGAGGTTGACTTGCGGGTTCGACGAAGAGATGAGAGCGCTCGCTCGCACACAGCACGCCAAGCGACTCGAGACTGCACAACAGGGTCGAATGCAAGCTCAACGACTCGGGCTGTAGGTACAAGTGCGGCAGGAGAGCCTGACGCCGCCCTCCTCTCCTCCGTCTCTCCGAGTCGCTCCTCCTCCCCGAAGCTCAGCCGAGCACCTCTGGCCCCTTCTTGCTCTTCTTCTTCTTCTTGTTGAACGTGCGCCAGTCGTGCACTCGGTCCTCCCTTGTCTCTGCGGGCGAGTGGGCGAGAACGAGTCAGATCCGGCCACTGACGACGACGGACGGCTCGCCGCAACCGCACGGGCGGCGACCGGCCGACGTAGAAAGGGAGAAGCCGTCGACGCACCTTCCCATCGCTCCTTCTCCTCGGCCTTGCGCTTGCGCTCGACGAGAGCGTCCTCTTGCCGCTTGGCCTCGGCGCCCTCGGCGATCATCGTCATCTTCTGCAGCCTGCGAGGGTGAGGGCGCGAGTCCGTGTCAGGCAAGCTTCGCATGAATCCTTGCGATCGTTCTGTTAAGAGAGTGGCGCGGGAAGGGGGCGAGCGGCGAGAACGGACGACGCACCTGCGCTTCCTCAGCTCGTCGTCGATGATGATCTCCTTGGCCTTGCGCTTGACGCGCTCCTTGAGGTCTGGGTCGCGCATCTTTGGCGGGCGCAGCAGCTCGTGATCGTCGGGCGCGTCTCGAGGGAGGCCGACCTCGCGCAGGACGAGCATGCGCGCGTCCTTGAGCGTCTCGTCGAGGTTCTTGCGCTTGGTCGAGTCGCCGAGCTCGACTTGGGCCTGCGGAGGCGGGCGCACTCGGTCAGTGAGGGTGCTCCAAGACGGCAGAGATGCTCGGGGACGCACCTTCTTGAGGAGGTCGAACGCCTCGATGCCTCGCGGGTGCTTGAGTTTGTCCGGGTGGATGAGGAGCGACTTCTTGCGGTACTGGCGCTCTGCGGATCGGGACGGAGGATCAGCTCGACTCGGTTCAGGAGAGTAGAGCTGGACGCACGGATGTCCTGGTCGGTGACGGTGGCTGAGGGCATCCAGTCGAGGTCGAGGATCTCGTACGGGTTGAGCTTGAAGGCGGCGAGGACGCGCAGGACCTGGGTTAGTCTCGGGAAGGGTCAGTGTGAGGTCTGGAGAGGGCAGGGAGCGGGTGCGCACCTCTTGTTCACGCGAGACGAGCGAGGCTTCTTGGTTGAAGATGCGGTCGAGTTCCTTGTCGTCGAAGAGGGCGACGTCGTCCTCGAGCTTGACGGCAGGTTCCTTGCCCTTTGCAGACATGGCAGTAGAGCACGCACGAGCGCAGCAAGGGCGGTCTCGAGCTGAGGGAGGGAGTTAGCGGACCGAGGAGAGTTCATCAGGTCGTCGCGTCGTCGACCTCGTCTTCCTCGTTCCCACTCAGTGCGAGTGAGGGCCATGCTCGGCCCTGATGCACGGCGACCACATGGGCTGTACCCGCCGCATCGCGCTCCCTCGCCCACCCCGCGCACGGCCACCCACCCCTCCTCCCTCCGACACCGGCTCCCCCACAGCCTCCCCCTCCTCACCGTCAACACCCCCGCTCCAGCACCGCAGAGCTACATCAACACTGCGCCACCGCCACGATGGCGCACCCGCGAGTTCCTCGCCTACTACGCCGTCTTCCTCGTCGTCGTACCGCAAATGGTCCTCGCAGCGTGCCGCACCACTCGTCGTCCGTCCCCTCTCGCTTCTCTGCCCTGCCGTGGTTACCGGGCTGACAACCCTCGAGCCACAGCGACGACCAAGCAGTACATCAAGTACGGCCACCGCCTCAGCGACGGCTGGCTCCTCGGTTGGCGAGTAGTGCGTCGCCGCCTCTTCCACTCGCTCGCGCGTCGGTCACCGTGCCTGCCACGCGGGCTTCGTGTTGATCGTGTAACACTGACACTTTCCCGTCGCCCAGGACGTGACCGACGCCCAGTACCACCTCTTCCGCTCTCACCTCCCCCTCCTCGTCCTCCTCGCCCTCGTCCACCTCGCCTTCTCGCACGCCTTCCGCCTCGTCCTCTCGCGCTTCGTCAATCCCTCGACCTATGCGCCCGACTCGCCGAGATACTCGACCGCGAAAGCGCGCACCGCCCGGGCGCGCTTCCTCGCCGTGTTCGCGCTCGTCCTCCTCGGCGCCCTGCACGGCTCGAGCCTCCCCAAGGTGCTCGCCATCCTCTGGATCAACTACCGCGTCGCCATGCTCGGCGGTGCAGGGCAGGGTGGAACAGCGGTGAGGCGAACGGCGGCGGCGCTGAGGTGGTGGAGGAGAGAGTGGGCCCCGTACGCGACCTGGATCGTCAACCTCGTCATCCTGTTCGCCAACGAGCTCTGCGGCGGGTACCACTACGCGTCCCTGCACTCATCTCTCGCCTGGCTTGTACGTCCAGCTCTCTCTGCCCATCTCAGACTCGACGATCGAGGCCCCGACTGACGCGCTCGCACCCTCCAGGACGACTACGGCGGCCTCCTCCCGCGGTGGCACATCAGCTGGAACATCTCGATGCTGCGCCTTATCAGCTTCAACATGGAGTACTACTGGGCGTGCGGCGCGCGGCAGCAGGCGGCACTCGGCGAGGGCTCGGTCCTCCTCGAGACGCCGACGAGCCCGATGGAAAAGGTGCGGGCAGGACTCGCTCGCCTTTGTCACTACTGCGCGCGCAACTTGTCGTGCGCCTGTACTGACTGAGGTTGCACCTGTCCCCACAGGCGTCAACCCGCACCCGCACTTCTCGCACCTCCACCTCGGCGCCCGTACCCGACCCTGCGCCCTCGGCCGGCAACTACACCTTCTCCCTCTACCTTGCCTACGTCCTGTACCCTCCCTTGTACCTCGCCGGCCCCATCATGTCGTACAGGTCATTTGTCGGGCAGCTCGCGCCCGCTCCTCCTTCGCCGACGCCATCGTCAGCACTCGGCGCTTCGCCGCTCCCCTCGCCCTCGAGCGAGGCCCCACCTTCCTCCTCAGCGTCAAACTTGGCCTCGCCTATCGCCGCACCGCCGCTCCCGGCGTCGTACCGCGAGGCCGACGAGCTGCGCCCGCTCGCGCTCGTCCTGTACGCCGTCCGGTTCGCGGCGTGCCTCTTGACGATGGAGCTCGTCCTGCACTCGATGTACGTCGTCGCGCTCAAGGACTCGGGCAAGGGCTGGTGGGAGGGCTTGGGCGCCAACGAGGTCGCCATGGTCGGCTTCTGGAACCTCATCGTCGTCTGGCTCAAGGTGCGTCCTCCTTTTCCCCTCACTCTCGCGATCCTTCCCTCCTTCCTTACTCTCTCGACCTCTTTCGCCATACTCCCTACCTCTCGTCCTTCGCGCACAACGTCCTGATCCCTCTTGAGCCTGTCTCGTCCGCCCGCAGCTCCTTCTCCCGTGGCGCCTCTTCCGCCTGTGGGCCCTCCTCGACGGCATCGTCCCGCCCGAGAACATGGTGCGCTGCATGGCCAACAACTACTCGACTCTCGGCTTTTGGAGGAGCTGGCACCGCAGCTTCAACGTGTGGATCGTCAGGTGCGCCCTCTCGCTTTCCCCTCTCTCTTTCCCTCCTCTTTCCTCCCTTCCCTCCTCTCTCAGCCCAACGCCAGTCCACCTTTACGCCCATCTCGACGTCACGAGTAGTCCCAGCCCCTTCTCCTTGAAGCGTGACCTGACGCTCCCCATCGTGCTGCCTCGCAGGTACCTCTACATCCCGCTCGGCGGCGCGTCACAGCCCGTCCTCGCGACGCTCGGCGTCTTCACGTTCGTCGCCCTGTGGCACGACCTGCGCCTGCGGCTCCTCGTGTGGGGCTGGGGCGTCACGCTCTTTGTCCTGCCCGAGATGGTCGCGAGGAAGGTCGTTCCGGCGTCCAAGGTGCGCCCGGCCGCTCTCTCTCTCTCCTCGTTCGGCTCGTCGATATTGACTCGACGAGTCGAGGCGGTTGGTGTGTCACGAAACGATGACTGACGCTCTTGCGTCCCGTCCCTCCTTCTTATTCCACTCGCCCTTTCGCCTTTCTCCTCTCCCGCTTGCTTTCCCGCAGTTCGGCGCCAAGCCCTGGTACCGCCACCTCGCCGCACTCGGCGGCGTCTTCAACGTGCTCCTCATGATGACGGCCAACCTGATTGGGTTCGTCGTCGGCGTCGACGGCGCCAAGGCGCTGTGGACCGTCATGCTCGGCGGGTGGGAAGGTGCGTCTCGCATCTCTCTGTGTCTCCTTCGGCTCGCTCACGCCTGTCGCTGTGCATGAGACTGATAGGCCGCTCGGATCGCGCGCAGGCCGGCTCTTCCTCGTGTTTGCGAGCGCCTGCCTCTTCGTCGGCGTCCAACTCATGTTCGAGTACAGGTGCGCCCTATCCTCCTCTCTCTCTGTCTCTCTAGCCTCTCTCTGTCTCTCTAGCCTCTCTCTTTCAGTGGCACGTCACTGACTGTGTCCTCGTTCTGCAGGGAGGAGGAGCGACGGCGCGGGATCTCGCGCAAGTGCTGAGGGCAGGGACGAGGGAGGGGCCAACTGTACTCTTCTCGCGCATTCGCAACCCCATACAGCATCTTTCCTCTCGTGCGCTCAAGAGAGATTCTATCGCGTTGTTCTCCTTGCTCTACTGCTCGTCGCCCTCGCCGTCCTCGTCCTCCTCGACGCCCTGCACCTCCCACTCGCCCGCCACGTCCCACCTGCTCGCCGGCGCACGCGCCGAGACGTACTTGACGAACGCGAGCACGCCCGGGTCGCGCAGGACGAGGTGCAGGCGGTTCCACTCGGGCTCGAGCGCGAGGAGCGGGCCGTCGTCGTCCTCCTCCTCTGGCTCCTGCTCCTGCTGCTCCTCAGCCTCGCCCTCTCCCGACGCCGGCGCGTCCTTCTTCTCGGCTCCAGCACCGCCGTACGTCGCCTCGTCGCCGCCCTCCTCGTTGGCGAGCCAGATGTCCCACGCGCCGACGTCGCCGGCCTCCCACAGCGCACGGTCCGCCTCGTCGTCGCACCTCGGCGTGAGGCCGAGGCCGACGTCGAGCTTTGCGCTCGCGCCCTCGTCGGCGGCGGCCTCGCCGCGCGCGAGCGTGTAGTCGAGCCCGGGGCGGAACCGGCGCACGGCGGTCGTGTACGCCGTCGGGAGGAGCGACGTGAGGCTCGCGAGGAGGGCCGCGAACGCCGACGAGGTGAACAGGTCGTGGACCTGGAGGAGGAGGTCCGAGAGCCGGTCCGGCTTCGACGTGCGCGACGTGCGGTCGGCGGCGAGCGACACGAAGCGCTGCAGGTGCGGCGGGCCGACGACCTTCCAGCCCTGCTCGGCGTCCTCGCCCGCGTCGTGCGGCGGCACCTTGTTGGTCGTGCTGCCGCCGACGACGGCGGCGCGCCGACCTCGCTCCATGTCGGCGTCGCGCTCGCGGATGAGGCGCTCGAGCTCGCCGGCGAGCGTCGGGTGCAGAAAGTCGGCGAGGACGAGGTGCGACGATTCGCAGAACGAGGTACGCAGGTGCGAGACGACCTTGGGCGTGAGGTAGGCCGGGTTGATGAGCGGCGTGAGGTAGGCGACGTCGGCGGGCGAGGGCATGGTCGGCAAGGGAAGGGGGAGGGGAGAGGCGTAAGGCGTGGCGGCCGAGAGGGTCGTCGCGTACTGCGGTCGTCGCTCGCCACGTTAGCTCGTCCTGCGAGAGGGGGGAGGAGTACGAGAGAGAGCGAGACGCACGAGTTGCTGCAAGCTGCTCTTGGCCTGGAACCCCTCGCTGCCCTCGAAGCCCTCCTCGCCCTCGACCGGCTTGTGGAACCAGCCGCTCAAGCTGACGCGTGCGCCGACGCCGCCCTTCTGCTTGTCGCCCTCGACGACGACCTCCTCGACCGAGTGGAACGAGTGGCCCGGCTGCACCTCGAAGAATACCATCTGGTTGAACGAGGGCTGCGAGTGCGGCAGGTGAGCGACAGGGCGGGAGGGAGGAATGGCGATGAGGGGGACGCACCGGAATGACGACGGACGGCTTGGCGACGGGGACGTTGGGGCGGTCCGGGTTCTCGTCGTCGGCCTCGAGGACCGGGTACAGCTCGAGGGCGCCGCCCCACTGCGAGCAGGGAGCAGAAGGGTCAGTCGCGTTGGCCGGCCGAGGGAGAGAGGGAGGGACGAGGGAGCGGGGCGCACCTCGGGTTGCCACGCAGGCTCGTCGAGGACGAGGTAGAGGATGAAGCTGATGCGCCTCGTTCCGATCACGTCGTCGTGGTTCAACAGGTAGCAACCCTCGGTGTACTCGGCGCATGACATGTCGGTCTTGGTGCCGCTCAGGGGGCCGCAGCCGGTGACGTCCTGGAGGAAGGTGCGGAACTGCTTGCTGTAGATGGCGTCGCGCAGCTCGAGGAGGGTCGGGAGGACGGCGAGCTCTTCGGCGGGCAGGCCCGACAGGTTGCTGAGGTCGCCCGTCTGGTTGATCTGCGGGGCGTGCGAGGGGTCAGTGAGGGGGTTCGAGAGAGAGGAGCTGGTCGAGTGCGGTGCACCTTGTCTGCAAGGGGAGGGAAGGAGGGTGAGCTGCCGGTCGAAGGAGAGGGAGAGAGGGAGGGAGGAGGAGCGCACAGATGTCGGTCTCCTTTTCGCGGAAGCTGAGCTGGGTGGTGATTTCGTTGCGGGCGCGTTTGATAAAGTCGTCTGTGAAGAGCTTGTTGATGACGGCGTGCTTGTACGGGGTGCTGTCGTGGTGAGCTTGTCGCAGGCGGTCGACGTTGGAGGGGTCGAGGAGGGACGGGTGGAAGGGGAGGTCGGGGTCTGCGACCTTTTGGCGCTTGGGTGCGGGCTCTGCAGGAGGCGGGCTGGCCATGCTCGTACAGCCGAGTGCGAGGTAGAGCGCTGAGAGAGGAACGATGAACGTCGAGCTGATGAGAATCGCCCGCTCTCGACTCGCTCGAGAACCCACACGGCACCTGCTGCACCGAGCCACATGCAGGCTCTCTTCTGGGGCGAGTCAAAGCCCACCCACCCAGACGCCCAACCCGCTCAACCCGCCGTCGCCTCTCGCCCTCTGGCCGCCAACTCCAACTCGCTCGCCGGCCGCGCCATCGTCGTCAGGTGCGCCAGCCTGTCCTTTCTCGGTCCAGCGGGTCGCGACGCACTGCAAGGTCGCGCTGCAGCTGCGTGCCGCCCAGGAACGGCCGCCGTCGCCGACTCGCTATCGCCGCCGCCCTCCTCCCCACTCGGACCCTCCGACCGCCGCCAGCTCTCGTCCCCCTGCGCCCAGCGAGCAGTCACCTGCGCCAGCACATCGAGCAAGTCTGACACGCTTGCCCCCAAACCCTCGCAGTGGTTGCGCATCCGGCATCGGCCGCGCCGTCGCCCTCCAACTCGCCGCAGCCGGCGCTCGACTCGCCCTCACCGACAAGGACGCTCACGGCGGCCGCGACCTGTGCGGCGACATCAAGCAGGCCCATCCAGACTGCGACGTCGCGTTCGCTGTTCTCGACGTCACCGGTCCGTCCCCCGTCCTCTTCTCCCCCCCTCTCCCGACCCTCGCGCTCGCAAAGCTTACAGCCCCACGCCCGACCACAGACGAGGCGAGCGTCGGCAAGCTCATGCGCTCGTTCAAGAAGACGTTCACCCGCCTCGACGGCCTCGTCAACTCGGCCGGCATCAACCTCCCCTCGCACGAGACGCACCTCGTCCAGCCCGACCTGTGGGACCAGACCATGAACACCAACGCCCGCGGCACGTTCGCCTTTTGCAAGTACTTTGCGGCGGCCGTCGTCGCCGACGAAGAGTCGGTCGAGCCGCCGACCGGCGGCTATTCGGTCGTCAACGTTGGCAGCAACGCAAGTTTGAGCGGGTACGCCAGCAGCTCGGCCTATGTGCGTCCCTACTTCTCTCTCGTGCCTCTCTCTACTCGCCCGGTGACTCGAGAATTGACTCTCGGTGCTCCGCAGTGCGCGTCCAAGCACGCCGTCCTCGGCTTCTCGCGAGCCATGGCCAAGGAGTACGGGTCGCAGCCGATCCGGGTCAACGTCGTCGCTCCTGGTGCGTCCCTCTCTCTCTCTCTCCTCGCCCTCTCCCACACCGTGTCGAGCACATCTCTGACCTGCACCTCCTGTACGTCGAACGCAGGCCCGATCGACACGCCGCTCCTGCACGCCCTCAGCGACGCATCCGAGACGAGCCTCGGCGAGACGCTCTCCCAGGTCCCGCTCGGCCGCATCGGCCAGCCCGACGAGGTCGCCAAAGTCATCTGCTTCCTCCTCGGGAGCGATGCGAGCTACGTTACGGGCGCCGTCATCCCGGTCGACGGTGGGTGGACCGCCTGAGCGAGCTTGGGGCGCGCGCTCTCGTCTCGGTCGTGTAGTGCCGTCTCGTTGTTGTACTCGTTGTCAATACAAGCCTCTGTCATCGTCTACCAAGCCTGCCCGGCGCGCAAGTCCGCCCCTGCTCCTGCTCCTCCCGCTCCTCCCTGTCCGACCGTCGCAGCAGGCCCGACCGTCGCTGCGCCCGCGCCGCCCGTCCCACCGCCGCCGCCGCCCGTGAGCCACGACTTGAGCCCTCCCCAGCCTTTGGAGGCGGCTGCTGGCGCAGGCGCAGGCGCCATCGCCACCGGCGCGGCAAGTCCCGCTCGAACCCCTCCCAGGCCGAGCGCGCCGCCGCCGCCACCGCCGTCGTCCGGGTCGACCGTCGCCGGCTGCATCTCGAGCTCCCGGTGCAGGGCTGCAGATCGGGCTGCGACAGGGGCGAGGGCGGGCGCGTGCGGCGACAGGACGTGCGAGGAACGAGCCAAGTTGGGCTGGAGGAGGGACGGGTTGTGGACGGGTTGAGGTTGAGGGCGCAAGTGCGGGTGCGGGTGTGCGTCGTGATAGACATCTGCAGCGCCGGAAGAGTCAGTCAGATCTGGAAAGGACGAGGAGGAGAGAGGCGCAAGAGAGGAACGGACCTGCAGCACCCGCCGCCGCCAACTCTCGCTCCTCGCGCTCTCGCCGCTCCCGCACCGCTTTGACGTACTGCTGCGCGCCCCACGGCAAGTGCCGCAGCTCGGGCGGCGCGCCATGATGCGGGTCGGGCGGCGGGAAGGCGCTGAAGCCGGCCGTAGGCCGTTCGGAAAGGCCATGCCAGACCGCGCCGCCGCCGCCGCCGCCCCACGCGCCCGGCAGCGCACCTGCTCCATGCCGCACACCCGGTACTGCCCATCCTGCGCCGCCTCGACCCGCAGGAGCGCCCCATGCCGCCGCGCCCGGCGCCGGCCCGCCGAAAAGCGGCTCGTCGTCCCACCCTGCCCCGCCGTTCCCGCCGCCGAGGCCGCCGAGCGACCCGCCGAGCGTGCCCCAGGGGCTCGGCGCTGCGGCCGGGCGTGCAGGGGCGGTAAAGTGCGCGTATCGGGCCGGCTGCGGGTGGTGAGGTGCGGGTCGAGGCGCGTGCGACAGGACGGCGGGGACGCCTTGCGCTCGAAGCTCGTAGACCTGCAGGGCAGAGTGGAACGTGTCAGTTATCCCGCGATTGTGCGAGGCGGGCGCGAGCAGCGAGAGGAGACGCACGTAGCCCGCCCTGAGCAGCTCTTCCCCCTCGACGTGCACGAGCCCGCTCTCGTCAAACTCGACGAGCGCGTTGGCGCCGAACTCGTCGATGGCGAACATGGCGAGCTCGTCTCGTAGGCGCTTGGACTCGTCCTCGACGATGAGCTGGGCCGTGCGGCGGTCGTCGGCGGTGAGGGTCGACAGGTCGGGAAGGCCGTCGACTGGCAGGGAGAGCGTGATGGGCGCGTCGGCCGCCGAGACGAGGGTCGTAGCTGTGTGTCGAGAGGTCAGTCTCCTGACGAGGGCGTTAAAGGAGGACGAGGGCGCACGGTTCGGGTCGGCGGCTGTGAGGTGAGGAGGTCAGTGCGCACTCGAGGACGACCAGGACGACGATGAGGGAGACGCACTGAAGGTGAAGCTCTTGATCTGCCGAGCGAGCTGGTCCTCCTTGATCCTCGGGACAGCGCCCGGCAAGCTTGGGTGCTGCTGCGCTGCGGCTGCTCGTGGACGAGGCAAAGTAGGTCAGTGGCCGCGCGGCGCGAGGGGAGAAAGCTGAGGACGCACCGCCAGCCTCGACCTCGTCTTCCTCGTACGGCCCGAACCCGTACTCGGCCCGCTCGTCTGGCCGCATGAGCTCGAGAAGGTGCCGATTTGCGTCGTCGAGGCGCCAGAAGGCGGGATCGTCGAGGAGCGACAGCGGACGGTTGGCGAGTGTCGTCGGGCGATGAGGAGGGCGCGGTGCCGAAGAAGAAAGGCCGAGGGCGTGCTTGTACTCGAGGAGCTCACGGCTGCGAGGGAGACCGGATGGTCAGAAGACCGTCGTGAGGACGGGAAGGGCAGAGGGCGGTCGACGCACCGCCGCCGGTCGGCCAGGTCGGCGAGGTGCTTCTCCTGTGCGCGTACGAAGCGTCAATGCGTGAAAGGTGGGCGGGCAAGGCGCGGAGAGAGGCGACGCACCTGCTCCTTTTTCTTCTCGTCGAGCTCCTTCTCCCGGATCGCGAGCATCTCGAGCGCCGACCACTTTATCTCCTTGCCGACCACCTTCTCGCGCTCCTCGACGTGCTTGGAGGCGTGCGCCTTGTCGTGGAGCGCGATGCGCTTGTCGGGGGTCTGTGCGGCGAGGGCGTCAGTCTTGCGCGTCGGCGCAGAGGGCGAGACGAGCCCGCACGTCGCCGGTGCGCTTCATCTCGAGGCGTACGACGTCGGCCTTGAGCTTAGCGAGGCTGTGGAAGTAGAAGAGTCGGCTCGTCTGAGAGAGTGCGAGAGGAAGAAGAGGGAGACGCACTACTCGTCCTTCTTGTCCTCGCGCTGTTGACGCGTCTGGTCGACGAGCTGCCGCCGTATGAGCTGCCGTTGCTCTTTCTGCGGAAGAGAGGCGTCGTCAGGTACCGCGAGGCAGGAAAGGGCGCGAAAAGGCGAGCGAGACGCACCCCGACCTCCTTGGCAAGTTTGGCCTCCTCTCGCGCAACCTTTGCGGCTGCAGCCCTCTGTCGGTACGACGAGTCAGTGTGCCGTACTCGAGAGTCCGCACGAGGCGAGGCGGCAAGCTCACCGCTTTCTCCTCCTCGACCCACCGTTGATGCACCTCGGGATGCTGCCTGCGCGACGCGAAAGTGATCAGCACGGGCCTGCTGCACCGAGAAAGAGGAAGAGACGCGAGGGACGCACCAGGTCTTTGCGCCCATCTGCCAGGCGAGCGGCATGTTGGACGAGAGCCGTGAGAATGAGCGAGGCTCGAGCGCGAGGACGCCTCGCGATCAAAGCAGAGCGAGCTGCGCCGACACCGCCTGCTGCGCGCGAGGGGCGAAGGTGGCGTCGAGGCGAGAGAGCGAGAGCGAGAAGCTGAAGGCGAGCGAGAGACGAGGGAGGACAAAGCGATCGGCGAGGAGGAACGCCGAGGGCGACGACGGTCCGCCGGCGGCGACAGGAGAGGGTCTGAGAATAATGCGAGGGAACGAGGTTTACAACAAGGAGGGAGGGAGGCGGTCGCGACGCCCGTCTATGCACCGCGACGACTAGCTCGCCACCTCGACCAGTCCGCCACGCCAGCTGCGAGAGGGGAGGGAGAGAGGGTCAGTGACCGCTCGACGACGACGACGACGACGATGACGAACGAGGAGAGGGAGAGAGAGAGGACGTACTACTTGACCCGCAAGCCGGCCATGTGCGAGAACGTCGACGCGTGCGTGCCGACAAAGCTCCTGCCCCTCGCGAGGATGGCCGCGTCGAGCATGGTCGGCCACCAACCGCCCATCTTGCGCTTGGTGTCGAACGCGTCGTGGTCGAGCACCTTCCACCCGAGGGCGCGCACCTCTTGAACGAACGGCGTGTCGCCGCGCTCGTCGGTCGTCGTCACGACGGCGTAGTCCTTGGCCGACAGGCCGTCGAACGTGCGGAACGCGAAACGCCCGGGCCCGGTCCAGTCGTACGGGTTGTCGAGGCGGTTCTGGAGGGCGGCCTGGACGCGCTCGAGCGCCGAGACGTACTTGTCGAGCGCGGTGAAGCCCGTAAACTCCTTGAAGTCGCCTCGGCGCAGGTGGATCGTGATGAACGGCGGGATCTCGCTCGCCCGGCTGACGCCGAACAGCTCCATGAGGTAGTCGTCGGCGCGGCGCTCGACCTCGCGGTTGAAGCGCATGTACTGCCCGGCGTGGACCCAGTCGAGGCCCTCGCCGGGGACGGTGGGCTCGAGCGGGACGGGTTCGAGGTGCGGTTCCTGGAACATGACCGACCCGATGAAGAGCGAGTTGTCGAAGCACATGAGTTGGTGGTCGGGTGGCGCCGCCGAGACCGTGTCGAACCCGTCCTTGAGGTTCTTGGCCTTGTCGCCCTCGAACGGCACCTCCGGGTCGACGGGCGCCTTTTGCGGCAGGACCTCGCGCCGCACCTGCTCGATCCACCGCGTCTTGGCGCCGACGTCAAAGTCGAACATGCGCAGGGCGTCGAACGCGACGTCGAAGCCGCCACCGCCGCGGGCGAGCGGCGGCAAGGGCCAGTGGTCGACCCAGACGTCGTGCAGGTCGAACGACCACGCCTGGAGGTTGGCGAACCCGATGAGGAGCTCCTGGATGGACCAGCACGCGAGGTGCTCGTTCTGCGGCCGCTCGCTGCGCAGGTCCATCGGCTTGACGTCGGCGAACTGGACGGCCGGGATGCGCGCCTCGGCCCAGAAGCGCCCGAGGTCGTAGAAGCTCGAGATGTTCTCCGGGTTGCCGTCGATGTGGATGGGCATGAGGGAAGGGCTGCACGAGGAGCAACGTCGTCAGTGACAGGGCTCGGAAAGGGCTCGAGAAGGAGGAAGGGAAAAGACGACGCACATGATGGCGACGCGCCCGGTCACCTTGGCAAAGTACAGCATCTTGTTTATCGAGATCATCTGGTTGGCTGCAGGGGGGGCATCGCGCATGAGTTGGCGGCTTGAGAGAAGGGAGGCGAAGCGAGGGACGCACCGTGACCGCCGTACGCCATCGTCGCGACGTAGCGCAAGCCCGGCTTGAGCTGCTCCTTGATCGTCGGCCGTGACGTGTTGTAGTTGAGCACCTGTGGGTGACAAAAAGGGTCAGCGTGCGGCGCGAGGGAGACACAGGCGAGGGAGGAGAGAGGAGGACGCACCAGCAGCGGGTCGAGCGGCTCGAACTCGAAATCATCGTCCTCGACCGTGTCCTGCCCGTTGTGCCACCTGAAAGCCGCCCAACGATCTGCCACCGACTGCTGCACGAGCTCCTTGGCGCTGCGCAGCTGCTCGAGGACCGGGGCGTCGCCGAGCTTGTCGGACGACGCCGCGCCGAGGACCTTTACGAGGACGGCGAGGCCGACGAGGCCGGCGAGGAGCGCTCGCCGCGAGACGCGGCGCGTCAGGCCGCCGAGGTGCGCGAGGAGCGGCGGCGACTTGGCGGCACTGTTGGTCGACGGCGACGAGGGGAGCAGCGGCGAGCCGGCCGAGTGGGCCGAGGTCGAGCCGCTGCGGTACGCGCGCTCGAGGTCGGCGTCCTTGTCGTCGGCGTAGGCGCTGTCGCGCGACGGGAGGTCGTACGCCGAGTGGTCGCGGCGGAGCGAGCCTGGTGCGGCGGCGGACGAGGACGAGCCGAGGTCGGGCGTCGAGGGGAGTGTGGCTGGGCCCGAGGGCGAGTGGGGACGCGTCATGGTGGATGCTGAGCGCGGCACGAGTGCTCGGCGATGCTCTGGGCGGGTGTGTCGAGGTGGGCGAGGATGGGAAGTGAGGCGGGGACGAGTTGCGATGAGGCGGTTGCCGAGCTGTCGAGGCGGCTGGCGGGGCTCGAGGGCTGTAGGCGACGCGCTGCAGCTGTGACCTGCACAGCAAGAGGCGACTGCTCGAGGACGACAGCGGCGAGGGTGCGGCTAGCTCAACCTCCTCGCACGAAACTCCGCCGTGGTCGATTGGCGTGTCTCTCCCCTGGTCGTCCCTTGAGCTGCTCGCTTGCCGGTTGCAGCACTCTCGTAGACAGTACTCGGCGTCCTCGTGGCCGAACCGCTCATGTTGCACCGGCCTCCAAAATCGAGCCGACTCGGCTGCGCTCGAACCCGCCCTCGTTTCCTCGAGCTGTCGCCCGTCCTGCAGGCCGACGCGGACCGCCCACCGAGTCGACGCCGTCGTCAAGGTGCCCTCGCGACCGCCCGCCTCGGCGGGTAGACCTCCCACAGCCCAATCTTTGCCTCCTGCCCGCCCGTCGCGAGCCACGCCCGCCTCGTCCCGCCGGCGCGGCCCGCACCGCCCGCCACCTCGTCGTCGTCGTCGTCGTCGGTAGGACAGTCGCTGAACACGGGCGATGGTGCTGTCGGGTTGAGCGGCGCAAAGGCGGCCGCTTGAAGCGACGTGCGGTGGTGGCTAAGGACGGCGAGCGGCTCGAGCGTCTTGGCCTTGTAGAAGCGCGCCCTGCACCGACGAGGGGCTCGACGTCAGGGCGATTCGCGCCGAGGGGAACGGGACCGAGGAAGCGGGACGCACTCGCCGTCCCACCCTGCCGTCGCGAGCACCTTGCCGTCCTCGCGCACGACGACAGCCGCCTTGCCCGCCGACGCCGTCAGCTCGGTGTGTGAGCGTGGAAGGCCGGCTTCTGCGTCGTTCTGCGCGGCATGTACAGCAGGTCAGTCGGCGTGCGTCCCGCGCGAGAGAGAGAGAGAGAGGGCAAGAGAGAAGAGGGGACGCACGGCGTCGACGAGGCGGTAGGCCACCATGTGGTGGTCGGCGCCGACGGTGTAGGCGAAGCGTTGGTCGGCCGTGACGGCGAGACTCATGACTGCGAGAGGGAGCAGGATCAGGCAACGTCCGGCACGAGGGAGGGAACCACGAGGGGAGGTCTTACTCGCGTCCCGGTGGCCCTTCTCGACCCAGACGAGCTCCCACCCCTCGCTCTCCTCAACTCGAACGCCTTGTCGAGGAAGGTAGAGAGGCGAACGCGACCGCGCAGGTGCAGGCGAGGTTGACGGGGTCGGGACGAGGTCGAAGGTGCGGGTGGGCGCGAAGCGGAACAGGGCGAGCTGGCCCGACTCGTAGGCGATGAGGATGTGGAGGAAAGGTGGAGGAAGAGCTGCGTCGGCCTCGGTGGGGAGCGCCTGCTCGGCGACGGCTGGTCGAGGGGGACGAGGAGTGTCGGGAGACGCGAGGTAGAAGAGCTGCGTCGCCATGACCGTCCCTGAGTGAGCAACGTGTGAGTGGCACTCGAACGGCGTGGAAAAGGGGCAGGACGTGTCGGCGCACCCGTCTTCTGCCCGACGAACGCGCCGGCGCCGACCGAGCGATGCGCTCGAGCCTTGGAAGGATAGTGGAAGATGTCGACCTGCGCAGACGAGGCAAGTCAGCACTCGCCCACTTCGGGCGATGCAGAAGATGGTGCAAGAGGATCTGTGACGCACAAAGTCGTCCTTGGTCAAGCTCGGCACCGCGACCAGGGCCTCCTCGTCCGGGCGGTCCTGCTCGACCGCTCGCTCTTTGCCCTTTGCCTCGCGCGTCCTCCCGCCGACGAGGCACACGCTCATGCGGCAGAAGCTCATGGCGTTGACGTCGAGCGACCAGGCGCGCTCGATGCCGGTTGACGGCGTGGCAGGCGACGGGACGGCGGTCGCTGCGCCATGGTCGGCGATGGACGACGCGTCGGTGCGGGAGGGAAAGCGATGCAGGTGCAGAAGGTTGTCGCGGCCGTGACTGTGTGCTCGCAATAAGAGTCAGTGACTATGGCGAAGCTCGCGGCGAGGGAAGGAGAGGAGAGAGACGGACGAAAGGAGCCCTTGATCGCCCAGCTCGACAAGGCCGAGGATGCCGGCATCGTGCGCGCGCCAGAAGTACCGTGGCCGGAAGGTGGACAGGTCCCACACGGCAACAAAGCCGTCCGTGTCGCTGTGGGAGAGGGCGGGTCAGGTCGTGGCTGTCGGTTGGACGACGAGGAGGGGGCAGACGGACCCGCTGAAGAGGTATTGGGCACAGCGCGAGAAGCCGAGGACCGAGATGGGTGCGCTGTGCCCTCTGAGGATGTACTCGGGGGCAGGTGGAGCGAGAGTGCCGCCTCGGGTCGACGACGAGGACGAGGCAAGGGAGGAGCGCGAGACCATCGAGGTGCGGCGAGGCGGGCGCTGCTCTCGGTCGAGCGCACACAGAGCAAGAGCTGGAGGAGCACGCTGTGCGAGTGCGGCAGAGCGAGGGAACCAGGCGTCGTCGTCGTCGTCGTCGCTTGACATCTCGCCGGTCCCTCTCTCCTCCACTCTCGTCAACAGCTGTTCGCCAGTACAGCACATCGACACGCTCAGCTACATGGCTCGCGGCAACCCCAGAGGCCGCACAGGCGCACACACCGACTCGTCCGCTCGCGGCTCCCCTCGAGGTGGCTTCCGAGGTCGAGGACGCGGCCGAGGTGGCGCAGCCCCAGTGCGCGTCGACCACTCGATGGCGAGCTTCGACTACGCCGACTTGATCAGCGACGACATGCTCGGTGAGCCCACCCTCTCCCTCTCTCTCTCACCACCTTCCCCCGAGCCGCACGTTGACCTCATCGCTCCCGTCCCGATCGACAGGCTTCAACCCCTCGCCCGTCTTCCAGCCACCTGTACAGCCCGCTCAACAGCCAGGCTACGGCACCCCGACTCGCGGTGCCCGTGGCGGGCCGGCGAGGGGCGCGCGAGGTGGACGCGGCTCGCCCTTCCCGCCTCGCGGCGGCGGCAGTGCGCCCTCGAGCGGCCGCGCGACGCCGACCGCTCCTGCGCCGTACCCTACCCGCGGCGGCGGCGGCTTTGGCGGCGGGCGCGGCGGACGCGGCGGACGCGGCGGGCTCGGGTCCGGCTTGGGCGCCAGCGACCGCGGCGGGCTCGGAGGACGCGGCGGCATGAGGGGCGGCGGGCGCGGCGGGGCCGCCTACAGCGGCTCGTCGACGCCCCGTCACGTCGTCGGCATGAGCTCGGGCGCGTTCAACCCGCTCCTCGTCCCCGTCAAGTTCGTCAAGGCGGCTGGCGACGGCCTCGGCACGGTCGGCGGCGAGGACGAGCATGGCCTCGAGCTCGCCGGCGCAGCATCGCCGCCGCCTCCCGCCCGCGAGAAGCACCTGCCTCGACACAGCGTCGAGGGTGCGCTCGCCGACGAGGTGGGCAACCTCGACCTCGGCGCCGACGCCGACGCCGCCGAGCACGACCTCGCACCGCCTCCTCCCGAGACGGCGTTCGAGCCCGAGCCCGCCACGACCGCCACCATGGCGCTCGACGAGCTCGAGGACGCGCCCGACTCGGCCGAGCCTGCGACGCACCCTGGCCTCGGCTCACGCGCCAGGAAACCTGTCGAGCGCGCTCCGCCTCAAGCACCCGTCGCCGTCGCGCCGGCGGCCCCGTCTGACGACGACGACGCCGCCGAAGACGACGATGACGACGGTGCCCTCCTGTTCGAGATCTCGACCACCGCGTCGGCCGTCACCGTCGACCTCCCCACCTCGATCGCCCCTCCCGCCGCCTTCGCCTCGCACGACCAGTCGACGCCCCTCTCGTCCGACGCGTCCGACTCGGACTCGGAGCAGATCCTCTTCCCGCGTCGCGCCCAGGCGCACGCCGACCCGGTCTCGTCGGCGCGCGCCCCTCCCGCCGCCGTCCCTCGTCCCGCCGCCGACCTGTCCCTACTCGCCTCGAGCTCGACGACCGCCCCCGCCGCCCCTGCCGCGCGCTCCCGCACGACCCACCCGTCGCAGCCGGCGCAGCCGGCCAAGCAGAGCAAGAAGGCGCTCAAGCGGGCGTCGCGCGCGGCGAGAAAGACGGGCCGGGCGCACCCGAGGAGCGGCAACGCGCACCTCGCCGGGCACGGTCCCGGGCGCACGCTCGCCGACTCGGACGACGACGACGAGGGGGACGAGGAGGCGGGCGCGGCGAGGGAGGAGCGCGCGCAGGACCGCGAGGACGGCGCGGCGCTGTTCGCGCGCATGCAGGGCGGCGGCTCCGAGGGCGTCGACGACATGCTCGTCGCCGACAGCGACGACGAGCCCGAGCAGGTCGACGCGCAGGGCCACGTGCCCGGTCAGCCCCGCCAGGGCGACAGCGACATCGAGTGGGGCTCGTCGTCGCCGCCTCCCGTCGGCCCCGCCGGCGCCCGAGGCCGCGCCAAGAAGGCGGCGCAGCGCGCCCAGCGCGCCGACCAGCGCGAGCGCGACAAGCTCGAGCGGCTCGTCGCCGCCGGCTCGACGCGCGAGGAGGTCGAGCTCGCGCTCGCGCTCGAGGTCAGTGCGCGCGAGGACGACGAGCGCCGGCGTGCCGCGAGGGAGCACGAGCGCCGCAGGGCCGAGGACGACTACCTCGCCAACGTCGACGTCGGCGACGAGGGCGACGACAGCATGGCGGTGCTCGCCGCGTTCGCCGAGGGCGCGGTCGGGCAGCTCGGCGGTGAGCACGGGCGCGGCGACGATGCGGATCGGCGCATGGCCGAGGACGAGGACGACGAGGACGAGTGGGGGACGTCGAGCGAGGGTGGGTCGTCGTCGGCGAGCGAGGAGGAGGACGACGATGAGGACACGGAGGGAGCGCAGGACCGTCGGCTCGCGCAGGAGGAGGAGGACGACAGCGAGGAGCTCGGCTCGGACGACGAGCTCGAGATGGAGTACTCGCTCGGCGACGCAGATGGCCGGTCCGTCCAGCCTCTCTCTCCTCGTTGTCGTTGACGCGAACTGACCCTGGGCGTCTCTCGCAGTGTCGAACACTCGCTCTCGGTCGACTCGTCCGACGACAACTCGTCCATCGACTCGTCCCTGTCGTCGTCGACCGACTCGGACGCCGAACTGTACGCGTTCGAGTCGGCCCTCCTCGCCGGCAAGAAGATCTCGATGCAGCGCATGGGCCCGGCCGGGTCCGGCGGCCGTAAGGACGAGCGCGAGCGCAAGAAGGCGCGCGCCCGCGAGCGCAAGGGCAAGGGCAAGGCGCACGTCGTCGACAGCAGCAGCAGCGACAGCGACAGCAACGGCGACGAGGTCATGTTCACCGGCAACGACTCGTGGGCCGACCGTGACGAGGACTACATCTCGCAGGTCCAGGTGCGCCCGACCTCTCCCTCTCTCTCTCTTCCTCCTTCTCTCGATACGCGAACTGACTGTCCGCCTCGTCACGCAGGCCGCCGTCCGCCTCAACGCCGACCTCCTGTCGACCGCCCAAGGCGGTCGCGCCGCCCGTCGCTCGAACCGCCGCGAGCGCAACAAGCTCTTCACGGCCATCAGCCAGGGCAACTTTGACGACATTGACCTGTACGATGAGGCGGCCGACCTAGACGAGGACCTTGTCGAGGCCATGTTCGCCGAGCAGGAGGAGGCCGGCTTCGGTGAACGTGCGTCCCTCTCTCTCTCTCTCTCTTTCCCTCGCGGCCTTGTCTGTCCCCACACGTACTGACACCTTTTCTCCCCATGCGCTCGCAGCCTCGAAGAAGCAGCGCAAGAAGGACAAGACGTTCAACGGCGCCTTCTCGCAGCAGCTCGCCGCCCAGTGGGACCTCGACCGGTCCAAGAAGGCGACCAAGAAGGCCAAGCGTGCCGCCGAGCGTGCCGCTGCTCGCGAGGCCGAGTTCCGCGACACGTACCGCGACAAGGCGGGCTCGTACTCGCGCGGCAAGGCCGGCGCCAAGTCGCTCGCGCGCTCGGGCGACGACGACGACAACGACGCAGCGGCGATCAACACGCGCATGCGGCACTTTATCGTGACCGACCTGAGCTCGACGTCCATGTCGCTGCCGCCCATGGCCAAGAAGGCGCGCATCGCCGTGCACCTCCTCGCCGAGGTCTATGGCCTCAAGTCGCGCTCGATGGGCTCGGGCAAGAACCGGTTCCCGGTCCTCGAGCGCACGTCCAAGACGACCGTCGTCGGCGTCAGCGAGCGGCGAGTGCGGGCCATCGTCGGGACAGCCGACGGCGAGCACGAGCTCGACGGCATCGACGACGACTGGGGTGGGCCGAGGGGCAAGGGCAAGTACCGCGGCAAGGTCGGCGGGCTGTGGAAGGCGCTCGAGGGGGCGTCGGGCAAGAAGAGCGGTGGCGGTGGTCGCCGGGACCAGCTCGGCAAGAACTCGGAGGGCGCCGTCGTCGGCCAAGGGGTGCGTCCACCCTCTCCCTCTCTCTCTCCTTCTCTCTCTCTCTCTCTCAGCCGCCCGGACTGACTCTCGCCTCTCCTCCCTCTCGTGCAGGCGGACAAGATTGGCGAGGACAACGTCGGCTTTGCGCTTCTCAAGAAGATGGGGTGCGTCGCTCGCTCCCTTTCTCTCGTCGTCGTCGAGCGAGCCGAGAGCTGACCTTGCGCGCCTGCGCAGATGGACGGTCGGCGGCCAGATTGGACTTTCCGGCCAGGGCTTGCACGAGCCCGTCGTCGCTCGCGTCAAGACGGTGCGTCCCTCTCTCGCCCCCGGTGTGCGCGTGCAGCTCGGCGTCTCGGTCGAGCTCCCTCGAACCTTGCCATCATGGCTCGGCGACGCAGAGGCTTGGCCTGTGTCTCCGCGCCTCGACGTACCTGTGGACGGCGCGCTGACACTCTCTCGTTGCGCATGCAGGGCAAGAGCGGCCTGGGTTTGGGCGGAGGGTTCGCGGTCTCGAGGGACGAGGCGTGGGCGTTGGCTCGTGGCCCAGAGTAGATCTCGCTCGCTGTTGCTGCACACACTGTCTACGCGAGCATCGAGCAGAGCCTGTCGATGCGCAAGAGAGAAAAGATGCCGAGGCGGGCGAGAAAGGGCCTCTGACGACGAGGTTGGACGAGGTAGAGGAGGAAGTTCGAAAGGGTTCGCCTCCCGCTCCTCTGCGGCCACCTCTCGACTGCGACCAGCTGTACGCTAGACCCACGACCACTACCCTTGACGACCTCGACCACGCCCCGCACGCCTGTACGACCCGCGAGCGACCGCCCCCTCTCCGCTCGCCCACCCTCGCTCCCCTCGCAGCAGCCAGCCTTCAGCCACTCGCGCCGCTCCACCTCGACCACCACCTCCCCACCCAGCCAACGACCATTATGGCGACGGGCCACAACGAGCGCTCGTCGTCTCGCCCTCTCGCGGCCCCCGTCCCGGCTCCGTCCTCGGCCTCGAACAACAACGCCTCGTACCCGCCCGACCCGAGCCCGCCCAGGGCCGTGCACCCGGCCTACACCCAGTCGATCCCTGTCCCCGCCGAGACCGACCCGCTCGCGTTCGGCACCTCGCCTCAGCAAGGCGGCGACGGGTTCGCCGCCCACGACTTTGCCGGCCACGGCCGCGGTCACCAGAGCGCGTACGGCGGCGTGCACGACCACGATGACGGCGGCGACTACTTTCCGGACGAGCCCTACACGGCCATCCCGCTCGGCGAGCCGTCGTCGTTCGTGTCGCCGCACGGCCAGGCCGGCTCGCTCGACATGAGCGAGGACGGCGGCGACCTGTCGCGCTCGATCCCGCGCACGAGCCTGTCGACGCACAACTCGCGCACCCAGCTCCGCAGCGGCGTCGCAGGCGGCGCCTACCTCCCGACCGGCGTCGACGGCGACCCGGAGAAGCACCTCGACTCGCGTCCCGTCCACGCCGGCCCCAACGTCACCATGGCGCCGCTCCCCGACACGGGCGACGAGCGCCAGTCGCGTCGCGCCGAGCGCCAGTACGGCTCGGGCGAGAAGGGCGGCAACGGCGGTGGGAGCGCGCCCGGGAGCGGGTACAACACGCCGCGCTCGCGCAGCCAGGAGCGCTCGCGCGGCGGCGGGCTCGGCAACTGGGCGGGCCCCGGCCAGAACAACTCGCCGTACGGGCGCCTCGGCGACTCGAACCAGGCGAGCGGGTACACGTCGGCCGCGAGCAGCAACCCGAACCTCCAGTTTGCCGACGGCGACTTCATCCCGACCAACGGCAACTGGTTCTCGCGCGCCTTCTTTGCCGTCCTCAACTCGCACTACATCGTCCGCTGGATGTGCGTCCACCCTCTCTCTCATTGTCCTCGCCGGTTCCCTCTTCGACCCGGCCAACGACTGACGATGCCCTCTCCCGTACGCGCTCCACCTGCAGCATCTACATCGTCCCCGTCCTCGCCCTCCTGTGGATCCCCGGCATCGTCCAGTTCACGGCCAAGCCCGACGCCAAGGTCTGGTCGGTCCCGCTCAAGTGGTGGTCGTGCTGGTTGACGGTGGTCTGGGTCGGCTGGTGGGCCGCCGCGCTCAGTGCGTCCCTCATCTCTCCTCTCTCCTCCTGCATGACCGAACGACCGGAGCCCTGACAACCCTCTGTTTGCGCAGGCGCCCGCATGGCTCCTGCCGTCCTCACCCGCACGCTCGGCATCGTCGCGCCCGAGCTGCGCCACTACATCGCCTACCTCAAGGCAGTCCGCTTCTACGTCGGCCTCGCGGGATGGGCTCTCGGTGCGTCTCGGCCTTTCGCGTCGTCGTCCAAGCCGCCGTCTCGAGACACTGACTCGCTCGGTCCCTCGCCACGCAGCCATGTGGATCTCGTTCTTGCCCCTCGTCAACGGTCGCGCCGTTCGTGGCTCCGACGGCACCGTGCCGTCCCAGTCGACGCTCAGCCTCATCACGCAGGGCCTGTTCGGCATCTTCCTCAACCTCGTCATCCTCCTCGTCGAGAAGCTCATCGTCCAGATCATGTGCGTCAGCCTCGCCTTCTGCCTCTCGCACACTAGATTCGCCGTCTAGTGTACATTGTCGGACACGGTGACTGACCCCTGCCCTCGTCCCACAGTGCCCACAACTTCCACAAGCGCTCGTACGAGGACCGCATCGTCGAGCAGAAGTTCCAGATCTCGTCCCTCATCGCCCTCTACCTCAAGTGAGCTCGTCTCAGCCTCCTCCGTCTCGTCGAGACGACGACACTGACCATCTCGCCGCACCTACAGCTCGCGCGACATCGGCCGGTCCGACACGCTCGACGGCGCCATGGGCCGCCCGCGCAACAAGCGCCAGACGTCGGACCCGACGCTCCTCATCAAGAAGGCGCTCAAGGGTGCGCAAAAGGCCGCCCAGACGGCGACGACCGTCATCGGCACCGTCGCGAGCGAGATTGCCGGCGAGCGCGTCCTGCAGCCCAACTCGCCCCCGTCGATGGTGACGAGTGCGCTCCAGAGCGCAAACAAGACCAAGCAGCTCGCGAGGCGCATCTACTACTCGTTCGCGCCCAAGTACCGCGACGGCATGGTGCTCGCCGACATCTCGAGGTGCTTCAGGTCGCGCGAGGAGGCCGAGCGGGTGCGTCCCTCTTCCTCCTTCTCATTCGCCTCGTCTGCCTCAGTCCGGCCGACACTCACACCTTGACGTCCTCCACCCGACCTGCAGGCCTTCGCCATCTTTGACCGCGACTCGAACGGCGACGCGACCCTCGAGGAGGTCGAGATGGCCTGCCTCGACATCCACCGCGAGCGCCAGGCTCTCGCCCGCAGCATGCGCGACATCGACTCGGCTGTCGGCAGGTGCGTCCCCTCTCTTCCTCTCTGTCTCTGTCTCGCGCCGACGTTTGGGCCGCCCTTGACGCCGCGCGTCTTCCCTTTGCAGGCTCGACAACATCCTGATGACCGTGTGGTACATCGTCGCCCTCTTGATCGAGGCCGGCCTCCTCAACGCGAGCTTCAACACGATGATCGCGAGGTGCGTCCCGTGCCGCACGTCGTCCAGGTCGTGCGCCCCAAACTGACACCGAGGTCGTCCCGCAGCGCCGGCACCTTCATCCTCGGCCTGTCCTGGCTCATCGGGACGACGATGCAGGAGATCCTCGCGTCGATCATCTTCCTCTTTATCAAGCACCCGTACGACGTCGGCGACCGCATCTCGATCGACGCCGTCGACTACATCGTCCTCGAGATGCACCTCCTGTCGAGCATCTTCAAGAAGGTCGACGGGACCGTCACGCAGGCGCCGCACTCGCTCCTCAACACCAAGTTCCTCCTCAAGTGCGTCCTGCTCTCTCCCTCCCTCGTCGGCGAAAGAGCCTGCGCCTGACGAGCGCCCTCTCCCCCCCTTGCAGCTACCGCCGCTCGGGCCCGATCTGGGAGAGCTACACGTGGGACGTCGACTTTGGCACGCCGCTCGAGAAGATCGAGGCGCTGCGTGCGCGCATGCTCGAGTTCCTCGAGCAGGAGCGCCGCGACTTTATCCCCGCCATCGACATCAGCATCGTCGACTTTGCGTCGCAGGGCAAGCTCACGCTCTCGGCGCCGATCAACTACAAGAGCAACTTCCAGAACGGCGCCCTCAAGACGCAGCGCCGCAACAAGTGGATCGTCAGCCTCAAGACGGCGCTCGCCGAGCTCGAGATCTACGGTCCCGCCGGCGCCGGCGACCCTGCGCCGGCCGCCGCCGACCCGGTCCTGTACACCCAGGTGCCGTGGGACGAGGTCAAGGCCAAGGCGGCCGAGGCGGCCAAGGCGGCCGACAAGACGCACGAGGATGCGCGCGAGCACGACCCGGCGTTCAAGCGCGCGAGCGGGTTCGCCGAGGGCTTCATCAGCCAGCGCGAGGTCGAGGACGAGGAGGCCGGCAAGGGCAACGGCGCGCTGCGCTCGCGTGCTGGCGGTGCTCCGCCGGCGTCGTAGAGCGGCGGCGCATGCCCGTCGAGCGAGGACGGGATCAGGAGGAGCGAGTCGAGGAGGCGCGAGCGGGACCGGGAGGAGGAGAGGGAGGGCCCAACAGACACTTCGCAGGAGACGCTTGATGCGCTCTTCGATGCGCGCATTTGCTGCATGCACATAGAGCTTGACCAGTCCGCGTTGTCGAGCTCTCGTCGCCGTGAGCGAGGAGGAGAGGTCCGAGAGGTCGGCGAACGACTCGAGCATCCTGCGAGCTTGGCTTTTCTCTCGAGGCTGCTGGTCACGGAGGCTGCAAGAGCCTTGTGTGTACGCGCAAAGCCTCGCCAGGAAGCTGCGCCGACGAGAGCGAGCTCGTCGTTGTCGCCCGGCCCCACCTCTTCCTCGTCTCGCTCCTCTCAACGCTCACTCGCCCAGCTGCGAGGCAGAGTATGCCCGCGATACCGCCTGCGCTGCACGCCTGGTACCGCTCGAGCTACCCGACGCTCCAGTTCAACCCCGAGTGGCTCGAAGCCTGCGTCGAGTACCTCCAGGTTCGTCGACCTCTCTCGCCTCGGACACGCGTTGGGGGAACCTCGTGCAGCTCGCCGACTCACCCTTGACCACACAGGAGTCCGATCCCGCCGCATCCACCACCCCGGGCCTCATCAAGGCCGTCGAGGTCCAGCTCTTGTCGTCCGACCTGTCGACCTCGGTCTGCCTTCCCACACCCCCAGCACGCCGCGCCGCCCTCACGACTCGCACGCCTGCGAGTGCGCACACGATCCTCTTTGCCGGCGTGCGCAAGGGCGCCGTCCTGTTCCAGGTCCAGCGCGTCAGCGACGCCGCGCATTCCGCCATCCAGGGCAGGGAGGTCTTCGAGGACAAGCGCGAGGTGCGCAAGCTCGCCGGGAGAGAAGGCGACGGGCGCATCATGAGCCTCGACGAGGAGGAGCAGAGCGACGCCGACAACAAGGACGCCGTCCTCCCGGCGGCCAAGGCGCCCGTCTTCCCGCGCGGCAACGGCAGCTTCCTCCTCACCGACGGCGAGACAGAGGTCAAGGCGTTCGAGCGCGAGCGCATCGACGGGCTCGGCCTCGAGGACATCAAGCTCGGCACCAAGGTGAGCTCCTCTCGACTCTACCTTGCGCTCTCCCTTGCGCTCTCCCGTACCGTGTGCGAGCGAGCCCTGACTCTTTCCGCGTCGCAGCTCCTCGTCCACGACGTTCCCTTCGTAAACGGCATCCTCATGCTCACGCGGGACAACACGGTCGTCAAGGGCTACCAGGTCGAGGAGCTCGAGGAGAACAAGGAGTGGTACCTCGAGAACGATTTTCGCGAGCGCGTCGGGTGCGTCCCCGTCTCACTCTTCCTTCCCCTCAACGTCGTTCTGTAGCGCATGTTGTCCTTGGACAGGGCCTGACCCGTCAAAATCGTCGCAGCATGGATCCCCTTCCTCCTCCCGGCGTCGATCTTCCTCCCGCCGTTGCGGCAGCAGGCGCCGGACCTGCCCAAGATGCCGACATGGTCCCGCCTGCTCGCAGCCCTCGCCCTCGCCGCCGCTCGCCGCCTGTCGCTCGTCCTGGGCCGCCGCCGAAGCAGCAGAGCCCATCGTCCGACTACTTTGGCGACGACGACGACCTCCTCATGGCCGCCGCCGATGACGACGAGGAGGAGGCGTTGCGCGCGATGGAGGAGGAGGCCATGGGCGCGGCCCGGGCTGCGCCGCCGACGAGGAGAGGCGCCGCATCGGCGCAGCGGGTCAAGCCGGAGCCGCGCTCGAGCGGGAGCCGAACGGCGCCAGCAGGTGCGGGAGGCACGACGGGCCTCAGCGGGCAGGTCGAGGTGCTCGAGCTCGACTCGGACGACGACGAGGAGCCCGTCGTCAAGCGCGAGGCGGGAGGAGCGGGTGCGAGTGGGCGCGCGAGGCCGGGCCCGGCGCCAGCTAAAGGGGGCGGCGCAGGGGCGAGGGGTCGTACCACGGTGCTCGAGATCGACAGCGATGATTGAGGCTTTCCATCGTCTCGATGCCGAGCGTTCCTTCTCCCGCGCGAGCGAGCGAGTGAGTACCGAAAGCCCGGGTCCGAGCGTCGAGGTCGGCGAAAGCTCCTCTCGTGCTGCCGATTTTTCGAGCAGCTCACGTCGTCTGAGCCATTCCTGTCGCCTACGAGAGTGCTCCACTCGCGTTGCACGAGACGTCGTCGACGACGTCGAAGCTGCGAAAGCATCCTCCTCCTCGGCGCCTTGCTCCGCTCGCACCTCGTTCGCACCTCTGCCACATGCTCGAGACTCCCTCACATCTCTGCTGAGCGCTCTAGCTGCTGCGTGTCTTGTTGCCTCGCGATGGTCGGCTCGAGGGAAGTGCGCGAGCGGAGCAGGCTCGAGCGATCCAACCTTGGCGTGCTTCGCTCGTGCGCGGGCTTCCGTGTGGCGCGCGACCGCTCGAGACGATTTGACGGCTCTCGCTCTCAGAAAGCTCTCGCGAATACTGCTCGCTCGAGAAGCCATGGCGAGCTCGACGAGATTTACAGAATCGCGCGAAACAGCCACACGGGTGCGGTCGGGCTCGGACGAAAGAACGACCGCGAAAGTGAAGCTCCCCCTCGCACCGAACAGCGCGAGCCTTGCGAGCTGCGTGGCGGGCGTAGTCGACTCGCGCGCGAAGCTTAAGGGCCTCGCCGCCGCCGGCTGGCGAATGCAGCGTCGTACGCTCAGGCTCGAGGAGCTTTTCGACGTTGAGGTCGAGAGCGGCTCGTCGCGGGCTTGAGTACGAGACGACACAAGCGCAGTTGAGAACGGGACGGTGCGCGAGCAACGAGAGCATAAAGTCGCGGAGCGAGCACACGCAGGAAGGCGACGGAGCGGGTCGACCTGGAGGCAAGGCTGCGCAGTGTGGGCACAGCGCAGACTCTCTCGCTCGTGGGAGACTCGGAGAGACTCGAAGAAGAGAGAGCCCGCGAGCAGCGGAGCTGACCGGAAGAGCTGCACTCGAGTCGCTCCTAGACTGACTTGAGAAGGGCAGTGCGAGCCTTAACTCGCGGTCTAATACAAGATCAACTGGCTCGTGAGAAGCGCTCGATCTCATTGCAGACACCTCCTCGTTCGATCGCGCGCAAGCAGAACACCGTAACCCTGCTAGATCAAGAGCTAGCGTTTGAGCGAGGGTGCGCAGGATCCCCCTGTCTTTAGTAGGTGGCCGGGCGCACGGGCGGTCCGCAGGGGTCCGCGCCGTGCGAGCGGCTCACCACAGTGCGCCCGCTGCCCTCAGGGGCACGTGAGGGCGGGCGCGGCCTCGTAAAGACCCGTCCACGACGGCTCGACTCGCTGAGCCGTCGGGACGAGTGCGACGACGAACAAGAAGTCTGAGCGGTCCGGGAACTCTCGCGAGGGACGAGGAGAGCTTTCGGAAAGAGAAAGGTGCCGTCGCGCGGCGCAGCAAGGGCGCGAGGGGAAGCTTTCGAGGCCGAGAACGGGGAGGTGCCATCGAGGGCGCGACTAACCTGCGGCGCGAGGTCGAGAGGGTCAGTGCGCGGCTCGTCGTGGAGTACAGACCCACGCGAAGGTCCTGCACGGAAGAAAGAGAGTGCGCGGGACGTACAAAGGACAAGATGAGCCACCTCGAGGTCGAGAGCCCGCCTCGCGCCGCCCAGAAGACCGCCCTGCTCGCCTCGCGCAGCCGTTCCGCCTGTGAGGTGACCAGGTCAGTCCACGAAGGCCCCTGGACCGCGTCGCGAGGTAGCAGAGGGGGCGAGGGGAGAGGGAGAGGGGGGCCAAACACGGGGAGGCGGGGAGGAGGAGGACGCACCAGTCGCCCACAGCCCGCACGGCGCAGCCGCCTGGCCCACTAGTCTCCTTGATACTGCCATAGTCCTCGACGACGTGGCCAACAGGCCCATGAACCGTTGCTACCAGTCGAGAGAGGTCGGACGACGCGAGTTGCTGATGAGGACGCGACGCGCTCTGCGCGGATGGGAAGCGCTCGCGAGGGTGCGGGTGCAGCTCGTGGTCGATGCTGAGGTTCGCAGGTACTCGGGCGAGGCGCGAATCGCCGGCCCAGGCGAGAGGGCCCGAGTTGGTCGAGCGAGGTGAGCGGCGGCCGTCTACAGCTGCAGCCTCTCGCCCTTTCCGCCCGCTCGCCAAACGCATTGACGGTCGGCGACAGCAACTTTGGTCGATGCCGATCGGCCTGCCGCACTCGAGCTCTCGTAGACGGGCGCGCAGAGCGGGAACTGACGATCGGGCTTTCATTCTCTATCTACAACTTGGGCGACTCGTCCTTGGCAATGTCGATGACGACCTGCGAGGGAACAAGTCCGTCAGTCGACCGAGGAGAGAGAGTAGATAGAGACCGCGAGAAAGAGGAAGAGTGAGAAAGGGGAGCGCACCTTGCCGAACTGCCCGCCCTGCTTGAGGAGCTGGAACCCGTCCTCGGCGTGCTCGAGGCCCTCGAGGACGCTGTCGACGACCGGGTGGATCTTGTGCTTGTCGATGAAGGCGACGGCGTGGAAGAACTCGTCCCGACTGCCCATGGTCGAGCCTGCGTGAGGGGCGAGGACGACACGAAGGAGGAGGGAAAAAGTCAGTCGAGGCTCTCTGTCCAGACGGTGGGCCGCTCGACCGGCACGAGCGAGACCAAGGAGAAAACAAGAGAGCGTCGCCGACGCACCCTTGAGCTCGACGTTCTTGAGAACGGCCGCCATGGTCAACTCGATCGGCTTGCCCGTCGTCTGGCCGTAGCACGACACGACGGCGCCGTCCTTGAGAACCCGGATGAGCTGCGTGATGAGCGGACCGCCGGCCGAGTCGATGACGGCGTCGAGGAGAGGGCGAGACGAGGGAAGGAGGGCCTGGAGCTGCTTGGGCCAGTCGGCTGCGTAGAGAGGGGTCAGAACTTCCCCGAAATCCAGAAGCACGTGCACCTCGCTGAACGCGACGAGAGATGGACGAGGCTGGCGACGAGACGCACCGTCCTTGTAGTTGACGCCACCCTTCGCGCCGAGCTCCTGGGCGCGCTTGATCTTGTCCTGGGACGACGACGTCACCAAGACGTTGGCGCCTGTCGCGAGATGGAGCGTCAGTCAAGTTAAAAGATCGCGAAGAGACGCAGAGAGAGAGAGAGAGACCGAGAGAGAGAGAGAGGACGCACCTGCTGCCACGGCAAACTGGAGCGCGAGGATGGCGACGCCGCCGCCGATGCCCGTGATGAGGACATTGTCGCCCTTCTTGACGTCGGCTTTGGTGAAGGTCGCCCTCCAGGCCGTGAGGGACCCGAGCGCAACCGTCGCCGCCTCCTCGCGCGAAAGGTGCTCGGGGCACTTGACGAGGTCGTCCTTCTCGACGGCGACGTAGTCGGCAAACGTGCCGCGCCCGCCCGTCTGCTTGACCGAGCCGTAGATGCCAAACTGCTTGCCCGGGACGTCGGGCCCGTACGGCGACGAGAGCCAGTTGGCGGCCGGGTAGAAGAGGACGCGCTGGCCGGTGAGCGGGTGCGAGGGCGACGAGACGATGCCGACGGCGTCGGCACCGAGGACGGAGGGCGTCTCGGGCGTGTGGAAGATGGTGCCCGGGTAGAGACCTGCTCGGCAAGGAGGACCAGAGTCAGTGACTGGCCGGTGAGGCGGATGGGCGGGGAGTGGGAGAGCACGACGCGGTCGTCCCGCTCGTCGCTCGGCTGGGGGAATCGGTTGGACTCACTCTGTCGCTGGAAGACGTCGCGATGGTTGAAAGCCGAGGCGAGCACCTTGACGAGGATCTGGTCTGCGTGCGAGTCGAGCGCAGTCGGTCAGCCTCGTCATTGCTCGCCGCGCCCTCGAACAAGGGAGAGGGGGGCGCACCTTGTGTGGGTGTTGGGACAGGGAGCTCCTCGACGCTGACCGGGTGCCAGGTCTGCGGGCCGGGCTTCCACTGGTCGCCGGACGTCTTCTGGAGGACGAGACCTTTCATCGTCGTGGGCGGCGAGGACATGCGGTGGGGGCGATGGAGGGCGGAGTCGATGTTGCTGAGCGTCTGGCTCGGGTGCTGGTGAGGTAGCTGACGGGCTCTGGCGAGAGAGCGAGCGAGATGGAGGAGGAGACCGAGGTGTCGGAGGTGGGGCACGCCGCGGGCCGAAGGCCAGTCCGAGGACAAAGCTCCTGGGGTCGCTCGCAGTCCTGTCGACGGCGCATGCTCTGATTTGGTCACAGACTCGTACGCCGAAAGCGCTCGAGCCGAGAAAACTTCGCGGCGGAAAGTGTTGACGTTGCTCGCGACGACGACGACGACGACACGAGAGCGACGCGAGCTAGCCGTGCGGTGTGCGCAAGGCTCGAGAGGAGGAGAGTAGGAGACAGAGTGCATCGACGTTGCATGCGGGCTACTCGCGCGAGAGCATGAGGACCTCGAGGTCTTTGAGGAGCGCTTTGGCCTCGTCGCGGTACTCCTGCGTGCCCTCGACGACCCGCAGGTACTCCTCGGCCTTGCCGAGGTCCCCTCCCTTGTCCTCCTCTCCGATACCGCCGCCGCCGCCGCCTCGACCGGCAGCCGCCGGCCCCGGCGCCCTCCTCATTTCCCACTTGGCCAACCAGAGGTACACGCGCCCGAGCTCGTTGGCGCCCATGCCGCCGCGCACGCCCTCAGCGAGCGCACGTCGGTGGTACGCCGCGGCGTGTGCGCCTTGGCCCGTCGCCGAGTAGAGCTTGCCGATGCGGAGCGCGAGGTCCGAGCCATCGCCGGGCTCGGAAGAGAGGAGGGCGCGTTGGTGGGCGCGGATGGCGTCGGGAATGCTGCGAGACGAGCGAGAGCGTCAGTCTGCAGGTCACCTTCACCTCGAGGCGAGCGGCCGGCGAGCGACGCCCGTCGAGGAGGAACGAGGAGGAGAGAACCGCCCGACGCACCGCTTGAGCTTCTCGTAGCAGCTCGCGAGGGCGCTCCACATCCTCGCGTCGTACGGCCGCAGCGCCGCCGCTCGCTGATAGTAGCTGACGGCGTAGAACGGCTCGCCGAGGAGCTCGTACGTCTGCCCGAGGCCGTACCACGCCCGGTAGTCCTTGCGGTTGACGTCTGCGGATCGGGTACGCCAACGAGAGTCAGCCCTCGTCGCAAAGGCTGCAAGAAGGCACGAGTCCCGATCTCTCGGACCGGCCACGCGCCGACGAGCTGTCGCGAGAGAAGGGGAAAGAGAGAGCGTGGACGCACCGACCGCCCGCCGATAGCTCGCGATGGCCGCGTTCGTGTTCTTCATCTCGACGTACTCGTGGCCCATGAGCGTCCAGGCCGACAGGTACCCTCGGTCGAGCTTGAGCGCGCGGCGGAAGTACAGGATGGCCTTCTCGTGGTCGCGGCGCAGCGAGAAGTAGTTGCCTGTGGGCGCGAGGACGGGCATGAGCAGCTGCGGGAGATGCGCAGCGCCTCGTACGTGTCGTCGACAGGCACGAGACGCACAGAGAGAGAGAGAGAGCAACGTCGCCGACGCACCGATCAAGCAGCACACCTCGGGCCTCGTGCGGTCGAGGCGCGTGTACTCCTGCGCGAGCGCCGCCAGCTCGGGCCGCTTGTCCGACACGTACAGGATGTTGCTCAGGACGTCGATGTCGTCGAGGCGGTACGGGTCCGACTTGCGCAAGGTGGCGAACAGGGCGGTCGCATCGTCAAACTCTGCGCGAGGAGGGGACGAGAGTCGGTCAGTGACGGCTCGAGTCGGCGATAGAGACACCGAGAGAGAGAGAAAGAGGGCGTACCGCGGATGTGGTAGTACACGAGTGCGCGCAGGCCCGTGATGACGGAGCAGTCGGCGCCAAAGACGGCCTCGAGCTCGTCGAGGCAGTCGTGCAAGGCGTCGCCGGCGGCGTGGATCTCGAGGGTGGCGTGGACGTAGAAGAGGAGGAGAGGGTAGCACTGAGGGAGGAAGGGAAGGGTGGCCTCGAGCTGTGCGCAAGGAGGTGTACGAAGGTGAGTGACTCGCTCGAGCGAGAGTGAGAGGGAGGGAGGACGGCGCCGCAGGCGCACCTCTTCAGGGCCGTCGAGACAGTCGGCGATCTTGAGCCACGCGCTCCAGTTGTACGGCTCGAGGCGGACCGAGTTGACGAGCGTCTCGAGCGCGGCAAGGCGGTAGTCGAGCGCTGGTGGCGGTGCGTCGAGAGGGCGTGCGGCGGTCGGCGCAGGGGCGGTCGGCATGAGGGACAAGAGGAGGAGGGCTTGACTGTGTCGAGGGAAGGACAAGAAGAGCCTTGGTCAGGGAGGGACACGTCGACGAAAGGAGAAAGATGAGGACGCACAGGTACAGGAGCCAGCCGTCGCTCTCGAGGAAGCCCGGCTCCCAACTCGCCATGTCCTCGAGGAGCTCTTGCGTGAACGGGTTGGGTTGCGGTCGGTCCTTGACGCCGAGGAGCTCGCCCGCTTCTTCTTGCAGCCGCTTCTCGCCCGCCTGCGCGAACACGATCCAGAGAAGGTCAGTCGCGGCTCGTCTCGGACGAGGACGAGGGCGAGAGAACCGAGGGACGCACGAGGTACTTGGCGTAGGAGCGCAGCCACCTGGCCTTGGGGCCGGCGCAGTTGCGCAGGACGTGGGCCGTGCGCTGCAGCTCGTGGGAGCGCAGGTGGGCGAGCGCGAGCGTGTACAGGTCCTGCTCGTCGTCGTCGCGCGCGAGCCACTCTTGGCGCGCTGCGTGATTGGCGTCTGGCCACGCCTCGGCGGGGCCCGGTGCGGCGTCTCGCGACGACGACGAGGGCCCGGCGACCGGGTGCATGTCCTCGTCGAGGTCGTCGTCGAGGCGGTCGAACGCGGTGCTGCGCTCGACGACGGGCGACGAGGCCGGGCCCATCGAGAGGACGCTGCCGAGGCTGTCGCGCGCGCTACCGCCTCGAGCGCTGCGGAACGAGCCGAGGGGGAGCAAGCCCGAGAGGCTCGGACGAGGTGCGCCCGCGCCGTTGCCGCCGCCGCCGCCGCCTGGTGCGCCGCTCGCCGGGTGCGCGCCGGCCGAGGAGCCGTCTGCGGGTTTGACCGGGGTCGAGGTGCGGAAGTGGACGTGGGGCGAGGCGAGGTCGTGGTCGGCGGGGTGGGGCGTTGAGCGACTCGGTCCGGGGCGGTCGTCTCGCGGCGGGGGTTGAACGGGAGAGCGGGCTCGCGGTGTGGGTGCAGGGAGTGCGGCGAGGAGCTGGCCTGCGAACTTTGCGGCGTGCGGGAGGTTGCGGTCGAGGCAGTCGCGCGTCGCCGAGCGGAGCGCGGTGCGCAGGGTTGACAGCGACGGCGGCGAGGCAAGGAGCGTCGGGCGGGGCGGCAGTTGGGCGGCCATGCGAGCTCGCTCTTGCGCGCAGAGGGTGTCGGCAGGTCGATGTGAGGGTTCAAGGACGAGGGCGACGAGGCGAGCGAGCGGGGGAACGACAAGCACCTGGCTTGCTCCTCCTCTCGTCTCCGTGAGTGAGTCCTGCTGCGCTCAGCGGACAGCTGTGCAATGGTTCTGCGGGACTGGCCCAAAAACGGCACCCTCGCGTCGTGGGCCAAATCGCTCTACGCCGTCTCGCTCCTCCCTCCGTGGCTCTCTCTCCTTCCCTTCACTCGCTCTCGCCGTCCGCCCTCTGCGGTCCTCTTTACCGGCCCAGATGCCTTGAACTCGTCGACTGCGCGGCTCGCGCACATCATCCAGCTGCACAACGGCCGCCCCTCGTCGCCGCAACTTTTCTTTTCATCAGCTCGCCCTCGACTCGGCTCGTCAACGGTCAGCTCGACACGGTGGAGGACAGCGAGGGGGACAAGACTGCTCATCATCGGTGCGCCCACCTTTCTCCCGCCTCGCCCCTGTCCCTCCTCCCCTCCTTCGACCTCGTCGCCGGCGCGCCTTGACGAAGCCTTTCACACCAATAACTCCGGAGCAACCGAAAGGCTGCGGTGAAGGAGATCCGTGAAACACATGCATCACCAGCTGAGCGCATACCGCGACGCCCTCTGTGGCTAGCGGCAGCCGCGCGACGAGCAGGAGAAGGAGCGCCTCGAGCAATCGCCCCGACCAGCCTCACTGACTCTCATCCTCGTCCACAGCTCTCGCTTCATCTGCACGGCGGCTTCTTCGTCTTCATCGTCGGCATCGTCAGCGCGCCGCGGTACACTTACTGTGAGCCCCGTCTTCTCTCCCTCGCTCTCCCTCCCGACGACCGACGACGACGACGAGTTCGCCAGTGATGAGTATCCACAACATCAATCAGTTCTGCTTCCGAGTAAACCGTGCGGATATATGGACCAAACCAAATGCTTTACCTCATTCTGAGGCAACTCGTCGTCGTCGGCCCACCGACCTTCTCAACCCCAGCGTGCCCGTCACAGGAACTGACCATTCCTTTCCGGCGCCCCAGCTGTCCACAGATATCTTCCCTCGACGCATCTCGGCAAACCTCGACCACCGCTCCTCAGCCTGTGAGCCTCCCTTCCCTCCCTCGCCCTCCCCTCCTTCCTCGCCTCGAGCGGCCACTGCGCCCTCGGGCGGCGTGTCCCTGATGCAAAACTTGTCAATCCATTCTCCGCAACGGTTTAACCTGCTGCGCCATCCGTCCTGTCGGGCCGATTAGCCCCTCGTCCTCCTGTCGGCTCTCTCGCGCCTCGGTCGTCGTCGTCGGTCCCTCTCTGTCGGGTCCCGTCGGTCGCCTGTGCCCGTCCCTGTCTGCGCCTCAAGGCTCTCGAGGCGGGCGAGGAAACCCTTGCACGGGGACTACTCGTCTGCTCTCGCGGGCCGCCTGTCGCGCAGGAGAGGGTGGGTAGGGCGGTCGGCGGGCTCGTTGGGAAGGTCGGCGGCGGTGCCGGGGCGTCGGGTCGGGGAGGGGCAGGGGTGAAACGTTCGCGTCCTCGTCGCTCTCGGGCGGCGGGGAGGGGCGGGCGGGGATGTGGGTGGCCGCGATGAGGTCATCGGCTTTTCTGAACTGCACGCGCGACGAGGAGGAGCAGCACCTGGCACGAGTTCGTCCTCGAGCACGGCACTGACTCTCTTCCGTCCTCGCGCACAGATTCTCGCTCGACCCCGCCCCGGTTCCCCCTTGTGTAGCAGGCCTTCGGCCCGTCGTCCTGCGAATACATCCTTTTGCTCCCTCTCCCTCGCGCGCATCTCTCTCCTGTTCGTCGGTCGCGAGAGTCGCCTGTGCGACCTGATCTGCTCGTACGAAGCCGGCCGTCGTGGCTGTCGCGTGCCGTCGTCGAGCGCAGCTAGCGAGAGAGGTGAAAGCTTCCTTCGAGACGAGATCCCCCCTTCTTCGCCGATCGTGCAGCTCTCAGTCGGCGGTCGACGACGTCTAGTCGAGCTGCGGCAAGTTCCAGCAGATCGCGAGCGCGAGCCTGACAGGACGCTTCGCCGAAGCAGATTGAGAAGGCCGTCCTCGAGCGCTCGAGCCTCTCGGCATCCTGCACGGGCGTCGACGCCACCTCGCCCGTCTTCTGCAGCGTCGAGGCAGCACGATCAGAGCGTCAGGCACAGGCGATGAGCCCTCTCGCGACGACTCGCTCGACGTTTTTCCTCGCCTGCTCGAGCGCGCAAGCTTGCAGAAACGAGCTCTCGGATTACAACAACACGCCGGGGCCCAGGACCGCCTCGTCGACTCTCACCTCGCTCTATCCGTCACGCTGCACCGGCTCAAGCCGCCTGCTGCTGCACGTCGACCTTGGCGGCGCCCTTGTTGAGGCCCTCGAGGAGCATGCACGCCTGACACAGGCGCTGCGACGTCATCGAGCCGCAGCGGGCGCACGACTCTGCGGGCGGGAGAGAGAGATGTCAGTGACTGTGCCCGACGAGCGAGTCGAGATGAGGGAAGAGAGAGAGAGAGCGAGACGAGGACGCACGCTGCACCTGCGCCGTCTTTTTGCGGCCCGCCGTCCGGCCCTTGAGCACGCCCGCCACCGCTGCTGCCGCCTGCGCCGCGTCTGCGCCACCGTCTGCCGCCTGCGCCTGCGCGGCGTCGACGAGCGCCTGCGCGTCCCACTCGCCGCCGGCTCGTCGACCGGGGAGCGCGAGCGACGAGGCGAGCGCCTCGCCCGAGTAGATCTGCGGGTCGGAGCAAGGTGTCAGGTCGTGCGTGATTACGAGAGAAGCGGCGGACGAGATGCGAGGAAGAGATATGCGGGAGATTGGCGTGAAGGGACGAGAGAGAGAGGGCGGGCGAGGGACAGAAGGGAACGCCGACGAGTGCGAAAGTGGACGCACCAAGTCGACGATGGCGCTCGGCCGGATCGCCTCGAGGTCCTTGACGAGCGCACGGGCGTACCCTCGGTACGCAGTGGGCGCGTAGATGCACTCGGTCGAGTGGTAGTCCAGTTTCTGCAGGACGGTCGCCGTGCGGGGCGCCGAGTGCGGGTGCGAGGAGGAGGTAAAGAAGGTAGGGTGAGGCAGGTTCGGGTGAGTGGGGGTGACAAAATAGGCCGGCGCGCGAGAGAGAGAAAGAGGAGGAGAGAGCGCGAGCGCACCTTGAAGTAGGCGTACATGACGATCTCCTTCTCGTAGGCGTACTTGAACGGCTTGCTGCGCTTGATGGTGCGCGGCAGGAGCGACTCGAGGCGGTCGGCGTCGTCCTGGCCGTCGTCGCGCTGCGGCTGCTTGTCGCCGCCGGTCGTGATGGCCGTGCAGCGTGCGACGCGCGAGATGTCGCCTCGTAGGACTGCGTCGACCATCAAGATGAATCAGTACCGCCTCTCGCCTGAGAGAGAGGAGACGAGGACAGAGCGAGAGGGTCGAGCGCACCGTTCATGAGGACCGTCTCGGCGACGTCGTCGGCGTTGTGGCCCGTCACGATGTGGTCGACCTCGAGCAAGTCGGCGCCTCGGTCGAGCGCCTGCCGCCGGAAGACGCCGCAGTAGGTGCCTGTGAGGAGGACACTAGTAAGCCTCGCGGACCCCCCTGCAGGAAGGAAGACGAGGACGCACAGTTGCCCTTCTTGCCGATCTCGGACACGACGCGGTCCATGGTCCACCCGCCGTAGAGCTCCGAGTAGCTGAGGATCTTGAGCGGGAGGGCGTACTGTTCGGCGTTGCGCTTGACCGTCTGCGTCGGGTGCTCGGGGCAAAGGTCAGCTCGACGCCGGCGACAGAGGGAGAGGGAGACTTTAGAAGAGAAGGGGACGCACGTCGAGTGAGGCGTCGCGGTAGCCGCTGATGCCCTCGTCGATCGAGAGGAGGCACAGGTCGAGGCCGTAGTCGTAGCGCTTGTTGAGGAGAGTCATGATGTAGGCGAGCACGGTCGAGTCTGCGAGGAGGGGGGGCGGCGGTCAGTCCATGGTGTTCTGCGAGTCTGGAGGATGGGCCGTGCGGTGCGAGAGGTGCTGATGTCGAGCCGAGACGAGGGTGGAGCGAGGTGCACCGCCTCGCTGGTGGGACGAGGGGAGGAGGACCAGGTCGCGGCGTCTGCTCCTGCCGCGCTCGCGACCCTGCGACGCGTACGAGAGGGTGACAGGGAAAGGGTTGGACGCACCCTTGCCTCCAGATGCGCCGATGGCGACCCTCTCGCCGCGGGTGAAGAGGCTCTTGAGGCCAGGTCGAGCTTTGTGGCCAGGGCGGGTGGGGTCGAGTTGCTCTGCGGTGCCGTAGCCCATGATGGTGTGGTGGATCTCGGTCTCGAAGACGTCGAAGAAGCACTCTTTGCAGACGGCCTGGAGGGTCTTTGGTCGGCGGAGGAGGGCGCGACGAGGTGAGGCGGGTGGGCACAGCGAGCACGGGGCCATGGCGGGTGGTGCAAATCGCAGGCAGGTGTGTGTGGCTGCGGGTGCGCTTGGCTGCTCGAGCGGTGCGAGGGAGGGAGCGAACGACCCGGGTCGAGCTGATGAGGTTGCCATCCGCTGGGTCCCGCTTGGCTCTCGCTCTTCAGCTCGCTCGACCTCGAGTGTGCACCCGCACAACTGAGCGGCCATGGCCAACAACGCACCGCGACCCGCCGCCCTCTTGCAGGCGCGTCCTCCCTTCCTCGCCTCCCCACTCCTGCGGGTCCTCACTCGGCTCCCTCGCCCTCCCGCAGGCTCACGCCCAGTCGCTCGCAAAGCTCCACACGGCACTCTCGACAGGTCCGTCCTCTTGATCCCGCCCCTACCGGCCGCCCCGCAAGAGCTGACCGCCCCTCCTCGTTTCACAGCCGCCTTCGCCTCGGCGTTCGTCCTCGGCGTCGCTCTCCACTACCACCGCATCGTAAAGAACCAGGTCCGTCCTCCGCCACCTTCCTGCGCAGACTTGCAAGAGACTCCCCGCTGACCGAGCGCGCATACACAGTGGTACGGCTACCCGCAGGAATGGGCGCCCTCCGTCTCGGCGTCCGTCTCTCCCTCTCTGTCGCACCCAGGTGGCCTCGCACTGACCCTGCCGCGCGTCCGACAGCACCATCGGCGACTGGTTCCCCGAGCGCAACGTCTTCCAGCTCCTCATCGCCCTCACTTCGGGCCCGCGCTTCCTCCTCATCCTCGTCGGGTTCGTCTCGCACCGATTCATCGACCCGCACAGCACGCTTCCAGCCGCGCTTGCCGCCATTGCCGTCGTGCGCACCATCTCCTGCGGTGGCTGGGTCTTTGTCACGAGCAGTGACCACGGCGACGTGCACGACGTCTTCATGGTTCTGTGCGTCCCTCCTCCTCCTTCTTCCTCCTCGCCCTCCCCGAGATTGACCATCGTCGCGCACGCCACAGCTACATCGTCCTCAACCTCCCGTACATGATCGTCGGGACCGTCCTCACCCCGTCGGGCACTCGCGCCAAGACCTTGCGGCGCATCTTCGGCACGGCCTTCTTCGCGACACTCGCGCCCCTCATCTACTTCTACCTCGAGCACAAGCAGTACCGCGTCCCTGGAGCCTACTCGATCTATGCCCTGTTCGAGTGGTCCCTCATCTTGCTCGACGTTTCGTTCGACGCCATCCTCATCCTCGACTACGCGCCGACTTCTTCTTCTTCTTCTTCTTCTTCATCATCATGGTCATCCTCGTCGGCATCCTCTTCGTCATCTTCGTCATCATCATCATCGAGCCTGCCCGGACTCGAGCTCGCCCTGCAGCCGGCCTCGCCCGAGGCTCGAGCGCACGGCGTCTACCTCGCGCCCGTCGTCCACAAGGGCACGCGCAAGCCTGCGGGCCCGGTCGCACGGGCATTCGCGAGGGTCGAGATGGCGACGGCGAGGACGAGGCACTTTGTCGCCGATGTGTACCTCGGTACGCTCCCTCCCCTTCTCTCCTCGTCTCTCGGACGGACGCAACCCGTCCTAGTTACTGACTCGTTCCTCTCCCCTCTCGCTCTCGCCCTCGTTCACCTTCCCCTCTCACCCTGTGCCCGACGCAACTTTCCCGCTCGCCGCCCTGCCCTCGCCGCCCTGCCCTCGCCGCCCCGCCCTCGCCGCCCCGCCCTCGACAGCTTTCATCTTCTGGACCCTCCTCGTCGCCCTCGGGCCCATGATCTTCTACGAGTCGGTGTGGTCGATGGGCCTCAGCGGGAACGAGGTCCTCCTGTTCGCCATCCTGTCGCCGATCCTCCTCGCGCTTCCGGTCCTGTCCCGAGCATTCGCTCGTCCGGCCCTCGCGCACCTCGGCCTACTCGTCGGGCTCGCGACGAGGTGGCTCGACGGCAACGGCATTGCGCGGCTGAGGGGTACGGCGCTCGGGCTCGGGCTCGCCGTGTGCGGGACGGTCGGCGGGTGGTGGGACGTCAGGAGGGAGGCGGACAAGGTGGACGCGCGAGCGAGGTGCGTCCCTCTCTCTCCTTTCACACAGCCCTTTACCACGTCCTCGTACTCATGCCCTCGGGCCTATCCTGCCTCGTCCACTCCTCCCGCAGGGTCTTCCTCCTCGGCCTCGTCGTCTCGCTCGTCGTCAAGTTCGCCAACTTCAGCCTCAACCCGCTGTGGCCCTTCATGCGTGCGTCGCCGAGCCCGAGGTACGACACGGGCGGGTGGAACGGCGTCGGGCTCGCGCTCGCCGCGTTCGCGTACTTCGATGCGGTCGCGAGGAGGCGGGCGACGGTCGTGCCACCTGCGGCGGCGTCAACCGGTGCTGTCGAGCCGTCGTTGTCGTCAACATCACCTTCATCGCCGCCATCAACGTGGGCCACGCCAGCCATGCCGCTCAAGCCGTCGCTCGCGGCGAAATGGACCGCCGCGCTCGGCTTCGGCTCCCTCTTCTTCCTTCTTCACTGGCTCTTTACCGACTCGGGCACCATCATCGCCTGGTCCTGGGCCGGGTACCCGTCGTCCGGGCCGTACGCCTTCCCGCACGGCCTCATCACGATCGTCGCCGTCCTCGCCGGCATCGCGCTCGTCCCCTCGTCGACCGCCACGACCCGCACCTCGCTCACCTCGTTCGCCATCGCCTGCACCTGCGCCACACTCCTCCTCACCCGGACATCATGGGCGTCTTTCCTCCCCGCCTGCCTCCTCGGCACCTACCTCGCCTCGCTCTTCCCACCCTTCCTACTCTCCCTCACCTCGCACACCCCGTCCGGGCCCGGCGCCCCATTCGCCGCCGCGTTCCTCATCTACGCGCTCCTCGAGCTCGCGAGCACGTGGACCGTCGCGTACGCGTTCGTGCCCGCCGGGTCGGTCCTGCGCGAGCGCACGGGCACGGTCCTCGCGCTCGCGATGGCGGGCGTCGCGGCCGGGCTGTGGCCGGCGGCGCGTGTGCGGCAAGCGGCGGCGACGAGTGGGGCGGGAGCAGCTGCGGGAGCGTCAGGAAGGCGAGGAACGGCGCGCACGCTCCGCACGGCGACGCTCGTCCTCGCGCTCGCGGGCGTCGCCGTCCTCGTGTACCGCGCGCCGGGCTACTACGCGCCGGGCGTGCCGTACCACGCGCAGGAGCGGCTCGTGACGGCGGGCATCTGGACCGTCCATTTCGGCCTCGACGGCGAGATGTGGGAGAGCGGGAGGAGGATGGCCAACATGCTCAGGACGGCAGAGGTCGACGTCATCGGTGCGTCGCTCATTCCCCCACTCTCTCCTGCGACATCGCGCCTGTCGACGCGGTCACTGACTCGAGCTCGTCGCACGCAGGCCTCCTCGAGACGGACGTGCACCGCATGGTCGGCGGCAACCGCGACATGTGCGTCCTCCCTCTCCCTCGCCCTTTCTTCTCATCCAGCAGCCGTCACTGACTGTGAAAGACATCCTCGACAGCACCCAGTTCATCTCGCACTCGCTCAACATGCCGTACGTCGACCTCGGACCAGGCCCGCAGAAGAACACGTGGGGTGCGTCGACTTTTCTCTCTCGTCGTCTGGCTCTGTGAACCCTTCCTGATCCTCATTGACATCGTTTGCCTCCTGCCTGTCGTCACACAGGCGCCGCCCTCATCTCCAAATTCCCCATCCTGCGCTCGTCGCACCACCTCCTCCCCTCGCCCAACGGCGAGCTCGCGCCCGCCATCTTTGCCACGCTCGACAAGTACGGCGTCGAGGTCGACGTCGTCGTCGCGCACAACGGCCAGGAGGAGGACCCGCTCGACCGCGAGCTGCAGAGCACCGAGCTTGCGCGCCTCTTGAGGGAGAGCTGGCCGCGGCCGGCGCTCTTCCTCGGCTACCTCGTCACGAGGCCGCACGCCGACAAGCCGGCGCCGTATCGCTACTTGGTCGAGGACGGGCGCATGCTCGACATCAACGTGCGTCGCTCGGTCTCTCTCCTGTCGTACCGCTCCTCGTCGAGCGCGCACTGACCTCGTCTCTCGCCCACAGGCCGACGACCACGACCGATGGTGCCAGTATCTCTTCTACCGTGGCCTGCAGTACGTCCTCTCATCTCCTCTCGTTGTCTCTCTCAGCAGAACTCGACCGACTCACCACACCGACCCGTCCTCCTTCTCTCGCAGCCGCACCGGCTACGCCCGGCTTAACCGAGGCTCGAACCCGTCGGTCACCGACTCGGAGGTCCAGCTCGGCAAATACGTCGTCCCGCTCGCGCGCCCTCCACCTGGCGGCTCGGCGTTCACCGCCTCGGCGCGGGCCCTCGTCGCGACCAACGCCTCGGCGCTCGTCCCGCCGATCCCGACAGCCGCCTACGTCGCGCACCTGCACGACTCGCCGCCACCTCGCGACGCCGAGTCGACCGTGTGGACGCCCGAGCGCTACCTCCCCGAGGCGCTGCGGTTCCCGGCGCGCCTGTACGACCACGACGAGGAGCACCGGTTCATCGTCTTGACGGGCGAGAAGGGCGGGCCCGGCGCGCACTACTTCATGGGGCGCGACGAGAAGGAGTGGAGGAGGTTGCGGGAGATCGAGGAGCTCCAGGCGCTCAAGGCGGGCGAGGGGTGCCCCGTGCAGTGACCGGGTCCGAGCGACGGCGGCGACGAGCAGTAGATTCTTGAGCAGGCCGGCTACGGTCTCTAATGCAGTACCCTTTCCGAGCACAGCGTCTCTCTCTCGCTCTCTCGCTCTCTCGCTCTCTCGCTCTCTCGCTCTCCGTGTCCATCTCGCTCGGCAGCAGAAAGAGAGGCGATTCAGTCAATTCCACCTCGGGCGGTTCTCGCGCCTCTCACTTCTTCTCGCCGACCGTGCGCGTCACCTCCTTTGGCGCCTTGATCCCGCAAGACACCCGCTTGGCCATGATGATGGCGACAAAGAGCGCAAAGAGGACGGTCGCGCACGCGAGCGGCTTTTGGAAGGCGTCGGCGAGGGGAGGGAGCGTGTACTCGATCTGCGGTAACGGGGCGGGCACAGGGTCAGGGAGGCGCAAGAGAGACGAGAGCCTGCAAGAGAGAGTGCGAGAAGAGGGGAGGGAGAGAAAGAGGGACGCACGAGAACGTCCTGCCCGTGCCGGTCCGAGCACGCGCGCTTGGTCATGACGACCGTCGGACGGCCCGTCGAGTCGAGGTACGTCCACGCGACGGTGCCCTCGTTCTTCGAGCCGTCGGACGCCGACGAGGGGAACGAGAGCGACGTGAGCGGGAAGGGCGCGTGGACGGCGATGTCCCTGCGGGCAGAGACGAGGGCGGCATGAGTGACCGGGTCTCTGCGGCGAGGGAGCACGTCGAGTGCAAGAAAGAGAGAGAGAGAGGGGACGCACCTCGCGCCCTCGGGCAGCCGGACCTCGACCCGGACGTTGTCGACGGCGACGTCCTTGACGGGCGTGAGGAACGGCACGGCGGCGACGTACTGGCCCTTCTTGGCGCCCGAGCGCATCTTGACGTACTCGGCGAGCGGGAGGTCGTACCCGATCGTGAACGAGTAGTTCCACCCGCCGAGGATCGGGTACCGCGGCTGGAGCTCGAGGACGGCCGGCTCGCGGCGCTTCTTGTTGGCGTGGCTCGGGAGCACGGCCTTGTTCGAGGTCGAGGGCGAGGGGCGGAATCGCGAGGTCGAGACGTTGCCGACGACGTCGTAGTAGTACGGGTTGTGCGTCGAGGGAGGGAGCTGGAGCGCGAGGGACGAGACGGCCGTCACGCCTTGGCGGCGGTGCATGATGGCCTTCTGGTAGTCGATGCGGGCGAACTGGCCCAGGAGCCTGCGAGCGAGTGCAAGTCAGTCAGTGTGGGCGCGATTTTTGAGAGGAAAGGAGAGGGAGGGAGGGACGCACTTGGGCCCGGCGTTGAACAAGTCGATCGAGTCTTGGACGGCGAGGTTGGCGCCCCAGTGGCTGAGCTCGACGACGCGCTCGAGGGAGCGGATCGACGCGATGGCCTCGGGCTGCTGGTAGTGCACACGCGCGACTTGGGGCCCGAGCGAGGCGGCGTCGCCCTGGAGCGTAAAGACGAGGGTCGCGCTGCCGGCCTGCTGGTGCATGACGAAGCCGTCGGGCGCCTTTGCGCTCACGATGCGGGGCGTCGGGGTCTTGACGCGGACCTTGATGTCGGTGACCTTGGCGCGCTGCTCGGGCGAGAGGCCCGTGAGGGGCGCGAGGAGGTCGCCCTCGAAGAGCATGTAGATCGCGTCGGCGTTCTGGGGCATCGAGGCTGGCTCGGGACGGGTCGCGTGGGGCAAGTCGACGGACAGGGTGACGTAGGTCATGTCGGAGGAATGGGGCGGGATGAGGGCGAGCTGGTAGAAGGTCGTGTCGCTGCGCGGGAGGAGGGGAGGCGGCTGGTCAGTGTGGCCCGGCGGACGGAGCGGGTGGGGCTCGCGCCCAGTGCGCTCGTGGGTCCTCCTGCGGCTCTCTCGGGGCCTCACGGCAGCACAGGGGCCGTGCAAAGGCGCGATTCGACCCCACCCCGCAGAGCCACGTCCGGCTGGCCGCACGTGCTCCTCGCCGCACAGAGAGAGACCAGGGGAGAGCGAGAGGACTCACTCATCGCCACCGACCTCGACGAGCTCGATCTTGCGCCGTGCCGAGCCCTTGCCCTCTGTCGCCTCGACGAAGCCGCCGTTGCGGCCGGCGCCCTTGACGCCGACGACCCACGAGTCGGCCTGGTCGGCGTGCGTGCGGTCCTTGCGGAGCGTGTAGGCGGCAGTGGACCGTGCGAGAGACCCGACGAGCTCGATCGAGGACGAGAGGACGGAGGGAGACCACGCCGTCGATGGTGGTGGTGCGGCCGGGGCGGCGGAAGGTGCGAGGGCGGCGGCGAGTGCTGCGCCGAGTAGAGGGACGCTCAGCAGAGACAGGCGCATGCTGCCGTGTTGCGTGGAAGCAGGCGAGGTGGAGCACACTCGCAGTTGCCAGCTGTCGGGGGCGCACGAGGCGAGCGAGCGAGTTTTGTATTCAAATGCAAGGCCAGCAAGGATTGAGGTCTCGACCGGCTCAGGGGAGGGTTGAGCGGAAGCTGGACTCCGCCTCGGGCCCCCGCAGATCCTCCGCTCGCTCGACCACGTCGCTGTCGTTGAGCACGCAGCCTCGCTCGCCTGGCCCTCGACCACGCCATGGAGTCCTCGCCAGATGACCACCACGATGACTCGGCCGGCGGCATTCCCAAAGCCAAGAAGGTGCGCCGACCCTCCCGCGTCCTCAGCCTCGTCTCGTCTCAACCGGCTCACGCTCTCCTCGCGGCCCACAGCCGCGCACGACTACAGCCTGCAACCGCTGTCGGACCAAACGTGGACGCTGCGACGGTCCGTCCCGTCTCTCCAGCCCCCCCTCCCCCGCCTCGAGCGAGACCGGTCTCGTCGTCCTCCAGAGCTGATCCTCGCCCATGTCCACCTCGATGCAGGCCGCAAGCCTATCTGTGGGCCGTGCAGGAGCTCAAACGCGACCTGCGAGGTGCGTCCCACCTCTCCACCTCGAAGTCTCCTCCTCACTCGAGAGCTGACCTCGCTCTCTCCGTGCGCAGGTGAGCGCTCGACTCTGGCACCGCAAGTTCGCCCAAGATCGTTCACTGACTTCCTCTGACCCCGTTCTCGCAGTACGAGCTCGGCGGCGACAAGCGCAAGTACGTCCAGCTCTCTCTCGGCTCGCAGGCTCGACCCTCCTCGCGGCCACGGCTGACCCGCCTTCTTCCCTCAGGCCCTACACCAAGGCCGTCGTGCAGGCCATGCAGCTCCGCATCGACACGCTCGAGGCCCAACTCGCCGCCCTGACCGCCGGCAGCAGACCGCCCTCGCCCGACATGGACCTCGACCGCCCGAGCAAGAGCCCGCTCGAGCTCGCCGTCGACTCGGCGAGAGCGCAACCGCCGCCCGACCGCCCCGGAACGAGCAGGCCGACTGTGACGGGCCCGACGAGCCAAAGCTTTGCCGAGGGCTCGGCGCCGCAGGTCAACCCGAACCCGGACCAGGCCGACACGTTCCAGGGCGGCCTCGCCGTCAACGCTCACGGCGAGCTACGCTTCTACGTGCGTCCCTCGCCTTCCTCTTCGTCTGAATCCATTGGTGGCGGGTCGTGCGCTAATACCGAGCTCCCGCAGGGCCCGACCTCTTCGTACCGCGCCGTCCTCGCCGGCTCGACCTCGTCCCTCGACGCGCCCGAGACGGTCAACGCGATCCGCGCCTTCTCGCTCACGCGTGCCCCGATCCCGACAGCGTCACCGGCCGACCCGGCGCTCCCTCGACGACCGCCCGAGCTCGCGCCCGACTTCAAGGTCAAGCTCCTCAAGCTCGCGTTCGAGTACTGCTTCTCGCATTGTGCGTCTCCCCTCTTCCCCTCGAGTCGAGCGCAGGATTGACGTCTTGCATCGTCCAGATTCTATCGTGCCCGAGCGGCAGTTCTTCGCCGACTGGCAGCGCTACCCGTCCGTCCCCTCTTCTCCTCTCCTCTCCCACCTTCCTGACGCCTCGGTCGTCGTCCGCAGCCTCGAGCGCACACAGTCTTACTCGCCGTTCCTCCTCAACGTCACGCTCGCGGTCGGCTGCCGGTACCTCGGCTCGGACGACGACTACCCGCCCGAGATCTGCGGCCTGCTCGGCGACTTTGACACGAGGGGCGACGTGTTCGTCACCTGGAGCAGGTACTTGCTCGACCAGGAATGGTGCGTCGTACGCTCCCCTCGTCTCGTCTGTCGCCTCGACGAACCCGTCCCTGACGCTCCCTCCCTCCTCGCCTTCTGCCCCTCTCGCAGGTACAACCCGACCCTGTCGACTATCCGAGGCCTACTCGTTCTCGGCCTCTACCTCGCAGGGCGTGGCTTCGACGGCCCTTGCTTCATGTTCGTCGGGCTCGCCCTCAAGCTCACCGAGGGTCCGTCCACTCCTGCGCCCGCTCGCGCCCCGGCCGACGACCTGCTCACGCCTCCCTCCTCTCGCCCACAGACTTTGGCCTCAACCTCGGTCCACATCGCCTGTCGATCAACATGGGCATGCCGCTCAGCGACGAGCTCATCACGGCGCGGCGGGCGTGCTTCTGGTCCGCGTTCTGCTCCGACATCGTTTCGTCCATGTGTGCGTCCCTCGCTCTCTCCCTCTCTCATCCTCGTCGACGTCGACTGACATGTCTTTCGAGCGCACAGACATCGGTCGCAGCATCGCGTTCCCGCCCGAGATGGTCGACACGGACCCGCCGCCCGTCGTTGCCGAGCTCGACTACGACTCGCCGATGTACCGCTCGAGCGCGTTCCACTGGGCAAGCCGCCTCATCTTTATCGCGAGCAAGGTCATGTCGAGGGTCTACTCGCTAAAGCCCGGCATCAGCCTCGCCCAACGGCAGGCCATGGTCCCCGAGCTGCACCTGCTTCTCGAGAGCTGGTGCGTCCCCCGCCCTCTCGTCCTCAGTCCCTGCTCGTCGCCATGGACGTTCAGAGCCTTCAGGTGCATGATGCGCGAGGACCTCACGCCTTTCGAGCGCACGCAGGCATCATGAGCTCCCGTCGCATCTGCGCGCGAGCGGCTCGGACCCGCTCAAGGCGCCGCACCCGCACATCCTCGGTACGCTCCCCTCTTTCCCCTACTCTCACTCGGACTTGAACTCGAGAGATTGACCGTCTCGCACTGTGCGCAGTCCTCAACATGACGCTGCATCTCGTTCACATCTCGGTGAGCCCGGCTTTCTCTCGGTCCCTGCCCCTGGTGCGACGGCCTTACCTCATTAATCTGGACTGACCCGGTGCTTCTCCATGCGTCACCCTCTCGCAGCTTCATCGCCCGTGAGTCGCGCCGGTCCTCGCCTCGACCACCTCCTCTCGTCCTCGAGCTGACCTTCTCAAACTCGGATGTCGCCCAGATTCTTCCGCCGCCGCTGCCCGGCCACCTCGACGATCAACATCAGCACCGAGAAGTGCCTCATGGCCGCCAGCAACATCGTGCGCCTCGTCAAGCTCCTGCGCGGCTCGGCAGGTCTGCGCTTCTCCGCTCCCGGGGTGCAGCAGTGCGTCGCCGAGTTCTCTACTTCTCCCCCTCGACGTACTCGTTCCCTGACGCTCTAGGTCCTCGCAGCGCCGCCTTCAACGCCGGCACAGTCCTCGCCATCTCGGCCGTCGAGGACGGCATCTCGGCCAACCCCAAGCGCGACCTCGAGCGGCGCGGGCAGGCGAGCAAGGACCTGCGCTTCATCATCGAGTGCCTCAAGGAGATCGGCACGACTTGGACGACGGCGCACACGAGCGCAGGTGTCCTCGAGGGTGCGTCGGCCTGTCCCCTCACTCGGCTCGCGCCCATGACGTTCACGGACTGACTCAGGTCTCCTCGTCTGCAGCCCTCACGAGCCAGTTCGAGGCCGCCTCGCTTCCTCCAGATCAACTACCCGTCATCGCCGACGTGCAGTACTCGCCGTCCCTGTCGTCGACCTCGGCGTCCTCGCACGCGCCGTACCCGCTTTTCGACGACGGCGCCACCGCCGCCGTCCTCCAAAGCCTCGACCTGCCCGTCTTCCTCGACGACCAGACCCTCTCGTCACGCCCTCTTCGCGACCCCATACCCGAGCAGCCGCCGAGCACTGGCGTCGACGGCCTCGTCGGCTCGGACGACGTCGCACCCGGCGCAGCCACGCCGACGACGGCGAGCGGGTACCAGACGCCATCGCGGCTCTTTGGCGCCGGATGGCTCCCGTCTGCCGCGACGGGCCTCGGTGGCGGCGACGACGACGCCGCAGCGTTCGGCGGTTCGAGCTTGCCGTTCCTGTTCCCGTCGTGGGACCGCGACGACGGGTCGGACGACTTTATGAGCCTGCTCAACGTGCCGCAGTGTGCGTCCACCTCTCATTGCCCTTTCCCTCTCGTCTCTCGAGGCGCGTCGAGACGATACCTGACTCGTTCGTCGTCCCTTCGACCGCAGCGACGCCGGCGAGTGCAGCTCAGACGCCGTCCGCCGAGTCTCTCTGAGCGCACGTCCGACGGATCGTTTTCTTCTCTACATTTGTAGCGCGCACGCGCAATGCAGCACTGTCTCGCCCACGATGGCTGCGACGTCGAGAGGTCCGTTCGCGCGCTCTCGACCTCTCTCTCCTGTCTTTCTCTGCCCCGAGAGCGCTCGAGCGGGAGCCTTTTGTAGTCTGCGCCTCGCCAGAAGAGGGCAAAGCCTCGTCCCTGCACACCACAGCTGACCGCAGCTCGTGCGGGAGAGCGCGAACAGCCGAAAGCCGGACGATCCACCTCAAGTGGTGCTGGCGGGACTGGGGCGAGCCGCGTTCGAGCAGAGCGCGTACGAGCACTCGTCGCTCCTAGTTAGCGCCGAGTCTGTCGAAAGTCGGGGAAGCTGAGCCGCGGCAGGGTCGGTCCACCAGAGGAAGGAGACGAGCCGCGTCGCCGCCGTCGCAGTAAGAGCGGGAGCGAACGGCGAGAGACGATCTGCCTGCAAGGAATGACGGAAGCCGAGCAAGCGACACGCGTACGTTGCTGACCAAGGATGGGGCCGAGCGAGCAACAGTGCCAGGGCCTGAGCGCCAGGAACAGTGCGCGTCGCCGTCGACGGAAGGCGAGGATCCGCTCGGCCCGTCGATCGCGTCGAACTTAGTATTGCTCAATAGGTTGTGGGCTAAGGACATCAAGCGCGCGGGCCGCCGGACCCGATCAGTGAGCCGAGGCGGGCGCGCAGGCTCCGAGTCCCGCCTCGCCGCCCCTTCCGCCTCTCGCTCCCCTCGTCCTCGTCGCCCAGGACCAGGCCGACCCGCTCGTCCTTGTCTCTCTCTCTGTATCTCCCGACACTCGACTGCACCGGCCGCACCCCCTCGCCCTCGGCACCTCGACCTACCGCAAGCACCTTCTCTCGACCCCCCGCCTCATCTCTCTCGAGCCATGTCGCTCGTCGGCAACTTTACGGCCAATGGCGACCGCGAGAACCGCCACAACGGCGTCGCCGCACTGGGCAACAAGGGCGAGCGCGACTATACCGGCGACATCTCGTCGAGCGAGGACGAGGAGACGCCCGAGGAGGCTCAGCGCCGCGCCGACCTGGAGGTGGCCGGCCTCGCTCGCACCATGAGCCGCCGCTCCGACGCGGTCGACAGCTCGAGCGACGACCCTCTGCGCCCGACGCCCGACTCGATCTTTGACCCTTGGTCGGACAACTTTGACGCTCGCGCGTGGGCCAAGGCCGTCTGGTCGCTCACCAACCTCGCCCACCGCACCGCCGGCGTCGCGTTCGAAAACCTGGGCGCGTACGGCTACGGCACCGACAGCGACTACCAGTCGACGGTCGGCAACATGCCGCTCAAGGCGTTCGGCATGCTCAAGGGCCTCGTCTCGCGCAACAAGGGCAAGCGCGTCCAGATCCTGAGCGGCGTCGACGGCCTCCTCGAGCCCGGCGACATGCTCGTCGTCCTCGGTCCTCCCGGCAGGTGTGTCCCCTTTCGTTCTCGCATCGAGGGAGAAGCGAGCGCACGGCACTGACCTTGGTCGTCGTCTCCGTTCCGCTCGCAGTGGCTGCTCGACCTTCCTCAAGACGCTCGCCGGCGAGACGCAGGGCTTCAAGGTCAACCCGGAGAGTAACATCAACTACAAGGGCATCACGCCCGAGCAGATGAAGAAGAATTTGTGCGTCGTCGCTTTCCACCGTCGCCGTCGTCGAGGTCGGTCACTGACCCACTCTTTCTCCTCTCACAGCGCCGGCGAGGCCATCTAGTGCGCCTCCCTTTTCACTCGTCGTTCGCGCTCGTGCACGAGATCCTAATGCCTTGCCCCGCAACAGCTCTGCCGAGACGGAGCAGCACTTCCCGCAACTCACGGTGGGCCAGACGCTCGAATTTGCTGCCGAGGCTCGCGCGGTGGGTCACCCTCTCACTCTCTCTCTCGGCGATACGACTTTCTCGGCAACGTGAGCCTGACCCTGCGACGTTCCTGCAGCCCCGCAACCCTCCCGGCGGCCTGAGCCAGCGCGAGTGGTCGAAGCAGTTCGCCGCCGTCATGATGGCCGTGTTCGGAATTTCCGACACGTACAGCGTCCGCGTCGGCAACGAGTACATCCGCGGCGTGTCGGGCGGTCAGCGCAAGCGTGTCTCGATCGCCGAGGTCGCCCTCGCCGGCTCTCCCCTCACCTTCGTGCGCTCGCTCCCCTCTTTTCCTCCCCTCCTTCCACCCGACACTGATGTCCTTCCTCGCTCGCAGTGGGACAACTCGACTCGCGGCCTCGACTCGGCGACGGCCGTCTCGTTCTGCCAGTCGGTCCGCAACTCGGTCGAGCTCACCGGCGGCGTCGCGAGCGTCGCCATCTACCAGGCGCCGCAGCCGGCGTACGACTGCTTCACCAAGGCGATCGTCCTGTACGAGGGCCACAGCATCTGGTTCGGCCCCGTCGACAAGGCCAAGCAGTACTTCGTCGACATGGGCTTTGAGTGCCCCGAGCAGCAGACGGTCCCCGACTTCCTCACGAGCCTGACGTCGGCGACCGAGCGCCGAGCCCGCCAAGGGTGGGAGACTCGCGTTCCTCGCACGCCGCAAGAGTTCGAGGCGCGTTGGAAGGCGAGCGACGAGTACCGCGCCCTCAAGGCCCAGCTCGCCGAGTACAACCAGCAGCACCCGCTCAATGGCGACGAGCTCGAGACGTTCAAGGCCGCTCGTCGCGACGTCCAGTCGAAGCACGTCCGCCCGGCGTCGCCGTTCACCCTCAGCTACCGCGCCCAGGTCGCTCTCTGCCTGCGCCGCGGCTTCTGGCGGCTCAAGGCCGACCCGTCCCTCACCATCTTCCAGCTCTTCGGCAACTCATCGATGGCTCTCGTCGTCTCGTCCGTCTTCTACAACCTTGCGCCGACGACGGCAACCTTCTACTCGCGAGGCGCGCTCCTCTTCTTCGCGATCCTGCTCAACGGTCCGTTCCGTCCTCCACCTTCCTCCCCTCCTTCCCTCGCGCCGCCCTGACCCTCTCCTCGCCTCCTCAGCCTTTGGTTCCGCCCTCGAGATCCTCACGCTGTACTCGCAACGCCCGATCGTCGACAAGCAGTCGCGGTACGCGTTCTACCACCCCTCGGCCGAGGCGTTCGCGTCGATGGCGACCGACCTGCCGTACAAGATCCTCAACGCGATCTGCTTCAACACGATCATCTACTTCATGACGAGTCCGTCCCGCTTCCTCTTCCTCTCTCTCAAGAACGTCCCGGGTTGACCTTCTCGTCCGTCCCCGTCTTACCTCCTCTTCCCCTCCCTCCTTCCTTCCCTCTCTCAGACCTCAATCGTCAAGCAGGCAACTTCTTCTTCTTCGTCTTGGTCTCGTTCACCCTCACCCTCGTCATGAGCATGTTCTTCCGATCGGTCGGCGCCCTGTCGCGGTCCCTGTCGCAAGCGCTCGTCCCGGCCGCCCTCCTCATCCTCGCGCTCGTCCTGTACACCGGTTTCGCCATCCCGACGCGGTACATGCTCGGCTGGATCAGCTGGATCCGCTACCTCAACCCGTGCGTCCCCCTTTCCTCTCGTCCCTGCACTCGTCGCCTTCCTAACCTCGACGCCCTCGCCCGCGCAGGATCCAGTACGGCTTCGAGAGCCTCATGGTCAACGAGTTCTGGGGCCAGCAGTACCGGTGTGCGGCAACGGTCCCGTACGTCCCCCTCTCGCTGCCTCTCGTCCCAGGTCGCGCTCGAAGCTCACGAGCCCGCCTTTCCCTCGCAGATCTGGGCCGGGCTATCCCGACGCTTCTTCGCCGAACGTCGTCTGCTCGGTCGCCGGAGCTATCCCTGGCAGTGCGTCCTCTTCCTTCTTCGTGCGCGTGCGCGAAACGACGGCCTGACGACCCTCCTCGACAGCTCTTTTCGTCGACGGCGCCGAGTACATCGGTCAGACCTACCAGTACTACCACTCGCACAAGTGGCGGTGCGTCTCCATCTCTCTCCATCTTCTCGAGGGACGCTCTGACCTGTTCTGCCCCCGCCCTGCAGCAACTACGGCATCCTCTGGGTGCGTCCTGCCCTCCCTTTCCTCTGCCTGCCCCGCCGGGCTCACTCTTTTCTCTCTCGCAGGTCTTCCTCATCGGCCTTATGCTCCTGTACCTCGCCGCGAGCGAGTACATCTCCGAGGCCAAGTCGAAGGGCGAGATCAAGCTGTACCCGCGCACCCGCCAGCCCAAGCACTCGAAGCACGAGGGCGACGACGACGTCGAGTCGGGCATGTCGGGCCGCACTGCGCGCAACGAGGACGAGGTCGTCGACGCCAAGGACGTCAACATCAAGCGCCAGACGGCCATCTTCCACTGGGAGAACCTGAGCCTCGACATCCCGGTCAAGGGCGGCACGCGCAGGCTCCTCGACGGCGTCGACGGCTGGGTCAAGGTGCGCCCCTCTTTTCCTCCCTCCTCTCGGTTCGGCGATTCGCGGTGAGCGGGACTGACGGCTCGCGGCGCCTCTCTGCAGCCCGGCACCCTCACGGCGCTCATGGGCGTCTCTGGCGCCGGCAAGACGACGCTTCTGGACACGCTCGCCTCTCGGTTCACGGTCGGCGTCATCACGGGCAACATCCTCGTCGACGGCAACCCGCGCGACGATAGCTTCCAGGTGCGCTCGTCGGCCTTCCCAAGTGAGGTCTCCAGGACCCGACTGACCGTCCCTCTCCCTTTTCAGCGCAAGACCGGCTATGTTCAGCAGCAGGACCTTCACCTCGAGACGGCGACTGTTCGGTGCGTCGTCGACGTCGTCCTCATCGACCGAGAGAGCGGGCACTGACCTTTCCTCCTCTCCCGAACCACAGCGAGGCCCTCCAGTTCTCGGCCCTTCTTCGCCAGCCCGCCAGCACCCCTCGCGCCGAGAAGCTCGCCTACGTCGAGGAGATCCTCAAGCTGCTCGGCATGGACAAGTACGCCGACGCCGTCGTCGGTCGCCTCGGCGAGGGCCTAAACGTCGAGGAGCGCAAGCGCCTGTCGATCGGTGCGCTCCCGTTTCTCCTCCTCGTCACCTCCTCTCTACCTGACTGACATACCCTCTCGTGCTCGTACAGGCGTCGAGATGGTCGCCAAGCCTGAGCTTCTCCTGTTCCTCGACGAGCCGTCCAGTGGCCTCGACTCGCAGACGTCGTGGTCGATCCTCGACCTTCTCGAGACGCTCAAGAACAACGGCCAGGCCATCCTCTGCACGAGTGCGTCCCTCTCACTCGTCTGGAGCGACCTCGTACGGGTCCTGATCGTCTCCTCGTCCCCCTCGCAGTCCACCAGCCCTCGGCCATGCTCTTTGCCCGCTTCGACCGCCTCCTGTTCCTCGCCAGGGGCGGAAAAACGATCTACTACGGGAGTGTTGGCGACGAGTCGCACGTCCTGCGCGAGTACTTTGAGCGCAACGGCTCGGCCAAGTTTCCGCCCGGCGTCAACCCCGCCGAGTTCATGCTCGAGGTCATCGGCGCCGCACCTGGGTCTCACTCCGACATCGACTGGCACCAGACGTGGCTCGACAGCCCTGAGCGCGCGGCCGTCAAGGAGGAACTGCGTCAACTCGCCGCCAACCCCAAGGTCGTCGACAAGTCGCAGGAGGACAAGTGGGCCTACACCGAGTTCGCCGTCCCGCTCCGCTCCCAGTTCTGGGAGGTCCAGAAGCGTGTCTTCCAGCAGTACTGGCGCACGCCCGTCTACATCTACTCCAAGGCCACCCTCTGCACCCTCGTCGTGAGTTTTCATCTCTCTCTCTCTCTCTCTCGACCACCTTCTCCCCTTCTTTCGCGCCGTCGTCAGGCCGTCACTGACTTATTCTGCGCGTTCCACAGGCTCTCTTCATCGGCTGTACGTCGCTCCCTGTACCCTCGAGTCGTTCGTCGAGCCCGTCCTGACCTGCCTCGCTCGTCGACCGCAGTCTCGTTCTTCGACGCCGGCACGTCGATCCAGGGCCTACAGAACCAGCTCTTTGCGGTCTTCCTTCTCTTCACCGTCTTCGGCCAGCTCGTGCAGCAGATCAGTGCGTCCACTCGTCCTTTTCTCCTTCCCCACCTCCCCGCCCCCTCTTTCTCCCCTTTCCTTCTCTTCCCTCCCTCTTTTTCCCTACCCCCCTCGTCCGTGACTGACTCTCTACTCTCTCTGTCACAGTGCCCCAGTTCGTCAAGCAGCGCGAGAGCTACGAGGTGCGCGAGCGCCCGAGCCGCACGTACAGCTGGATCATGTTTATGCTCTCCAACATCATCGGTGCGTCCTCCTCGTCCCCCTTCTTCACCCTCGACGACTCACATGAACTGACACTCTCCCCTTGTCGCAGTCGAGCTCCCGTGGAACACCCTCATGGCCGTCATCATGTGCGTCCCCTCTCGTGCTCGTTCGTCGAGTTCTAGCACTCACAGCCTCGCTCCCTCGCAGGTACTTCTGCCTCTACTACCCGGTCGGCTTCTACAAAAACGCTGGGTGCGTCGCGCTCGTCAATAGCCTCTCGTCGTCGTCGCGGGAGCCTGAACTGACCTTTCGACCTCGCGCGCAGCGACGACGTCCACGTTCGGGGCTTCCTCTTCTTCCTCTTCGTCTGGGTCTTCCTCCTCTTCACAAGCACGTTCGCCCACATGGTTATCGCCTTCAACGATACGGCCGAAAACGGAGGAAATCTCGCGAACTTGGCTTTTTCGCTCTGCCTCATCTTCTGTGGCGTTCTCGCCACCCCGTCGACGTTCCCAGGCTTTTGGGTATTCATGTATAGGGTTTCGCCGTTCACGTATCTCGCTGAGGTACGTCCAGCGCTCCCTCGTCGAGCGCCTTCTTCCTCCTCCTTCCTCCCCCTTCCTCCTTCCTCCTCCTCCTCCCCACGCCGCAGCCTCGTTCTGCCGAACCCAGGACTGACCCTCGTGACGCACAGGGCCTCCTCTCGGCCGCCGTCGGCGGCACGTCGGTGCAATGCGCCCCGCAAGAGCTCATCAACATCACGCCGCCCGCCGGCCAGTCGTGCGGCGACTACATGGGGCCCTACGTGTCGGTCGCAGGTGGCACGCTCAACCAGGCCAACGGCGCATGTGCGTCCCCCTTTCCCCGTCGTCGATCGAGCCCATTTGGCGTCGTCGACGTCGTCGCCTTCCTCCCGCACGGACCGCGCATTGACGAATCCTCGCCACCCCTGCAGGCTCGTACTGCCAGATCGCCGACACCAACACGTTCCTGCGCTCGTTCTCGTACGACTTTGGCAACCGCTGGCGCGAGTGCGTCCTCTCTCCTCCCCTCTTTCGTCGTCGTCGGCGCAGTCGCTCACCTCGGCGCGCTTCTCCTCGTCACAGCTTTGGCATCTTGTGGGCGTTCATCATCTTCAACGTCGTCGCCGCCCTGGTCTTCTACTACCTCGCGCGCATGGTCCGTCCCCTCCTCTCTCGCACCTCGTCGCCGCGTCGGGGCCTCGCACTGACTCTTGCCCGCGCCTGTCACCTTGTCCGCCACAGCCAAAGAAGAGCCGCAAGCAGAAGAAGGAGGAAAAGGCCGCTGCTCGGGCTGCGCAGAACAAGGGCGCCGCCGACAAGGGCGCCGACAAGGGCGCCGACAAGGGCGCCGACAAGGTCGCCGCCGAGAAGCACTAGTTCCCCCTCCCCTTTCTCCTCCTCCACGCCTTCCCTTCTCCATATCTTACCCTAATACTAGAAGTGCCTTGCCCACGTCGTCATCGTCTCGTCAGAGTCCCGTCCCCTGTAATACTCGTCCGTCGCCGTCGACCTTTTCCCCTGTCCTTCCGCCGCTGCGAGAGCGCTCCTCTCGTCGCTGAAAGGGGCGACGCACTTGGCTATGCCGAACAGTGTTCACAGTAGCTCGAGGGCGAGTGGCGCGTCTCACGAGAGCGAGGGACCGAGCGCGGGAGGAGAAACTCGGCTTGGAGAAGAAGCTCGAGGAGCAGGTGGACTCGCTCGTTCTTTCCCGCTCCTTTTCGCTCGCCCAGGCTGCTCGATTCAAGCTCAGAGGGCTACTCGACAGGTCTGCCTAGCGGCCGAGGCGAACGAGGAGCAGCAGAGAGAGTTTTCCCTCGGCAGCTGTCCACTTGAGAAGGCTCGCTCGGACCCTCTCCACGAGCCGCCTCGCACTGCTCTCTCGTCGGTCGCTCGTTGCTCGACCGTCGTCACACAGTGCTCAGAGCGCCGCAGCGGTTCGGGCAGTCCAGTTTTGCGGGCGCACAAAGGACCGGCGCCTCCTCGACCTCCCTTTTCTACGCCAAGCCGAGCTGGCGTTCCCGTTCCACGTCAGCGCAAGCGAGCCCATCGTCGAACGGTCGCCTCGACAGGTCGACCGAGCGATGCTGGACCGAGAAAGAGCGGGGTCTGAGCGCGAGAACTGGCCCTCCCTTCCTCGACTTCCTCCTCGACTTCCTCCTTGACGTCGAGTCGAGCGAGTCACGTTGCGAGGCGGTATCGCGGGAGGCGCGAGGCTCGAGCAGCCGCCTCAAGCCGTCGATCGAGAGCTACGCCGGTCCAGGAGGCGCAGGATGGCGAGCTCGCGGCCGACCTTCTCCTGCTCACCGTCCTCGGCTCAGGGTCAAGCAGCAAATCCCGAGCGCTCGTCCTTTCCGGCCAGCACGTCGAGGATCTGTCCGCTGAAGCTCCGCGATACTGTACAGCGCGTCTCGAGAGCGGTAGAGCGAAAGCGAACGCGCCGAGTACATACGAGCTGCGGCGCTTTGACCTCGACTTGACGCTCGGAAAGCTCGCAAGGTCCAGCGCACGGTCGACGGACCTCTCGAGCTACACTCTGCCGAGCTCTGAAGCGAGCCTCGCAAGTCCAGGAGCAGACTCGGGAGCACATTTCGAGCGAGCAGCTGGCTTGTCCTCTTCTCGAGGGCGAATCGCCCTCTGATCGCTCGCATTTTGCTCGCTCGGGCTTCGGTACGGGGCACACACCTCTCAGAGCTGATCCTCGAACAAACGCGAGCCCTGTAGCAGCAGGAGGAGAGGGTAGAAGAGCGAGAATGTGGGGAAGTGACGAGCCGAGCCGGCGCGCGCGCCCTCCTCGTCCGGCGTTTTTCCTCGCTCCTCGCTCGCCATCTCGCGCAAGGGGGGTGTTGTAGGGTACCCAGATGTGCAACAGAAAATGCTCGAGACGATGGCGACCTTCCCGAGCTCGAGCGTGTCGAGGTGCGAGAGGGAGGACCGGCGGGAGGTGAACCCGATGCGTGTGGCGTGCGCCAACAAAGTAGTACTTTCCTTTGTCGAACCAGTCAGGGTCATTAGCTCTCTTCCGAGTATAAAGCTACGGGATTACCTCGAGGAATTGGGGCAGACACTGGGCTGATAAAGATTAGGCTAGAGCGTCGCCACGCCGCCGGCATGCTACTCGGATTACCAGTCGCACCCCGGCCGCGCCGCGCGCCAACCCTACTCTTTTGTTGCGTTTCGCGTCCGCGCCGTACTCGTCCTCGCTCCTTTTTGCGCTCCTTTCGCTCGCCCAAGCTGCTCGGGTCGAGCTCAGAGTGCTACTCGACAGGTCTGCTTTGCACTTGAGGCGAATGAGGAGCAGGAGCGAGAGTTTTCCCTCGGCAGCGGTCCACTTGAGAAGGCTCGCTCGGACCGTCTCCACGAGCCGCCTCGCACTGCTCTCTCGTTCGTCGGTCGCTCGTCCCTCGAGCGTCGTCATTCAGTGCGCAGAAGGAGGGAGCAGCTTCGCGGTGGCGTGACCTCGACTCCTCGTTCTCGCTGGCAAGCTCCTCTCCTGCTCGCTCTTCTTTCGCTCGAAAAAACCCTCCAGAAGCGGGGCGAGGCGCAGCTCTCGACGGGAAGAAGAAGAGAGAGAGAGAGAGAGAGAGAGAGAGAGAGAGAGAGAGAAAGAGAGAGAGAGAGAGAGAGAGAAAGCGCGAGAGCGAGAGAGAGGCGAAAAGTGAGGGCAAAGCTTGAATGCAAAGGCGCCGACGAGGCGAGAGGGGGAGGCTACGGCAGATGGAGGGAGAGGGCTCCTCACGAGCGCGACACAACGACGACCGCCGCCTCGAACTGCTCGCGTCCCTCGACGGCCGCCCAGCCCTGGCGCACCCCGCCCTCGTCAAAGTTGAACTGCTTGACCGGCGCGCGCAGGCCGTGCTTGTCGGCGAGCTGCATGGCGTGCTCGAGCTGCTTGTGCGTGACGAGGGGCTGGCCGTGCAGCGTCATCGACTTGGCGAGGATGTTGGCTGTGCGGCGAGGTCGAGGAGGCGAGGTCGAGAGGGAGGAGGAGGAGGAGGGAGAGGGTCAGTGTGGGCCTCGAGATCTCGAGCCGGCGAGAGAGAGAGCGCGAGGAACGCACCGATCGGGAGCTGCATCGCCTGGTCCTGGCGAGGCGAGAGGAGGACGATCGAAGAGTGGAAGCGGCAGCCGTCGAGGAGCTGCTCGACCTGCTGAATCGGCATGTCGACGCCTGCGAGTCGTGCGGGACCGAGTGGGTCAGTGCGTCGTCCGTCGACGACCTCGAGAGAGAGAGCGCGGACGCACACATGATGCCCTGGGCGCCGCCGAGCTTCTTGAGCTCGTCGGCGACGTTGTGCTTGCCGACGACGACGAGGCAGTCGTCCTTGAGGCCGTAGTCGCCGGCCGACCAGCGGTCCGACGTGGCGACGAGGATCACCTTGCGGTCCTGCTTGGCCATCTTGATCGTGTCGAGCGCGACCTTGACAAAGCCGCTGCGAGAGGGAGGGGGAGTACGGTGGTGCGAGGGTCAGTGCCGCGTCGTCGTCGACACAGAGAGAGAGAGAGAGGGAGAGGGACGCACCCTTGACCGTACACGACGAGGACGCCGTCGCCCTTGAAGCCCATCCGCTCGTTGAGGTCCTTGACGAGGCGACGCTCGGCGTCGTTCATGCGCTTGAGCTCGTCGTGGCAGCGCTCGTGCGCGACCCAGACGCGCGTCGCGTCAAACGCGCAGATGGGCGCCTCGAGGTGCTTGTCGCCCGAGTGGAACGACTTGGGCAGCTCGATGACCATGGCCTCGTTGACGGCGACGTACTCGGCGAGGCCGCGCATGAACGTGATGGCTGCGAGCGTAAGAGTGTGTCAGTCGCAGGTCCTCGTCGACGTAGACGAGGCAGAGAGAGAGAGAGACGGGGACGGACCGACGACGAGCGTGCCCTCCTTGAGGTTGCGCTTGCCCTGCTGCGCCGCCTTGGCGATCTCGCCGACGACGACGCCGCCCGGGATCATCGGGTAGCGCATGTCCGGGAGCAGGTCGTGCTTGAGGAGCTCGTCGCTGCGGGCGGGCGAGGGAGGGTCAGCTCTCGGTCGAGGCTCGTGCGCGAAAGGAGAGGGGGACGCACGTCGAGTGGAGGCCGCACACGTGGACCTTGATGACGCACTCTGCGAGACGAGGACAGAGTCAGTCTCGACCTCGACGACGACGACGACGACGAGGAGAGAGAGGGAGACGCACCGTCGGCCTTGACCTCGCCGAGCTGCGTCGGCTTGATCTCGAGCTGCCCGTTCTTCTCGGTGAACTGGGCGGCGCGGAACTGGTCGGGAATGTTCATCGTCGACTGCATGATGGGGCTGAGAGGTGGTGGTGGTGGTGGTGGGTGAGGGTGAGGGTGAGGACGAGGAGGGACGAGGGAGGTCGTCGAAGGGGGAGGGGGCAAGAGTGGGAGGAAGGAGGGAGAGAGGCGTGCGCGAGAGCGAGGCCGTTCTTGTGCGAGACCGAGGGCGAGCGAGTTGCTGCGGCTCTCCTTGACCGAGGGTGAGGGTCCGGCGAGAAGGGGAAAGGAGACGCCGCATACAGCGGACGGTTCGAGCGACGGCGAGGCCGGACGGCGCCCGACGCTGCGTGCGAGGGCTCGAGAGGTGCAAGGAAGGTGGGAGAGGCCGTCGAGATAGGCGCGGCGGCCACAGGTGGCGAGGACGAGGCGGGAGAGCGGAAGAGGCGACTTGAGAAGGCCGCGAGTCGATGTAGGCGGCGCCGGATCGAGGGGCGCAAGAGCGCACAGGGTACAACAGAGCTAGCCTGCGTGAGGCACGTGACAGTGTCAGGCTCGCGTCGGAGGAATTGGGTAAAGAGGGAGAGAAAGAGATGGCGCACCTCGAGCTCATGGCGACCAAGGAGAGAAGCACGCGCGGGACCGCTCTTCGAGGACAAGCGGACGAGCATGAAGCCTCGAGCTCGCCTGGCCAAGCCGACCGTGCCGCAGAAAGCTGCGGCTCCCGCTGCTCGAGCCTCTCCCCGCTCTGCCGCCCTCTCAAGCCCAGATCGTCCCGACGCCGCCCTCGAGCACAGGAAGAAGCTGCCCGTCGTTGCTCGCCACTGCGCTCCCTCCGTCAGCTCCACATGCCCGGCCGCTCCTGCCATCTGTCGAAGCCGTCGCGCGCCGACGCACGCCCGCTGCCCTCCCTCGCTCGCCCACCGCGAGCGTCGCCGCGCCCCGGCGTCGCCGACGCCGAGCCCCGACCAGGACGACCGCCTCGACCGGACGGGCTCCTGCGCGGCGCGTGCGCGTCATGGCTCGACCCGGTCCCACCGCGTCCAGGACGAGGCCCGCCGCTCGCGCTCGTGGACGGCGACAGCGCCGGCGGCGGCGCAAGCGGGGCCGCCGGCTCGGGGCCGCCCGCCGGTCCTTGTACCGAGAGAGGGCGGGTTGGAAAACGCGACGAGGTTGGCGAGGAGAAGGAAGGGATGGGCGAGGGCGAGGCTGAAGTCGAGGTCGCCGTGTTGGTCGAGGACGGGGCCTGGTCGGGACGGGAGGCGGAAGAGCGTCATGACTGCCTCGTGCTGGGCACGAGAGAGGTTGACGACGAGAGAGTACAACAGGGGAGGGGCACAACGAGGAGATGGTCGAGGAGAGGAATCGACGAGGGGGAAGGGAGGGGGAAGGGAGGGGAACGAGAAGATTTAGGGAACGACCTGCACCTTGACGCCCTTGCGCCGGTTCTCTGCGAGGGTAGGGCGCAATCAGAGGGAGGACGGAAAGAAGAAGGAGAAGGGGGAGGGGCGTACCAGCGCCATAACTGAGGGCGAAACCTCGGCGTGCAAGCGTCTCCTTGAGGGCTGTCGACGGGGCTCACGAGTCAGTGACGCCGCTCGCACACAAACATGCTTCGCTCAGGGGAAGGAGAGAGAGAGAGAGAGACGCACCCTGCTTGTCGGCCTCCTCCTCGCGCGACTCGTAGTCGAGGACGAGCCGCTTGAGGCGCTCCTGCTCGGCCTTGTTCTGCTCGCGTTGCAGCGTTGAGCTCATCGCGATCGACGAGTCGCGAGGAATCTCCATGGCGAGGGCCTGCAGGGGAGTGACGAGGGTCAGGCGCGCTCGAGGAGAGAGAGGAAGAGGCGTGAAGAGGAAAGGGACGCACCTGCTGCTTGTTGCCCCGCTTCGTCAGGAGCGTGAACTGCATGCCGCGCTGCTCCTCCTGCGCCGCCGCATCGAGCTCCTCGACCGGTCGCTCCTCGGCCCTCTGCCGCCGGATGAGCGGGATGCCGACGTCGAGCGCGACCGGCTTGCGCTCGCGCTGCTCGCTCGACGAGACCATCATCTTGGCGAGCTCGCGCGCAAAGTCGTCCTCCTCGTCCTGCGTCATGGCGTGCGGGTCCCGACCGCGCTCGGCACCCTGGGCGTCCTCGTCGTCAAAGGCGGTCGGGTCGGCGAGCTCGTCGCCGTCGGTCGTGTCGTCCTGCGGGCGCAAACGCGTCAGGACTCGTCGCAGACCTCGACGTCAAATAAGGGAAGACGCACCTCGCTGTCGCCCTCGGTCTCGGAGCCGTCCTCGCCCTCCTCGTCTGCGCCCTGCCGCGGCCCGGCCTGCCCGTCCTGCTCCTCAACCTCCTCGTCCGGCAACGCTGCGGGTCCCGAGTGTCAGGGCAGCTCGACTATCAGGCCGAGGTGCAAGGGACGAGAGAGAGAGAGTCGGCGCACCGTCTTTGGCGACCGCAGCCATCATGTCGTCGACCGCAAAGGCCGCCTCGGGGTACGTCTGGAAGCGGACGAGCTTGGGGCGGACCTGCTCGAGCGTGTCCGAGTACATGAAGCCGACGTCCATCGGGAGCGCGCCCTTGACGAGCACGTACATCTGCGAGGGCGAGGCGGGTCAGCTCGTCGACGAGGGGAGGAGTCGGACGGCGACGAGGGTACGACGACGAGGAGAGGACGGGACGCACCTGGAAGAAGACGAGGAAGTTGTCGAGCTTCTTCTTGAGGGCGCCTCGGTCGAAGCAGGCGCCGCACGTGTCGAGGAGGGTGCACACGAGGCGGATGCGGAAGTAGTCGTCGGGCGAGTCGATCGGGGTCGGCGCGTCGGGCGAAGGGCGACCCTCGGCTGCACGAGAGGTGGACGTGAGTAAGAATACGAGGGCGAGGAAAGGGAGGGAGGAGCGAGAGGGGACGCACGGTGGCCGAAGGTGACGAGCGACCACAGCGTGTCGAACACGACGCGCGAGTCGACGACGCGGTAGTTGTACAGCTCGCCGAGGTACTTGACGGTCGCGACGCGCTGCTGGTTGTACTTGAAGTTGTTGACCTCCATGCCGGTGCGCACGTTCTCGAGCACGTCGTCGATGACACCGACGCTAAAGTCGGGGTGGTACCGGCCGAGGTCGTACAGGAGGACAGCGAACAGGTGCACGTTGCTGTACTTGATCTTCCAGACCTTGGTGAACGCGTTGTGGAGCTTGCGGACGACCTGCGTCGGCGACGAGGGCGAGAGTCAGTGCTCCGCACGAGCGCGAGGAGGAGAGGAGGTCCGGGCGCACAGCGGGGTCCTCCCAGTGGAGCTTGCGCAGCAGCTTGAGGACCTTGTCGCTCGAGTTGCGGTTGAGGACGTTGTAGAACAGGTGGCGCAGGTACAGCTGCATCGGCGTGCGCTCCTTGGGCGGGATGGCCGGGCGCTCGGGCGGGTCGCACTGCGGGTCGCTCACGCTCGTCAAGCCTGCCGATCGGCTTCCTGCTCCTTGCGAGCCGAGGCGTGATGCGGAAGAGAGAGAGGGTGCGCACCTGGTAGTAGGCGTTCTCGAGCATGGCCGACTGGCGCTCGTCGAGGTGCATGGCCGCCTTCTTGCGCTTGAACGTGTCGACGACCACCTTCATGCGCTCGCTCGTCGCCTCGCTGCGGAGGAGGAAGCGGCCGCACGCCTCGAGCACCGTGCAGAAGTTGTCGATGTTGGGGCCCGAGAAGTCGTCGAGGAGGACCTTGAAGATGTGGAAGATGACGTGTTCGGGCGTGACGCGGAACTTAGTGAGCTCGGCAACGAAGCGCAGGTTCTGTGTACGCCTGAGAGTCAGTAGGCGCCAGAGAGAGAGACGAGGTGGAGCGGCGGGCGCACCTTGGACCTGCTCTCACCGAGGTCGGCCTGCTTCTTGCGCTGCAGGTAACGGAACTCGTCCTCGAGCTGCGGGTGTGCCCTTCGTCAGGGTCGGTCGGGACGAGTGCGAGAACGAGAGAGAGGGAGTGGGACGTACGAGCGCGACGAGCTCCTTGCCGACATCGGGCATGAACGGGTTGAGGGTGCCGACGAGGCGAGCGTAGTACGGCAGGATGTCCTGGCGGTTCCTGCTGACCGAGCCGAGCGTCTGCAGCACTCGAGAGTCAGGGCGGGAACTCGACACGAGGGGGGACTGGGGAGAGGCGACGCACCTTGACGAGCCTTTTGCGGGCGGCCTTGCTGTTGAGGAAGGCGAACTCGAAGGCGATGGCGTCGATTGACGCCTTGGACGACGCCTCGGGCAGGCGCGCAAAGATGGCGTTGAGCTGCGCGGCAGGGCCGGACGGGATGGCCGGGTCCGGCTCGTTCGTGTCGAGTTTGGCGACCGGGTCCCTGCGCGAGGCGGGCAGAGTGAGCTGACCGGGCCGGCGAGCGCATGAGGAGAGGGGGACGACGCACTCGACAGGTTCATCCTCCCGTTCATCGTCGATGCGCATCTCCTCCTTGACCTCGCTCTCGACCGCCGCCGCCGACTCGACCGCCGCTCCCTCCCCCTCGACCCCCTTCTCGGTCTCGTCCGGGACGCCGAGGATCGCGCCCGGCACCTCGCCCCTCAGCTCGCGCAGGTCTTCGTAGAACTTGCGCTCCTCGTCGTCGGCCCACAGGCTCTGCGGGCCGAGGTCGTCGTTGCCGGTGCCGGCGGCGCCCGACGAGCCGGCCGTGACGAACGACGGGTTGAGCGACGACTGGAGGGACGGGAGAACCGGGAGCTGGAGCGACAGGAGCTCGGATAGCCTGCGGGCGAAGGTGAAAGGTCAGGGACGGGCGGGGTGAGGAGGGGGGAGGAAGGTCGCGAGAGGGGCGCACTGAGTGACGGACGCCCACCCTCGCTCCCACGACTTTACGGCCTTCTCGTAGTTCTTCTCGCGGTCCTCGAAGACCTCGCCCGAGCGGATGTAGGCCTCGTGGTTGCGCTTGTCTTGCTTTTGCAGGTCCTGTGGCCGGTGCGAGTGAGGTCAGGGTTCGGTCGCCGAGGACGCAGTGATCCTCGAGAAGTAGAGAGCGGGACGCACGACGTGAAGGCGCTGTTCGCGCTTGCCGAGGGCGTCAAAGTAGGCGACGAGGAGCTTGCGGAACTTGTCCTTCATCTCGCGCGGGACGAGCCCGTCGTCGACGTCTGCCCCCATGGCGGGAAAGTCGTGCGAGGACGGCTCGGCGCTGTCGCCTGTCGCGGCTGGAGGGTCGACGGGCGGAAGGTAGATGGGGCCGAGGTGTTTGGCGAAGGCGATGGCGAGAGGCGCGACGAGCGCGAGCGCCTCCTTGTCCGAGGTGAGCTGTTGCGGGTGAGGTAGGTCAGGGATTGGGCCGAGAGACACATGGAAAAGAAGGAGAAAGTGCCACGCACAAGGTCCTTGAGCGCAGCCCACGTCACCTCGCCCCGCACGCCTTTGCCCTCGCCCTTCCTGACGATCCCGACCGCCTCGAGCTCTCCGACGACGCGCAGCACGCCGCGCTGCTTGACGATGCGCGCGTTGTTCTCCTTGTCCTGGATGTCGCGGTCCGAGGCGGTCGAGGATGCGGGCTTGAGGCCCTGGAGGAGGAGCGAGGCGAAAGGAGGGGTGAACAGGTCGGGGAAGCGCTGATGGAGGGCCGAGACGACCTGGAGGGGCAGGACCGGGCGACAGATCAGTTTCTCTACTCACGAGGGACGGGCCAGGACACGCAGAGAGGGACTCGTTGCGACGCACCTCGACTGCGCCGGCCGTCTCTGCGGCCGTTTTGCACTTGCCGAGGCCCTCGACGACTGCGCCGACGGCCTCCTCGACGTACTTCTCGAGGCTGAGCTGGGCGATCTCGTTGAGGAGACCCGGGATGGCGGCGCTCGTGTTGAGGCTCGAGCGGAGCTTGACGAGGAGGGCGGTGTGGCGCTTGAGCGAGGTGTCGAGCTTGCCGAGGCCGTCTGCGGGGGCGGGGAGGGCGTGTCAGGGGGTGTGCACGGCAGTGTAGGGAGGTGGGGGCGGTGCGCACCTGGTGGCCCTGCGCGTTGCCAGGCGTCATTGTTGAGCTGGAGGAGCTCGAGGCGACGCTGCGCCCTCGCCTCCTTGGACGACTCTTTCGAGTCTGTCGCGGCAGCAGTGGCAGCAGTGGCCATGGTGCGCCTGCGTGCAGGTCGGCTCAAGAGGCGGCGAGCTGTGCGACGTCGATGGGAGATGAAGGAGAGAGTGCTTCGCCCACCTCGACCTCGCTCGCTCTCGTCGTCGCTGCCTGCATGGTCCGCCTGCGCCTCGAGACCACTCGCACCCTCCCACCAAGGCGACCTGCACCCCTCGCCCTCGCCCCGCGCCGTGGGCTCGCCTCGCTCCCCACCTCGCCGCCGATCACTTCGACCCGGTTGTTCGCCTCGTCGGTCCTCCTCGCCGGTGCGGGCCTCGGGGCAGGCGTTGGAGCCGTCGCAGGGCACGCAGCCAAACCTCACGGCTCGCCCTCGTCGCGCGCCTTCTGGACGCTCCGCTGCGACGACCAGCCCGCGGCGACCAAGGCGACGGCCACGGGCAAGGGCGGCGCAGGACGAGACGGCGACTGCGGCGACGACAAGGATCCTGCATGGCTCGCCAAGCTCAAGTCGCTTCCCAGGCCGACCCTCCCGACCCCTCCTTCCCTCCCCGACTTCCCTTCCCTCCCCGACCTCCCCTTGCCGTCCCTCCGCCTCGCCGACGTTACCGCCACGCTCGAGTCGTGGAAGTCGTCCCTCGCCTCACTGTCGACCACGTTCGCCAAGCTGCAAGACGAGCTCTCGCTCGGGCCCGACTCGACCTACGCCCACATCGTCGACGAGGGCAAGGACGCGCGCGCCCACCCCGAGCTCCAGTGGGACGCCCAGGTCCGCCTCGGCACCGACCTCCCGATCAGCGAGCGCGCCTTTCTGCGCAACCGCCGCCAGAAGATGCGCGCCGCGTTCGCCCGCCTCGTCGACGTCCCCCTCGACGACGTCGACGAGCGCGACCTGCCCACCGTCTCGATCGCGGCGAGCGGCGGCGGGTACCGCGCCATGCTCAACACGATGGCGAGCCTCGAGGCGGCAAAGGAGACGGGCCTGTGGGACGTCGTGACGCACATCTCGGGCGTCAGCGGGTCGTGCTGGGCCCTCAACACGCTCTACTCGCTCGGCGGCGGTGCGTCCCTCCCTCCCCTTTCTTCCTCTCTCCTCCCCCATCGTCCCGGTCTGACTCTTTTGATGCGCCCACACAGCCGACATCAGCTGGACCCTCAAGCACCTGCGCGAGCGCGTCAAGGAGCCGTTCCTCCAGCCCGACACGTTCACCGGCCTCCTCAACGTCGACGACCCCAACTCGCGCGCCATCCTCGCCGCCACGATTCTCAAGAAGGCGAGCCAAGGCGGCGACGTTTCGCTCGTCGACGTGTATGGCGTCCTCGTCTCGACCCGGCTCTACGTCGCCTCGTCGGCGCTCCCGCCCCCGCCTCGGCCGCTCTCGCTCCGCACCATGAAGACGTCGGCGCAGCGCGACTTTATCGACGACGGCGGCGCGCCTCTGCCCATCTACACGACCGTGCGCCACGACATCCCGCCGCCGTCAGAGCTCGAGAAGCTCGAGAACGAGAACGAGGACAAGGCCAAGGAGATGGTCCAGAAGGCCGAGTACACCTGGTGCGCCCCACTCTCCCTCTCTCGCTGTCTATTACCTCGTCTTGACGGACCCTTTGCCACAGGTTCGAGACGACGCCGTTCGAGGTCGGCAGCGACAAGCTCGCGGCCTGGATCCCGACCTGGGCGCTCGGGCGCGTCTTTGACGGCGGCAAGAGCGCCGAGCGCGTGCCCGAGCTCGGCGTGCCCGTCCTGTCGGGCATCTACGCAAGCGCGTTCTCGGCGTCGCTCTTCTCGTACTGGTCCGAGATCCGGCCGCTGCTCGTCGCCATGCCGCTCTTCGCCAAGATCGACGACTTTGGTGCGTCGTCCCCTGTTCTCCCTCTCTCAGTCTCTCTCGCGTCGCCTGACTCTCTCTCGCGTCACCTGCAGTCAAGTCGAACGCGTACAAGCTCGACATTATCCACCCGCTCCCTCCCGCCGAGCTCCCCAACTTCCTGTACAACCTGCGCACCCTCCCTTCCTCGGTCCCGTCGTCCCTTGCCACCGAGCGCACCCTCGGCTTTGCCGACGCCGGCATCAACCTCAACCTGCCGTACCTCCCGCTCCTGCGCCGCAGCGCCGACGTCATCATCGCGCTCGACGCGAGCGCCGACTCGCAGGACGTGTGGTTCTCGCGTGCGGCCGAGCTCGCGCGCAAGTACGACGCCGTGCCCTCGACGGCGGCCGACGCGCAGCAGCAGCAGGAGGACGGCGTCGAGCAGGCGGGCAGGAGGGAGCGCTCGCGGTGGCCGGCGGTCGACGTCGAGGCGCTCTTCCCCGCGCAGGTCGCCGCGCAGCAGGGCGGCAAGGCCGGCGACGCCAAGGATGAGAGCAAGGAACACGAGAAGGACGCCCACGCGGCGGCGGCCAAGGTCGACGCGGCCAAGCTGCAGGAGGGCGCGAGCGGCGCCAAGGAGGACGGCGAGAGGAGCGGCGTGCGGGTCGACAACCCGCAGCCTGCGCCCGTCGGGAGCGCGCCCGAGAGTGCGGAGCGTGCGGCGCATGAGGATGGAGCGGGTGCGGGCGAGGACAAGCCGATGCCGAGCAGCCAGGCGAGGGAGCCTCCTCTCGGGCGATGCAGGTGCGCCTTCTTTTCTCTCTGCCTCCTCTGCGTCTTTCTCCTCGCGGAGACGGTATCCTGACACAGCCTCTCGTGCGCAGCATCTGGATCGGCTCGACCAACCCCGACCACGCCGCGTCATGCCGCAACGACCACCCGTCGGTCGACGACGTCCTCGAGCGCAACGGCATCGCGCTCGCCTACATCCCGCTCGCGCCCGACGACGAGTTCAAGAACCCGCTCGAGGTCTTTTCGACATGGGAGTTTGCGTTCAAGGAGGAGGAGACGGACCGCCTCATCCGGCTCGCAAAGGGTGCGCCCCTCTCTCCCTCCCTCCCTCTCTACCTCTCGAGCAGGTCGAACGACCACTGACTCTCGCCTCGTGGCCGACGTGCAGCCAACTTCAAGGCGGGCGAAGAGCAGCTCAAGACGGTGCTCAAGGGCGTGTGGCTGCGGAAACGGCAGCAGCGTTTGGCGGACGAGGCGCGAGGAGGATCGGCGGACGGCGCGTCGGAGCCGAGCAGCAGCCTGTAGCATAGAGCTCTGTCATTACTACTCTCGAAAGAATGATGCAGTGCGACGTGCAGGACGCAGACGCCCGGCTCACTCTCCGAGTCGTCGCTCCCTTCGTCTCCACCAACCATGCCGACCTTCAAAAAGACGTTCGAGCTCGCTTCAAAGATCAAGATCCCTGCTGTCGGTCTCGGGTACGCCTCGTCTCGCTCCCTCTGTCCCACGAGCCATCGTCGCTGACCCTGTCCCCCACCTCGCCGCCTCCACTCTGTCCCCTCACCGCGACCCGGCATCTCTCGCAACAGGACCTGGCAGAGCGAGCCGGGTCAGGTCCGCGAGGCTGTCAAGGTCGCAATCCAGGCGGGCTACAGGTGCGTCTCCCGATCTCTCTCGTCCCACTCTCCGACCCCGTCCTCGCTCACCACTCGCCCTCCCTCGACAGGCACATCGACTGCGCCTGGGCCTACAGGAACGAGGGAGAGGTCGGGCAGGGCATCAAGGACTCGGGCATCGACCGCAAGGAGCTGTTTGTCACGAGCAAGGTCCGTCCCAGCCCGTTCCTCCTCCCTCGACAACACGCCGTCACTCACGCCCTGTCGCTTGTCGCGCAGCTCTGGAATACGTTCCACTCGCCCGACAAGGTCGCCGTCGGCCTGCAGGAGACGCTCGACAACCTTGGGCTCGACCACCTGGACCTTTACCTCATGCAGTGCGTCCGCCTCCTCCTCCTCGGGCTCTTCCTGTCCCTCGACTCGCCCTCTCCCTGTTTCTCGCGCCTGTACTGATCCACTGTGGCCTGCAGCTGGCCTGTCGCCTTCGCCAACCAGCCCAAGAAGGGCAAGCCCGAGATTGACTGGGACCTCACCAACGACCCGTCGCCGACCTGGGCCGCCATGGAGAAGCTCGTCGAGCAGGGCAAGACCAAGCACATCGGCGTCAGTAACTTCACCATCGGCAGGCTCGAGAAGCTCCTCAAGCAGGTGCGTCTCGCTCCCCTTGCGGTCCGCCCACCCTCCTCGCGTCCGGCGCTCACTCCTCCTTCTCCTCCTCTGCAGGCTAAGATCAAGCCCGCCGTCAATCAGCTCGAAATTAACCTCATGTGTGCGCAGCCGGATGTCGTGCAGGTGCGTCCGTGGCGTCTCCTGGTCGAGCGAGCCGCCCTGACCGGACCTTCACGCAGTGGTCGCGCGATCACGGCATTCTCCTCGAGGCCTACTCGCCCCTCGGCTCGACCGGCGCCCCTCAACTCACCGACGAGGTCGTCAAGTCGATCGCGTCGGCGCACGGCGCGACGCCCGCCCAGGTGCTCATCTCATGGCAGGTCGCGCGCGGCATCGTCGTCCTCCCCAAGTCGGTCACGCCGCAGCGCATCAAGGAGAACTTTGAGAGTGCGTCCTCCCTCTCTCTCTCCTTCTCTGTGCGTCTCGTCGAGCGGCACTGACTCGCTGCACCTCGCAGGCGTCGAGCTCACGGCCGACGACGTCGACCGCCTCAACAAGCGCGCCGCCGAGTTCGGCACGAAGCGCACAGTCGACCCGTCGAAGGCGTGGGGCGTCCCCGACCTGTGGAAGGACGACGGGGCCGCCAAGCTCTGAAGAGCGGGCCTGTAGAAGCAGTGCAGAGGAGGAAAGAGCCGCAGTGCAAAGTGACCTTCTCAAACGCGGTCTCGTCTTCCGCGTGCTCGATTGCCAATCTCTCTCGACCTCCCCTCCTCCCTGGACAGCTGAGAGCGCTTCGGTGAGCCAGAGAGCTCTCCAGAGAGACGGTACGAGCTCTCGGTCGGCAAGCCAGCACGTGCGGTGAATTCGAGCGCGAGACGAGGTCGACGAGCGCCTCGTGCGCCGCTCGTTCCCTGTCGGCGATTGCAGAGCTGGACAAGCCGCGCTTAGCTTGGGTGCCTCCTCCAATGAACGAGAGCGGCGGCGCGAGCTGTTCGTCGCGGTCGTCCGCCCGCCGACCTCGCTGTTTCTCCTCGTCCGACCTCGACGCGAGAGCAGTGCTGCCACCGCCTGCACGCGTCGCCAGCCTCTCGAAATGGCACGGCAACGCACTGTCGTCGCCCTCTCGCTCCTCGCCGTCCTCCCGCTCTCCGCCTCGGCCCTCCCACCTCCATCAACAACGGCGACGCTGGCCGCCAGAGCCCACCTCGAGCCGCGCCAGTTCTTGTGCGGCATCTTTGGCACCTGTGACACGTCCACGAGCGACGCAGCAACCGCCTCGGCCGTCCAGCAGACGCCCGCCGCCGACTCGGCGGTCCCGCCAGCCGCCAGTTCGGCGACCGCGCCAACCGCGCCAGCAGACACGCCGGCGGGCACGACCGCGACCCCGACCGATGCGGCGACCGTGCCGCCAGTGGGCGCCACGGCAAGCAGCACGAGCGCGGTGGGACCCGTCGCCGACACCCCGACCTCGGCCGCGCCGACGCCGACGAGCGAGACGAGCGCGCTCGCGGCATCCACCTCGGCTAGCACTCCGAGCACTTGTGCGTTCCCTCTCTCTCTCTCGAGTTCTCCTATTCGCCGGAGCGCAAGCTCACGCTCTTGCCCCTAATGCCGCAGCGAGCACCTCGTCGACCACCCCGACTTCCTCCTCGACCTCGTCCTCGTCCGGTGCGTCTCGGTTCACCCGCCTCAGCCTGTACCTTCCTGACCTCTTCTCGACTCATGCAACAGGTTCGACCATCATCGTGACGCTCACGTCGGTCCTCACCAACGCCGACGGCAGCGAGTCGACCATGACGCAAGAGTCGGCGTCGGCCGTGCCCGTCGCGCCCAAGGAGAACAGCAGCGGCGGCGGGCCGAGTGGCAAGACCTGGGGCATCATCGGCGGCGTCGTCGGGGTGCGTCTCGCTCGCCTCTTTCGCCCTGCATCCACCCGTCCTCGTCCTGACCGCGCCTCGCTCGTCCACAGGGCATCGCCGTCCTCGCCGCGCTCCTGTACGTCGGCTACCGCCTCACGCAGCGGCGCTTCTCGAACCTCGACGCCGACGGCGACGACATCCGCTGGCCTGAGCTGCAGCCCGACGGCGGCGCCAACCTCGCGACGCTCAACCCGCAAGGGACTCGTCGCACGGGCGGCGCCGGGTTCGCCATGGAGAAGGACCGCGATGACGACGACGACGACGAGTTTGACGACGAGGGCGAGGACGAGCTGGACCGCAAGGGGGCAGGAGCGACGGGCGGCGAGTGGGCGGCGGCCGAGGGGAGCCCGAGGGTCGGTGCGGGCGTCGGGGCCGGCGCGGCCGGGCACTATGGTCTCGGCCACAACGCGAGCGAGGCGGCTTTCTTCGAGGGGCAGGGCGGGCTCGGCCCGTACGAGCAGTACGAGGGCGCGTACGGGCAGCCGCACAGCCCGCAGCAGGGCGCGAGGGCGAGCTACTGTGCGTCGCCGCCTTCCTCTCTCTCTCTCCTCTGCCTCGCTCCTTTCCCCTTTTGAGCCTCTTGACGAACCCACACGATGCCCTCGCAGACGACCCCTACCTCCCGCACGCGCACTCGTCCGACCCGGCCCTCGTCCCGCTCAGCCACGCCGCCGGCGCCGGCGCCGGTCCTTACGGCGCGCCCGTCACGTACCCGCCGACGTTCGCGCACTACGGCGCGCAGCCGGCAGGGCGCAGCACTGAGTCACTCGGGCAGTACCGCGCGACGAGCCCGAGGTACTGAGCTCGCAAGCGGCGTCGGCGCGAGGACGCGACGAGACGAGCGGTCTTGCCCGTGGTCGAGAGCGAGGGCGACGAGGGTGGGCCGCGCACGGACATTGTTGTAGATCGTTCTCGACGGCGAGGACTAGACGAGGACGACGACGAGGCGATCTTCCTCGTGAGCCTCTCTTGCGAACGCAGACACTGTCTCTCTCTCTCTCTTTCGTCGCGCTCTCGCTGCAGCATCTGAGAGCGAAAGGACTGTATTGCACGAGAGGGTACAGGGCGAGAGCCAAGGAGCCGTCGCGACCGCTGCGCCCGCCGGAAGGGCGCGACAGCCGCCGAGTCGAGGACCGACGGCGGCGTGGCGAGGGTTCTGCCGAGTCGGGCGAGGCGGTCTGCTCGATCATGTTGTCGAGCTTGCGGCGGGACTCGAGCTGCCGGCCGAAGAGCTCGTGTCGGAGCGGGCGAATGACAGGCGGCCCGGCGAGCAGGTAGAGTCGCCGAGAGGAGCGGTTCTGCAGGCCGACGAGGTCAGTACGGCAACGGCGCGTAACAGAGAGATGACGGACGCACACGTCGAGCCAAGCTCTGCTGCTGTCGCTCCGTCACTCGCCCTTGCCGTGGTCCTCGAGGAAGCCGACGAGGACGCTCATGACGCGCTCCTGCCGCTTGAGGATGGTCGGGTCGGCCGTCTTCTGGAACGTGGGGATGCCGAGCTGTATGGCAACGGTCGGGGTGGTCAGTTTGTGCGCGCGTAGGGCGCTCCGAGAGAGAGAGAGGTACGCACAGCTTGGAGGCGCTCCTGCTGCGTGGCCTGGAGCGCAGTCCACTTGCGCACAGCGGCACGGTCCCACTCGCGCAGCTTGGACGACTTGAGGATGGGCCTGCGGGCTTGAGAAAGTCAGCTCGAGGCGCGAGGGAGGACGGGGGTCGAGAGGAGGGAGAGGGAGGAGGACGCACGAGGCAGCCGAGCGCACGAGCTCGAGCTCGAGGCGGTTGCGCTCGTCCTTGGTCCTGAGCTCGAACGTCTCCTGGTCGTCCCAGATGGCCTGCACGCGCTCGAGGAAGCTGGGGTCGAGGGCGAGGCCGTTGAGGATGGGGACGCTCTCTGCGAACGAGACGGCCGAGAGGTCGCGGGTGCGGGTCGGGGGTGGGGCTGGAGGCTCGGCGGGTGCGGGCGGGAGGGCGGTGAGGCTCGAGAGGAGGGCGTCGAGCTGGGCTTGTGGGGGAGGTGCGCTCGCTGATGAGGGTGGAGGAGCTGGTGCAGAACTGGCGGCGGCAGGCGCTGGTGCGGGCGTCGAGCCGTCCTGGGCCTGGCGCAAGGTGGCTAGCAGTGCCTCGAGGTCCGTCTGATCCATCTCGGTCGAGGCGGCGAGCGTTGGCGAGGTGCTCGTCGTCGTGGCAGCTCTCGTCCGCCCTTCTTGCTCTCGCTCTCCCACACGCTCGCCGCCAGCTCCTCGGTGGTGCGCGCAATCTGGCCTCACGGCTGCAGCATGCCGCGACGCGCACCCGTGCCGCTCTCCTCGCAGCGCGCAGGGCACGTGCGACCTCCACCGCGCCCTGCCCTTCGCCGCACTCGTCTCCCGACCTATCTTTGGCGCCGCGCTAGCTCGCCGCTCCGCTGCGACCTGCAGGAACACGCTCTCGTGTCGGCCGGTCCGGCGGAAAGGTCCAATCGCCGGCTCCTCTTGCGACCGCACGGTCGAGGGGCTCCTTCTTCCCTCGCCCCGCTCTCGCACGAACGTGCCCCCTCTGCGTCGCACAGCTCTTCCTCTGTACACGCACGGTGCACAGACGTCGAAAGGCTTCGAGCCACCCTTGATCTGCGCTAGAACAGCGCTCTCCCTTTGCTCCCTTCCCTTCCCCGCCGCACCTCTCCCTCTCGCCGGCCGAGCCGACCGCCGGTTCTCGCGACCCTTCCGCCACCTGTTTCCTGCGTTCGCCTTCGCCACGATGAACGACCCTCTTCGCCTCTCGTCGTCCGTCGACACGGACAAGGGGTCGCCCTCTCTCGACGACGCCAAGCCGACCGCCCAGGCCGTCCAGGTCGACGGCGACAAGGAGGTCGAGCGCCTGCGCAACGTCGAGAAGCACTCGTCCAAGTGGACCATCCTCGCCGCCGGCGCCGGCTTGATCTCGGACGGCCTCCAGAACAACATCATGACCCTGACGAACGGTGCGTCCTCTCGACTCGTCCTTTCTCGAGCGCGCACCTCCTGACACGGTCCCTACTCTTCTCTCGTACAGTCATCTTCGGTCAGCTCTACGGCAAGGCGTACACGTCCGCCTACTCGACCCAGGTCAGCAACGCCCTCACGGTCGGCACCATCCTCGGCCAGGTGCGTCTCCTTTCCCTTGTCCAGCGACTTTAGCTTCGCCGGTGAGCCCTGACCTTCTCGCCGTCGACGCACAGATCTCGATTGGCATGGTGTGCGACATCTACGGCCGCAAGGCGGGCATCTTGATCTCGACTTTCAGCATCGTCGCCGGCATCATCATCGTCACGGCGGCTCACGGCGCTCACGGCTCGTTCGCCGGCTTCATCTGGTGCATGACCGTCGGTCGAGGTCTCACGGTGCGTCTCGACTTTCGTCGCGCCGAGCGGGAGCGCGAGCGCAGGCCCGGCGCGCTCTTGTCTGTTTGAGAAGGTCCCTCAGAGGCTCACGCTCTACACTCTTCTGCACGTCCCAGGGCATCGGCGTCGGCGGCGAGTACCCGTCTGGCTCTGCGAGTGCGGCCGAGGCGGCCAACGAGAAGATGCAGAAGTCGCGAGGCCCAATCTTCATCTTGGTTCGTCGTCGACTCGCTTTTCTGGCCTCGTTCTAGCGTTCGTTCACTGACAAAGACCTCGTTGCGCAGGTCACGAATCTCGTCCTGTCGTTCGGCACCATCTTTGCCTGCATCCTGTACCTCATCGTCTACTCGGCCGCCGGCGGCGACGACGCCAACTACTCGACCGTCTGGCGCACCGTCTTTGGCATCTCGGTCCTCCCGCCGCTCGTCGTCCTCCTCTTCCGCTTGCGCATGGTCAACAGCAAGCTGTACCGCGACGGCGCCATCCAGCGAGGCCCGCCGCTCCTCCTGACCCTCAAGTTCTACTGGCGCTCCCTCATCGGAACGTGCGGCGCCTGGTTCTTGTACGACTTTGTCACGTTCCCCAACGGCGTCTGTGAGTCAGATTCCTATCCCTCTGCTGCCTCGGACGGCGGCGGCGTCATCGAGCGAGCGTCGTGACCACCCCGACGCCGCCGAGGCCGAGAACGCGACGCGCTCGAGCGAGCGTCGCTCGTTCAGTCCCTTTCTCTCACTCGAACTGACACGTTTCCTGCTTTGCAGTTTCCGGCACGATCATCGCCCAGATCGTCAAGGTGACGGGGCACGAGAAGTTCCGCAAGACGGCCGAGTACCAGCTCCTCCTCGGCACCATCGCCCTTCCCGGCTGCCTCGTTGGCGCCCTCATCGTCAATCGTCTCGGGCGGCGCAACCTCATGATCCTCGGCTTCACGGGCTACCTCGTCATCGGCCTGAGCGTCGGGCTCGCCTACGACAAGCTCCTGAAGACGGTGCCGGCCTTCGTCGTCCTCTACGGCCTCATGCAGTCGTTCGGCAATCTGGGACCGGGCAACGTCTTGGGCCTGAGCTCGGCGGAGAGCTATGCGACGCCAGTCCGAGGTTCGTCGCTCGTTCTTCCTCCCAAGTTCTCCCCTCTCGTGCATTCTCTGCCCCTTGTCGCACGGTCCTGACACCCGCCGCACGTCCGCAGGCACTCTCTACGGTATCTCGGCTGCCATTGGCAAGGTCGGCGCAGTCGCAGGGACGCAGAGTTTCACGCCCATCCGCGACAACCTGGGCGCCAAGTGGACCTTCGTGCGCACCCTCTCTCTCAGTTCTCTCTGCGTGCCCGACATTGACCTCTGTCTCTCTCCCTCGCAGATTGTCGCTGCCATCTGCGGCGTGCTCGGCGTCCTCGTGACGTACTTCTTCATCCGCCAAGAGTGCGTCCTCCTCTCGCTCGACCTCTCTTTTGCGGACGCTAACTGCCGGCCTCTCGTCCCGTAGCCTCGACGGCGACCTCAGCGACGAGGACGCCAAGTTTGCGGCGTACCTCAAGGCGAACGGGTGGGACGGCGCCATGGGCGTGCAGGGCAAGGAGGCGCTCATTGACCGAGAGGAGGCGGTCACGGTCGGAAAGGCGCACGAGTGAGGGCTTTCGGGGTTCGAGGACGTGGCACTGTAGACTGCCATACGAAGCATGCTTCCGTGCTGCTCTTTCTGCGCGAAGAGAGAGTGGCTCAGAGAAAAGCGAGGCTCGAGATACTCTCGACGAGGCCCGAGCGAGAACGTAACACTGCGGCACCGCTGCTGGTTGCACATCTAGATGGGGTCGTACTCGGTCACTGCTACTCTGCTGCGGCTCCTGCGCTGCCCGACCGTCTGGCTCTAGACGGGCAGCCCCTCGTGGCTCATGACCTCGGCGCGCGTCTTCTCGCCGGCAACGACGGCCGCATCCCAGAACGCGATCTCGAGCTCGGTCGCCTTGACAAAGATGCGCGCGAGCTCGTCGAGGCGCTGGGCCGAGACGGGCGACTTGGCGAGCGTCTGTTCGAGGAGGACTGTGCGGCGAGGAAGAGGAGCTCGAGTTGGCGAGGGGGCGAGAGAGAGAGAGAGAGAGAGAGGAGGAAGGCGAGCGCACCGATACCCGTCTTGACGCAGCCCTGGTACCACTCACCGCCATACTCCTGTATCCAGCCGAAGAACGGGTTCGTCTCGGCGTTCGAGTCGACGACGACGCCTGGCGACGACGAGACGAGGCGAGCGCCGACGTGCCCGTAGCCAATCAGGCAGGGCGCAGTCTGCGGAAAGTGAGGAGTGAGCTATGTCGATCGAGAGACGCGAGAGATGGCGGCCGGGAAGAAGGACGGCGAGAAGGCGAGGGGACGCACCACGACTCGGGCATCGAGTAGGTCGCCCTTGGACGAGACGTCGAGGACGTAGCGCGTGTAGGCGATGTTGGTGACGCTCTCCGGGATCGCCTGCAGCTGCTCTCGACTGATGCCGTAGGTCTCGCAGTACTGCGCGGCGAGAGAGAGAGCGAGAAGGTCAGGGGGTCCGAGCGACGATGCCGAGCTCGACCGCATGCGAGAGGCGAGCAGGGACGCACCTTGACGTGCATCTCGGTCTCCTTGAGGACATCGTTGACGATGTGCGTCGAGCCCTGCATGAGCGCCATGTCCTCGGTCTTAAACGCGGCGAGCGCGTTGGCGCGAGCGTATTGCTGCGGGCGCACCAGGGACGGGTCAGAGCTGCTCGAGACGTCGCACGCGGCCTCTTGAGAGAGACGAAAGAGGCTTGAGCTCACTTTGAGGAAGTGAAAGTCTTGCTGAAGAAAGTGCAAAAACGCCTCGACCTTGGCCGTGCCTGCGGCGAGGCTGTTGGGGAACTCGTGGTTAACGTATCGGCTCCAGGCGTCGCCGGCGTATCGGATGAGGTAGTCGGTAAAGGGCGTCGGCGAGTGGTGGTTGGGCAAGGGGAGAGATCGGGGCATGAGCGAGTGGAAGTGGTTGACGGGGCCGGCTCCTCGACCGACGGGATAAGAGGCGGCGATGGCGGCGGCGACGTAGTCTCCTGCGTCCGACACGGCGTCGCTCACTGTGGGACAAGCGAACGTCAGGTCGAGGAGAGGAGGGACGGCTCGAGAAGAGGAGATAAAGGAGAGGACGCACCCGTCTTGCCCTGCGCCAACCCTGACGCGACCGCCGCCGCCAAGGTGCACCCGGTACCGTGCGTGTTCTTGACGTCGAGGTACCGCCGCTCCTCGGTCGACGTCTCGCCCGACTCGCCGTCGTACAGGAGGTCGACGACGACCTTGTCGCCCTCGTCGCCCTTGGGCAGCGGCAGATGGCCGCCCTTGAGGTAGACCCACCGCACGCCCTTGCCCGCAAGCTCGGCTGCGCACCGGCGCATGTCGTCGACGGACGTGATCGAGCCCTTGGCCCAGCCGACGAGGAACTCGGCTTCGGGGACGTTGGGCGTGACGACGGTGGCCCACGGGAGGAGGTCGGCGCGGAGCGAGTCGACGGCGTCGAGGGGCAGGAGCGAGTGGCCCGACGTGCTGACACAGACCGGGTCGAGGACGAGCTTGGCGGCGTCGCGACCGCCCTCCTTGGCCTTGCCGAAGCGCTTCTCGAGCGAGCGAACGACGGCGCGGATCGTGTCCTCGCCGAAGAGCATGCCCGTCTTGATGGCGTCGGCGCCGATGTCGTCGAGGACCGAGTCGATCTGGGCGGCGACCATGGCGGGCGAGACGCCCTCGACGCTCTGGACGCCGAGCGTGTTCTGCGCCGTGATGGCCGTGATGACGCTCGTGCCGTAGCAGTGGTGGGCGGCGATGGTCTTGAGGTCGGCCTGGATGCCCGCGCCTGCGCCGCTGTCTGTTGTCGAAGGCGAGAGTCGCAGCGAGAGGTGGGGAGGAGGGGAGTCAAGGGAGGCGAGTGAGCGACCGCTCGTGGGGACCGCAGACTTGGCCGAGGGACGCACCCGAGCCAGCGATCGTGAGCACCGTCCTGAGTGACATGGTTGCGGTGCGAGGGAGCGAGCGAGAGCGGCGAGAAGCGCTCAGCGAACTTGGCGGGGAGAGCGACGAGATCGCTCGCCGAGACACGGCACCGCCGGCAGCGCCGCTCTGGCGCTCGCAGCGTTGCCCGCGCTCGCTTGTACGCGTACGCTTGCCAAGTAGCTCGCCCTCGTAGCGCCAGCGGCGAAAGATAGCCGTCGATCGAGGAGAGCGGTCGAGCTCGGCGGCGAGAGCAGCTCGAGGCGCTGTTCGGCTCGAGTTCGACCAGTAAGAGCGTAGTCAGACTGGCTCGAAAGCCAGAGAAGGCGCAGACGAGCCGAGTCCGCGGAGATGGCGACGGGGCGCAGCTCTCGAGCTCGACGGCACGGCGGCTTCATCTCCCGCTCTCGTCTACACTCCAGCATCGAGCTCCTAGCTCTGCTTAGCTTGCTCCGCATCCTTCGACACCGACTCGCCAGCCCTTGAGCAGCACCGCCGACCCGCCGAGCCTCGCCGCACCTCATCCACCTCGCCCTCTGCTCACCCACCATGCCGCGCCCTCGCCAGCGCAAGAGCACCGTCAGCCGCAAGGAGGAGAAGCGTGTGCGTCCCGTCTCTCTCTCTCTCTCTCTCTCTGGCGCACCCGTCCGCCCCGCTCACCTGCCCATGCGCCCACAGATCAAGCGCGAGCAGGAGGAGCAGGAGGCGGCCGCCCAGCTCGAGCGCGAGAAGCGCCTGCGCGAGCGCAAGTCGCAGATGGAGTGGAACTCGCTCCCGTCGGCGTCGGGCTCGCGCGGCAACAACGGCATGCCCGACCCGAACGCGCTCCCCGAACCCGACCCCGACACCAAGGCCTACTTCGCGCGCCTGTCGGAGCAGATCGAGGAGATGACGCAGATGGGTCACGGCCAGCGCGAGACGCAGATCGTCGTCAACGAGGACGGCGACGAGGTCGAGGAGGAGGTCGAGGACGAGCGTCCGCTCCTCCTCCGCTCGGCCCTCGAGTCGCTGTCGGGCCACGAGATCGCCCTCGCCGGCGACCACGAGACGAGCGTCGTCCTCGAGCGCCTCCTGTACGCCATGGACGACTTTGCCAAGCGCGTCCTCCTCGACCGCTTCACTGGCGAGTTTGAGCGCCTCGTCAAGCACCGCCACGCGAGCCACGTCCTCCAGACCCTGTTCGAGCTCGCCGGCGAGACGGTCGACCGCGAGGTGCGTCCCTTGCGTTCCCCTTTGCCTCTGTTTCCCCGGACAGGACTGACACTCGCCCGTCGCACAGACTCGCGGCAACGTCGCACCCGCACCCGCATCCGCCGGCGACGACGCCGCCGAGCTCCCGACCATGACGGCCCTCCTCACCTCGCTCCTCACCGAGCTCCTCCCGACCATCACGACCCTCATCTACGACCCGTTCGCCTCGCACTGCATCCGCATCCTCCTCCTCGTCTTCTCTGGCGTCGCCACCTCGTCGGCCGACCCCAAGTCGCGCAGCAAGAAGTCGGCCCAGTTCCGCAAGGGCCAGGGCGCGTCGCTCGGCAAGAACTGGCTGTCGGACGATGCCTCGTTCACCAAGGACAAGGACACCAAGGGCAAGGGCAAGGCGTCGGCGGCCGAGCAGCGGTTCGCGACCCCGGCCGAGTTTGCCGCGGCGCTCAAGGACCTGTACGCCGCGCTCGACGAGCTCGACGGCGCCGCGGTCGACCACGCCGGCGTCAGCCTCCCGACGGCGACGATCGCGGGCGAGGGCGTCCGCCGTGCCGCTCTGCACGACGTCGCCGGCCCGGTCATGCGCATCCTCGTCGAGCTCGAGGCGCTGCAGCCTGGCGGGTGGGCACCCGGCGGGTGGGCCGACCGCATCCTCGTCGGGCTCGTCAGCGAGGTAGCGCTCGGCAGCGCAGCGGGCGTCGGCGCCGGCGCGTCGGCGAACCAGGACTTGCGCGAGGAGTACCTCGCCGGCCTGCTGCGCCACCCGGCGAGCTCGCCGACGTTCGAGATGCTCCTCCAGCTCGCGCCCAAGCCCGTGTTCGACGCCCTGTGGCAGGGCTTCTTCGTCGGCAAGGTGCACCGCCTCGCGGCCAACGCCGTCGCCAACTTTGTCGTCGCCGTCGGCATCTCGCGCCTCGACGAGCAGCAGCTCGGCGCGCTCCTCGTCGAGTTGAGGGGCATCGCGCAGGAGAGGAGGGGCGAGTGGATCGACAACTACCGCACGGGCGTGCTGCGGGCCCTGCTCGAGAGCGCGACCAGGCTCGGCGCGTGCGAGGCCGAGGTGTCTGACGTGCGTCCCTCTCTCTCTTCCCTCTCTCTCTCTCTCTCTCTGCGTCCTCGACTGACTCTCCTTCACCCGTACACAGCTTCTCCTCGACACGTTCGGCTTGTCGGCCGCCGAGGACCGCAAGCTCGCCGTGCCCTGTTTGCTCACCCTCAACCGCCTCATTGTGCGTCTCTCGTTCCTCTCCTCGATCGCAGTCGACCGACACGGTGACTCACGCACTCGCACGCACGCAGCATTGGCAAAAGCTCAAGCCCGACGCGACGCCCGAGCCGACCACCCAGGGCTCGGTCCTCATCCAGACGTGGCTCCAGTTGCACGCGCCGCATCAGCAGGTCATCTTCGACAGGTCCGTCCGAGCTCTCTCTCTCTCATGCAGGCGACGCCTGACGAGCGCTTTCCTCTCCAGCCTTGCCTCGCTCTCGTTCGACGACTTCCTCGCCATCACCCGTTCGGCCACGTCCTCCCGCATCCTCGACGTCCTTCTCACCTCGCCGACGACCCCGCCTCGCGCCCTGCGCTCCTTCATCATGTCGCTCCTCGGCCACTTCCACACGATCGCCGACGACCGCATCGGCTCGCGCGTCGCCGAGCGCTGCTTCGCCTCGGCCGACGTCTACCTCAAGGACAAGATGGCGGCGAGCCTGTTCGACAAGCAGTCGGACTTGCAGCGTTCGGCGTACGCCCACTTCTTCGCGCGCAAGCTCGAGCTGCCGCTGTGGGGCCGCCGCCGCGACGACTGGAAGGCCAAGATGGCGCGCGCCACGCAGGAGGAGAAGGACCGCCAGCGCGCCGAGGCCGAGGCGGCGCAGCCCAAGCCGCCTCCCGCTGCGGCCACGACGGCTACGGCGGTCGACGAGGGCGGCAAGAGGAAGAAGAAGCGCGAGCGCAAGGCGGACGAGGTCGACGAGATCTTTGCGGCGGCGGCGGCGACCAAGGGCTCGAGCGCGCCCGGCGGGGCGGCGGCGGGCAAGGAGCGCGAGCGGAACGAGGACGACGAGCGCGCGGCGAAGAAGGCGCGCAAGGCAGAGAAGCGGGCGCGCGAGACCCAGGGCATGGAGGACGTGCTCGCCGCCATCAAGGCGACCGTCTGAGTCTCTCTCTCTGCAACGCGATACTTCTCTTGCATCGTCGTGTCGCTGTTCTCGAGAGATACTGCGAGCTTTGCCAGGTCAAGCGCAGCTGCAGAACTGTGCGTCGAGGAGGGATCGCTTCGTCGACGCACGCACGGACCGCCTGCCGTTGGCCTGCTTGCGTTTCTCGCGGTGTCGCGCTCGCTCTCGCTCTCGCTCGCAGTGCACGCAGTGAGGAGGCACGAAGAGCTTTGCAAAGGCGTTCGCCGCGAGCATGACAGGCGCTCGCTCCCCCTCGACAACTCGCTTCTCCACGTGCGAGTCCTCGTCCTCGAAGGAACTCTCGGTTTAGCCGAAAACTCTGTGATTACACACACGGGATCTGGCTCGCTACGGCAGTACCAAAGAAGCTCTCGTTCCGTCCCTCTAGCCCTTCTAGCTCGCTCCGAGCTCGGCGACGGCGAGGGTCCTGCGCACGACATCTGGCGTCAATACTGCTGCGTCGAGACGAGCTTGACAAAGAGAGAGAGAGGGAGAGAGTGCGACGAGCGCGACGGACTTGTTGATCTCCTGGTGCGCAACCTTGCTCCAGTCGGGCGGCGAGACCTTGTCGACCTTGCTCGCCGGGAACCCGCCGTCCTTGGCCGGCCGCAGGATGCGGGCAAAGTACTCGTCGAGGAGGTCGGTGTCCTCGAGACCAACGACGAGGCCGGTGTCTGCGGACGAGCGCGGGATGTGAGTCGGGGGAGGGCGAGGGCGGGAAAGAGAGAGGGGACGCACATTGGTCGGGACGGACGACGACGATGGCGCCTTCCTCCTTCGAGATACCGTACGTCTCGTACGCCTTGCCGTCGCCGCGATGATCTGTAGAGGAAGCTCGTCGTCAGAGATGTGCCCGAACGAGCGAGGTTGGAGAAGGCGACGCACAAGAAGGCTCGTCGGCAAAGATGCGCTTGTAGTTGTGCGGGTAGAAGATCGACGGTTGCGGAAAGTCGTACAGCTCGACCGCGGTGCGTGGTGCGCAGTCTGTCGAGGGAGAGAAAGGGTGAGTGAGCGGCTCGAGGCCGAGAGAGGGGAGGGAGAGCAGGGACGCACGGATCGTGATCGGGTCGACGACGGACCAACGAGGCAGGTTGGCGGGCGTGTACTCGCTGACGACGCTGTCGGGGCCGTCGAGGTAGTCGGCGAGCTTGATGAGGCGGTCCATGGCGGCGGGCTTGGTCACGTCGCCGGGGAAGACGAGGAGGCGGAACGCGCCCGTGAACGGGATGCGGGTCGTGAGCTGGTCGGCGGTTGCCGACGCCTGGTTGACGACCTGGGCGCTGTAGAAGCGCTCGCCGACGGGCAGATTGGCGGCGAGGTGCTGCTTCGACTGGATGCCGCCCTTGGACCCGTCCTTGCCGACGACGGACGAGTCGGCGTAGTTGATCGACATGCCGGCGCCGAAGCGGTTGCCGGCGACGAACACGTCCTTGAACTCTTTGAGGTCGACGCCGTCGTCGAGGTCGTCGGCCGCCGACGGCTTGCCCGAAAAGAGCTTGGAGAACTTCTTGTCAAAGTCGATGAGCTGCTGCGCGACGACCTGGCGCTCGTCCGAGTAGGTCTGCAAGAGCTCGTGCTTGGCGATACCAGTCGCGACGGCGCCGACTGTGCGAGGACGGACGAGGGGTCAGTTTTGGAGGACGAGGAAAGGAGGGAACAGGACGAGGGGACGCACGCTTCCAGCACAGGTTCCACGTGTCTTGCATCGACGTGTTCATGCCCTGCCCCGCCTTGGCTGCGGTCGACGACAAGTGTCAGTACGTTGGCCCGTAGAGAAGGGAGGGAGGGACGGCGGGACGCACGCGAGTGGGTGTGGCAAGCGTCGCCGGCGAGGAAGACGCGGTTGTGGACGCCGAACGAGTTGGTCAGGCGCTGGTTGATGTGGTAGCCCGTGTACCACTCGATGTGCTCGGTCTCGAGCGTGTACGGGTGCAGGACCTTGCGAGCCGTCTCGAGGATAAAGTCGGGCGTGAACTGCGACTTGTCGGCGCGCTCGCCGGGCCGGACCTGGATCGGGAGCTGGATGTACAGGCGCACGAGATCTCGCTCCTGTGACGGGACGAGGACGAGGTGAGCGAGGCGAGGGAGGTGACGGCGAGAGAAAGGGGTCCGAGCGACGCACCTGCGGGATGACCATGATCGAGCCGGCGTTGGCCGAGTGGACGGCGCAGCGCATGCGGATGTCGGGCTGCGGGTCGGTCACGCGGGAGGGTCAGTATGGGCGGGACAGGTTGAAGAAGGAGACAGAGACGCACAAAGTTGGTCAAGGGGATCATGTCGAGGACGCCCCACACGAACGTCGTCTGGTCGCCCACCATCTTGATGCCGAGCTGCCGCCGGGTCCACGAATGCGCACCGTCGCAGCCGACGAGGTACTTGGCCTTGACGACCTCGACCCGCTCGGCGTGCGCGCCGTTCTGGTGGTACAGCGCCTCCTCCTCCTCGGCCGACAGGAGCGAGCTGCGGAACAGGCCGCTACGGGTGCCGGCTGCGTCGCCGGCGTAGCCGTTCGGGTTCGACTCGTCGTCCGACAGGTGGCGGACCGCGAGCGTGATCGGGTAGGCGTCCAGGTCGGACACGAGCGACTCGTCGACGTCGAGCGACTCGGGGAGCATTGACCGCTCGGGCACGATGGCGCCCTTCGAGTGTTTCTGCGGACGAGACCTGGGTCAGTACGACTCGAGAGGAAGGGAAAGCGGAGGGAGCGGGCGTACTGCGGCGTCCTCGAGCAGGTGAGCCTCGACACGACCTGCGAGAGATGAGGCGTTAGGTCGGGCTCACAACGGTCGGGTACAAGAGTGACGGGCGCACCTTGATGCAAGATCGTCTGCTGAAAGCGAGAAAGACCAGGGATCGTGTCGGGGCTGTCGAACGAGTTCTGGGTCAGTGCGAGGTCGTCGCCGGCCGAGACGAGGGAGGGAAGGAGACGTACATCTTGCCAGTGCGGATGAGCCGGCCCGTCTCGGGATCCGGGTTCCAGAAGTTGATCTCGCTCTGCGCCGGGCAAGCGTTAGTCGGGTTCGGCAGTCCAGCGAGAGGAAGGAGAAAGTGGACGGACCATACGTGAACCCTCCTTGTCGATGCTCTCGACGAATCCGAGGCTCTCGAAGATCTCGAGCGTGCGCGAGTTGATGCCGTCGGCTTGACCTGCAGGCGTGAGGCGCGAAAAGTGGCGGCAGACGAGGCGGTCGAGGAGTCGAGGAGGGTCGGCGGGAGAAGAGGGTCAGTTCCTGGCGGCCTCGATCGTCAAGAACTAAGAGAGAGTAGGGCGCACCGTTGTCCAGCTTTGCGCTGCGCTTGTCGAAGACCCGGACCGACAAGCCGCGGTCGGTGTACCGCGAGAGGACGTCTGCTGCCTGTCATCGGCAAGGGGGCGGGGACAGAGTGGTCAGTTCGGGCTCTGCGGGGGTGGGACGCACAGAGGGGACAGAGTGCGCACCATGCATCCTGCTGGCCCTGCGCCAATGATGGCCACGTCGACATGCGACACTCGAGGAGAACCCGACTCGCGGTGTGGGGAGGAGGAGGGCGCCGACGGCATCGTCGCAGGTCGTGTCGGCTGTTGGGTGTGCTGTTCGCGAGCTTGCTGTAGAGTGTAGCAAGTCTGCAGCTGTGCGAGAGCGAGACCAAGAGCAAGAGCGAGCTGTCGTCGGCTCCGACTTGGTCGCGGAGCGCAACTTCCGTCTCGCTGCGGTGGTCGCCCCTCGCTCAAAGAAAACAGCGCACGCGCTCGACTGTGATCGTGTCAGCACCCCCTCCCTGCCCCACGCTCGAGTGCGGAGCTTTCGAGCGAGCCGGAAGGTCTCCTCCGATGGCCGCGGCGGCCGAGAGGAAACTGTCAGACCGACCCGCCTCAGCAAGCTTGCTCTGTCGCCGACGGCGCTCGCAACCAAGACCTCGGAAAGAGCAGCTTCCGCTATCCGGCTCCAGTCTGGAGGACGTGGAGGTGATCCCTCCGACGAGGGCGGGCGGAAAGAAGGGCGCTTTGACCCGCTCAGCCCGCTCTCTCTCGAACACACACGCTCAGACGGGCGCATGAGCTCGTCCCGTCGAGGAAAGCTCTGCTTCTGCGCAGAAAGACAGCGGTTTCGAGGGCTCGAGACAGCGAGCTAGCGAACCGGCGAGGGCGGTTCGCCACAGCTGGACACACAGCGAAGCTAGCCGCACCGACCTCGACCCAATCACACGCCGTGTTGGTCGTGGCGGTGCGCGAAAGAGCGTTGCCGCGCCATGCGGGAGCAAGCGGCCGGCGCGACGAGCTGAGCCCGGCAGCTCATGCTCGCGCAGCTCGCTCAGCGATGCACACTGAGCGTCGGCGACGCGAAGGCAGCTCCGTCGCCTTGGCAGATCGTGAAGGCTGGCTGCCACCGAAGCCGAGCCTGGCGGCAAGTGCGCACGAAGAGGTGCCACGAGCAGCGAGGGCGGCGACCAGGGCTGAACCAGACGCCGGCAGCAGCTGATCGTGCCGAGTTTGGTGCAGGGGGCTGCGCAGTACCTCCAGGAGGCGCTCGAGCAAGTCGGCCGACCCGCTCGACTGTGAGACGACTCGAGAGAAGGGCGCGAAGTGGGAGGTTGATGACGATCGAGGGGCGGCGGCGCGCGCAGCAGGAGCACAGCGCGGTGGCCAAGGAGGTGCTGCAAGGTGCAGCTAGGCTCGTCGTGTCGGCGCAGCGCGGTCGGAGCCGAGTTGGGCGAGGGGGCGGAGGTGCAAGGGAGGGCCGACGCCGCGAGGTGCGTTCCCCTCGCATGCTCTCGCGACTCTCGCTCTCAGCCCGCTCTATCGCTACCGCCATGACCAAGACGCACGCACCGTTCGGCAGCTGGCCCTCCCCGATCACGACCGACCTCGTCCTCTCGTCGGCCGTCTCGCTCGGAGACCTCGTCGTCTCCCCCACCTCTCGCGCTCTCGCCTGGACCGAGGGCAGGCCAGAGGAGAAGGGCCGCAGCGCACTCGTCTTCCAGCAGCTCGGCGGCAAGCAGGACCAGGTCCTCCCCGACCCAAAGTGGAACGCGCGCACCAGGTCCGTCCTCTCCCCCTCGACCACCTCCGAGTCAATCCTGCGGCCAAGCGAACCTCGAGCTGACCCACCTTCCTTCCGACAGGGTCCACGAGTACGGTGGAGCACCATGGACGTTCGAGAGCGACAAGTCGATCATCTTCTCGTCGTTCGAGGGACCCGCATACCGCGTCGAGCGAGGTGACGACGGCGCCTGGAGCCAGCCCGAGCAGTTCACGCCAGGTGCGTCCGCCACGTTCTTTCTCAGCCCCTCACACGAGATCCTGACCCCACCCTCGGCGCCCGCAGAGAGCTCCGTCCTTCGTTTCGCCGACTTTGCGCCGCACCCGTCTCAGCCCGGCGTCACGCTCGCCGTCGTCGAGGACCACACCAAGGACACGCCCTCGACGGTCGTCAACACCCTCGGCGTCATCTCGAGCTCGTCGGGCAAGGGCAAGGTCGACACGGTCGTGTCGGGCGCCGACTTTTATGCCTCGGCTCGTTGGTCGCCCTCGGGCAAGTACCTGTGCTGGATCCAGTGGAACCACCCCGACATGTGCGTCCCTCTCATCCTCTCGATTTGCTTGGTACGGGCTATTGATAGGCACGACGCATCCCGCAGGCCCTGGGAGGGGAGCGAGCTCTGGGTCGCCCCTGTCGCGCTCGACTCGTCCGGCGCCGTCAACACGGCGCAGCTCGTCAAGCCTGGTTCGGCCGTCAAGGTCGCCGGTGCGGCCAAGAACGTCGAGAGCGTGAGCCAGCCGCGGTGGGCCCTGTCGAGCGAAGACGGCGCGCCCGAGAAGCTCGTGTTCCTGAGCGACCGCACTGGCTTCTACGAGCTGTACTCGTTCGAGCCCGAGGGCGACAAGGACGTCAAGCTCGTCCTCAACGAGCCGTCTGGCGCCGACGTCGGCAGTGCGTCCCCTCTTTCGCCTCTCTTTCGAGACGGCCGACCTGACTCTCTGAACGTCTGCAGGCCCCGACTGGATGCTCGGCCAGTCGACGCACGGCCCGCTCTCGCCCTCGACCTGGATCTCGACCGCCAGTGGCGGCGCTTTGCGCGTCATCTCGCTCGCCGATGGCACCTCGTACCTCGTCCCGACCCCCTGCGTCTCGATTTCGACCCTGCGCGTCGTGTCGCCAGCCGAGGTCGTCGTCCTCGCCTCTCCCGCCGCCACGCCATCCCTCATCTCCCTCCTCACGCTCCCGTCATCGTCATCCTCGGCCAAGGCCGGCGTCAAGGAGGAGATCCTCAAGCTCTCGTCGTCGGCCTCGGTCGACTCGTCCTTCGTCCCCGAGGGCAGCAAGATCTCGTACTCGACGCCGGACGGCTCGACGGCGTACGCCATCTTCTACCCGCCGTCGTCGGGCTCGCACGCCGGCCCCGAGGGGGCGACGCCGCCGCTCGTCACGCACTGTCACGGCGGGCCGACCTCGGCCGCTCGGCGCGGGCTCGACTGGACCGTCGCCTTCTTTACCTCGAGGGGCTTCGCCTACGTCGACGTCGACTACGGCGGGAGCAGCGGTCCGTCGTCACCTTTCCCTCGGCCTCTCGTTCGTCAGGAGGGCCGCACTGACCCTCTACCTCGAGCAGGGTACGGCAAGGACTTCCGGGAGCGCCTTGCGGGCCAGTGGGGCGTCGTCGACGTCAACGACACGATCGCGTGCGTCGAGCACCTCGTCAAGGAGGGCAAGGTCGACAAGGACAAGGTCGCCATCACGGGCGGCTCGGCAGGTGCGCCTCGCTTGCCCTCTCTCGCCTTCTCTTCCTTCTCGACCTGACGACGCGGTCTTCCTCCACTCCCTCGCTCGCAGGCGGCTTCACCGTTCTCGCGGCCTTGACCGACAGCAAGGTCTTCACGGCGGGCTGCTCCAGCTACGGCATCTCGGACCTTGCCCTCCTCGCCGACGACACGCACAAGGTGCGCCTCTCTCCCTCTCTCTCTTTCCCTCTTCCTTTCGGACAGCCTTGACGACCTCTCTTTCTCGCGAACAGTTCGAGTCGAACTACCTGTTCAAGCTCCTCGGCGGCACGCCCGACGAGGTCCCGCAATACTATCACGGCGCGTCCCCTTTTTCTCTCCTCCCTCTCTCGCCGCCGTCGCACGACCACTGACCCGGCCTCGGCTCCGTCGTCCCACAGACCGCTCGCCGCTCAACAAGGCCTCGCAGATCACGGCGCCGCTCCTGCTCCTCCAGGGCTCCGAGGACCGCGTCGTGCCGCCCGCTCAGGCCCAGGTCATGCTCGACCGCATCCACGCCAACGGCGGCGTCGCCGAGATGATCCTCTTTGACGGCGAGGGGCACGGGTTCCGTCAGAAGGAGAACCGCAAGAGGGCGATGGAGAAGGAGCTCGAGTGGTACAGGAAGACGTGGGGGATCGAGGAGAAGGCGTAGAACGAGGAGCCGGGCGAGACGAGCCAGAGCAACTATAGCAGTACTTTCCCTCTCGGTACGATTCGGTCGAGGAACCCGTCTCGATGCGTCCAAGAAAGCTTCTACAAGAGTGTCTGTGCGAGGCGCGAGGCTCAAGTTGAGCGGGCCGGCGCGAGTGTCTTTGGGTCGAGGAGGGCGAGGCTGCGCTCGGGATAGCTGCGGTCGAGAGAATGTCAGTGACCGCCGGCTGCGGCGCGAGGAGGACAGGAGAGGGAGAGAGGACGCACCGGGCGGTGATGCGGGAGACGATGTCGGCCTCGAATACCTGGTCGCGGTCGCCCAGCTGGTTGCCGAGGGTCCACCTGCGCAGGCGAGGGCGTCAGTGCCGCTCGTGATGGTCGCCTATATCCACAGAAGAGAACGAGAGAGCGCGCAGGACGCACCACCCGCGCCTCAAGTTGTGCGTCCGCCCAAAGAGCTCGACCTTCCTCCCCTTTGCCCTGCCGCCGACGATGCGCTCGATCATGTCGTACAGCTCGTCTGGCTTGCGCGACGTCTGACGGACCTCGGCGAGGAGGACCTGCGTGTCGAGGCCCTTGTTGAACCACGCCGGGAGGCGAGGAGGCGCGCTCGGGTCCGTGGTCGACTTGCGGACGGCGACGAGGCAGTGCTGCAGGGTGGACTCGAGCGCTCGTCAATGAGAGGCAGGGAGAAGCACAGAAGAACGAGAGGGACGCACCTCCTTCGAGTGGTTGAGCCAGTGACCGGTGCGACCTGCTCGAGACGAGGGTGTGAGCGCGACGAGGGAAAGAGAGATTGAGGGCGGCGCGCACGCACCGGTCCGAATGAGGCCCTGCAGCTGGTTCGTCTTGATCCACACGAGCTCGTCGATGCGCTCGTACCTGCGCGCAAGGGTCGAAGCGCAAAGTCAGCCTCGAGACTCGAAGAGGCGCCATCGAGAGAGGGGAAAAAAGAGAGACGAGGACGCACCCCCACGCCTTGAGACACTCCCTTCCGAGCTCCATCGCTCGACCGGTGACCCACAAGAAGAGAAGCCCGCCCTCGTCCTGCATCTCGCCGACCGGCATGCGCATCATCTCGTCGTCGGTCAAGGTGCCGTACGGGAGCTGCAGGAGGTACGACGCCATGAGCGACGTCTCACAAAGACAAAGACGGCGATGAGAGGGAGGCGCACCTCTTGGTGGATGGCCCAGGGCGGATCTGCGACGACGACGTCAAACTTGCCGAGGACCGAGATGTCGAGCGAGCGCAGGTCGGCGTTGATCCACTGGGGCGGGAGCGGCTCGTCGTCGTCGCCTGTGGGCGCCTCGACCTGCAACGGCGTGTTGAGCGGCGGCGCGTCGAGCGGGTCCTCGAGGACCCAGTGGACGTAGCGGCACTCGTGGCGGTGGCAGGTGTTGAGGTACGAGCAGTCGCCGAGCGAGACCTCGGTGTGCGGGCGCAGGGCGCGGACAAAGTGGACGTTGGTGCAGGTCGAGCTGTCGGGGCACAGGTCGCGGGTGGTCGACGAGCAGATGGTGACGAAGGGCCGCAGGAGGGGGAACTGCGTGCGCGAGGTGCGAGCGGTGAGCGCGCTTGCACGCTCGAAGGAAGGGGCAGAGAGAGAAGGGACGTACCTTCTGGCGGAGCGTCTTGGCCCTGGCGAGGCGGGCCTCGTAGCTGTCGGCTGGTCGAGGTTGCGGTGGGGAGGGAGGTTCGAGGTCGGCCCACCCTCGCTCGATGGTCTGGCGGGTACTGCAGCGGGATACGGGGGGCTTCAGCAGCAGTTTTGCGAGCTGCTGGACCCACACAAGGGCTGGACGGTGAGGAAGAGACGGCTCACCTGGTGGTCGCAGCCGGAGCCATCCTTCTCGCGCTCAATCGCAGGAGCCGGTCGAGGCTTGTCAAGAGGATGCTTGTCGAGTAGTCGAGCACGACTGTACGAGCAGCAAGCTGGCCGAGCAGGTGGCTGGGGTGGGCTCGACCCTCATCAGCTCGGCGGCTCTCGTCCTCATCTCTCGACTGAGCTCCGTTCGCACCAACAGCTCGAGCCCGCCGTCCGATTCAGCAGTCGCACTCGCGAGCACAACAGCTACCGCGAGACCCCGCCAGCAGCCACTCGAGAGCTCGTCGCTCCCTCTCGCCTCCCCGCCCGCTTCGCCTCACCTCGCACCTCTCGACTCGGCGCCAGGGCGGCCAGACGGCGACGCACGACCGCGCAACCTTGCATGCGCATCTTTCGCCAACGCCTGCGCCGCTAGTCTCGCCGGCCGAGCCACAAGCCGCGATCGCCTCCTCCTCATCCTCCTCGACCTCGTCACGGGCGGCGGCGACCACTTCGACCGCTCGAACTTGTTCGCCCCTTCCCCAGGCCTGCCGATTGCCAGAGTGCGCCACTGGCGGGCCCTCGTGCGCTATCGCCCTGGCCGGAAGATCGCTCGGTGGCCGTCACTTTCCATTCCGAGCTCGACGGTGACGAGGTCGCCGCCGCGCTCGACTTGTCCCCGTTCGACGCCGTCATCCTCTCTTCCGCCTTCACCACACTCGACACACGCCTTCCACCATGAGTTCAGCCGCCCTCGCCGCCGCGACAGGCGTCACGCCCCGCGACAACAAGCTCTCGCACCCGTACCGCCGCAACTCGTCGTCGTCCATCGGGTCGGACAGCTCGACGACCCCGTCCGAGACGCCAATCTCGTATGCCGCCGACCCAGAGCACCCCAAGGCGCCCGCGCCTCGAACCACCAAGCAGAAGGTCGACCGCCGTCCGCCATCCACCTTCGTGCGTCCTCGACTCTCTCCTTCTCCTCTCGCCCCGAGTAGCCTGACTGACCTTCGCCCGCTCGCCCACCCACAGTACCTCAAGGACCCGTCCGAGATGACGATGGCCGAGCAGATCTGCAACCTCGCGACGTGCCCGCCCGAGATGCATGAGCTCAAGGACGACTCGATCGACCGCGGCCTGCCGCCGGTCCAGCCCGTGTGGAAGGAGAACATCTTCATCCTGTCGCGCGCCTTCGTCCCGCTCGTCCTGCACCAGATGGCCTACATCGCCTTCCCCCGTGCGTCGTCCCCATCGTCCTCCTTGTTCCCCTCCCGTACTCGTCACTGATCCGCCCTCTCGCACAGAGTACAAGTGGCCGTTCGCCCTCGCCTACCCGTTCTACATCCTGTGCTTCATGGGTTTCGCGCTCCAGGTCGTCACGCGCATGTCGGGCTACTGCGTCAAGCTCGGCACGTTCGACGAGAAGCAGATCGGCCGCGACCGCACGCCCGACAAGTCGGTCAACCACCTCGCCGGCGGCATCCTCGCCTACATGATCATCCGCACTGGCATCGACTTCTACCTCAACTACGACAAGGGTGTCCAGAACCCGCTGTTCGACTTTTCGTGGTCGTTCCCGATCCGCCTCGCCCTGTGGGAGGTCACTCTCGACTACTTCTTCTACGTCTACCACCGGTGCGTCCTCGACACTCTATTCCTCTCTTCCTCCCGGTGGCGAATCCTCGAGCGGCAGAGATCTGACTCGCCTTTCTCGCCCGCAGTGCGACGCACGAGGTCGACTACCTCTGGAACATCCACAAGGTCCGTCTCGCTCCCGCCTCTCCTCGCCAGTGAACGCGCACAGACTGACGTTTCTTGAACCGCAGCACCACCACACGACCAAGCACCCGACCGCCATCCTCGCCATCCTCGCCGAGGAGAAGCAGGAGTTCCTCGAGGTCTTGACGATCCCGCTCCTCACGTCGCTCGTCGTGCCCATGACCTTCTCCGAGGGCTACATCACTCTCGCCTACACGATCGTGAGCTCCTCGTCCTCTTTTCCCTCTCGCCATCGTCGCCGTCGCCGACGACTGCCCTGAGTTCGGCCTCGGCGACTTCCGTCCTCGCCGCACTTCTTTCGCCGGAGCCCGACTGACGATCGCCTCCTCCTCCTCGCGCACAGTACGTCGAGATGCTCGGTCACTCGGGCGTTCGTGCGCACTGGTGCCACCCGATCCTGTGGCCGCTCGAGGCGTTCGGCGCCGGCCTCGCCGTCGAGGACCACGACCTGCACCACCGCTTCGGCAAGTCGGGCAAGAAGTGCGTCCCCCTCTCTCTCTCGCTCTCGGGGCATCCTCTCCTCGCCGACGTCGACCCTGACCCTCGTCTCGTTCCCGCAGCTACGGCAAGCAGTCGCGCCTCTGGGACCGCGTCTTTGGCACCTGCGCCGAGCGCATCGAGACCTGGGGCATGTAAGCCCGCTCGTCTCGCTCCCTCACCCTGTATAGGTGCCTCTGCACGCCCTCCCTCATCCGCATCCCCCGCCTCTGTCGTTTGTCCACCACCCTTGCCGGCCTCGAAGCCGTTGTACCCCCGACCCTCGCGCACCAGTTTGTTACCCCTCCCACGACCCTCGTTATGAGCGCAATGCATCCCTGCAGTATCCATTTGCAGATCTGGCGAAGCACTTCATGGAAATTGCGGGTGCGCCGGCGGGAGAGAGATCGTGCGCTGCGACGAGGCCTCGGGCCTCTTTTTCTGCGAGCCGGGATTCGAGCGACCCAGCGATGAGTGCACCGAGTCTACGACCTGCACAGCGACGAGAGCGACGAGAGCGACCTACAGAGACGGGCGAGAGCTTTCCTCGCTGCTCCTCTCGCGACGGGGACCGAGCGCACAGAGATACGGACGACAAAGCTCGATGCACGATAGACATACAGCCCACGAGAGATGTACGGTGCTACAAAATGTACGACGAGGAACGACCAGCGCTCGAGCCCTCCAAGGACGACGACGACCTCCTCCTCTCCCTCACATGGCGACGCCGATGACGCCGACGTTGTACATGCAGCTGACGCGCTCGCCGAGGCAGACGACGCCCTCCTCCGAGTCGTTCGAGTCGAACGACGACGCCGTGAGCTGCGAGTCGTGGCTGCCGCTGCGAGGGACGCGCTCGCGAGCCGGCGTCGACGCGCTCGGGCCGCCGGGCGCCTCGCCGAGGTAGTCGAGCGACGACGCCGAGTCGGTCTGGGTGTGTCCTGCGCGACGACGAGGTGCGCCCGACGACGACGACGACGACTGGGCCGAGGACGAGGACGTGGGCGAGAAGGCGCTCTCGGCCTGCTCGCCGACGAGCGTCGCGAGCGTGCGGTCGAGCTCGCTTTCGAGCGTCGCGCACTCGTCGTCGTCCTCGTCGATGGGCGACGTCGGGACGTCGGCCTCGGACTCCCACGACGAGGGCCCGGCGCGTCCGTGCTCGCTCTGCGCGACGAGCGACTGGTGCATGAACGTCGGCGAGACGGCCTCGGGCGCAGCGCACGTGCGCGGCGTCGGCGAGGCGACGTACGCGATGTCGACGCCGTCGTACAGGCGCGAGTAGCGGCGCTCGCTGCGCCTCGAGCACGCGCTCGCGCTGCGGTCGTCGTGGCCGAACGCGGCGTTCTCCTTGGACGAGCTCGAGCCGGCTCGGCTGCTGCTCGTGCTGCTGCCCATCTCGCACGCGAGCATCGACAGGCGCGCCTGCGACGTGTTGTGCAGCTCGAGGGCGAGCTCGGTGAGCGAGAGCGACGCCTCGCTGCTCGCCGCCGAGAGGCTCGCCGGCGCCGGCGGCGTGTGCGGGCGGTTGAGCCGCAGGAGCATGTTGTGCAGCGTCTCCTCGCAGTCGGACGAGTCCGAGTCGGGCGTGTGCTGCGACCGCTGCGGCGACGCCGGGACCGTGAGGCCCGAGAGCGCCGGGTGGAAGTCGGTGCGGAGGACGTCGGACGGGCGGTACGTGTCCACGGGGATGAACGGCAGGGTCGGCGACGAGGGTGACGAGAGCTGGTACTCGTCGTCGTGGTCGTACTCGTCGAGGAGCGGGAGCGAGGGAGGCGGCGGCGGCGTCACCTCCACGAGCGGCGGAGGAGGAGGCGACGACATGGGCCGAGCGGGCGCGCCCTGCATCTTGCGCTTCGACGCCTGGACCCGGCTCGACAGGCGCACCGTCTTCTTCTCGGGCAGGACCGTCACCTTGGTCGGCCCGTTGATGATGGTGAGCGGCCGAGGCGGTGCACGACGAGTCGACGACGAGCGCTGCGCCTGCACGGGCGGCGGCGGCGGCGAGGCCTGCGTCTGCGGCGCCGTGACGACGTGGCTCGCGCGCTGCGGCAGGGCCTGCAGCGACTGGCGGCGCTGCCTCGGGCGGATCGGCGCCTGGACGGGCTCCTCGCCGACGAGCGGTGGCGACGGCGGGCACACGAGGAGCTCGGGGATGTCCGAGGGCTTGAACGTCGACGTCGAGCTGAGGGCGGGCGACGGCGCCGGGTTGAACGGGGCGGCGAGGCCGGGCGAGCGCTCGTCCGACGAGGCGACTCGGGGCGAGAAAATGAACCCGCCGGCGAGAGGCGGCGAGACGGGCGGGAGCGCCATGGTGCGGACGGGCGACGGCGAGGCAGTGCCGTCGGCGGGAGGCGACCAGAGCGAGATGCTCGGCTGGAGCGGCGCCGAGATGGGCGCCCAGGTCGAGAGCGCGTTGGCGGCGGCGACGTCGAGTGGGGCCGGGCGCGAGGATGAGCGGCGAGGGTGCGGTCGCGGTCGCGGGACGTCGAGAGCGAGGCCCGGCGAGGGCGGCGTGCTCGGCTCCTTGGCCAGAAGCGGACCGTCCTCGTCGACGAGGTGCGCCACGGGCACGATCGGCGACTCGAGCTCCTCGTCCTCCTCGACAAGGACCGGCCCGTCGACCGGCGCCTGCTGCGTCGGCGGCGACGGCGGCGGCATGTAGGCGCTAAGGACCCGCGTGCGACGCCTCGTCTGCTTGGTCGAGGCAGACGATGGCGGCGACGAGCGCTTGCCGCCGGCGACGAGCCCGAGGTTGACGTTGGCCTCGACCTCGGCGAAGAAGGCGTCCATCGAGATGCCCTCGAAGCTGATCGACGGGATGCGGTGCGACGACGGCGAGAAGCGGCGGCCGCCTTTTTGCGGCGACTCGAGGAGGAGGTCCTGCGAGATGGCGCGGCGGACCGTGCGGCGCGCGCGAGGGGGCGACACCTCGTCGTCGGCCTCGCTGCCGGCGGCCTCGCGCCGCGCCGACGCGAGCTTGTCCTGCGACGCGGGCGACAGCGTCACGCTCGAGGCCGAGTAGCGCTTGGGCCGCGGCGGCGTCGACGGCTCGCCGAGCATGACGGCGACGGCCGACGGGATCGGCGTCGAGTTGCGGCGGGTGGGCGTCTCGCGGCCGTTGGGCGGGACGAGGCCGTCGTAGATGCTCAGGCGCACGTCCTCGTTCTCGCGCTCGGCGATGTCGGGCAGGGTGGTCGAGCCCTCGGCGGCGAGACCGCGCACGCGCCACATGCGCAGGTGCGGCGGCGTGCACTTGTCGTCGCGGCCGCTGTCGGGCGACGACGTGAGCGACGTCGCCTCGGAGTGCCAGCCGCCGTCCTCGCTCGAGTAGAACAGGGCGGTCGACGCCGACGACGAGGTCGTGCGGATGGTCGACAGCGACGCGTTGCTCTGCTGGTGGCCCGGGACGTGCGAGTTGCTGACGACGAACGACGGGCGCTGGCGCGCTCGCTGCAGCGTGTCGGCAGGTGCGGCGACGGGCAACGATGTCGAGCCGGAGATTCCGAGGGGCAGCGAGGTGGTGGTCGGGAGCGCCGTGATGGGGGGTGCCGCGCCGCCGCTGCCCGACGCGACCGGTTGCGCCGTCGCTGCTGCCGTCTCGACGAGGTTGAGCTGGTGGTGCGGCGCGTGCTTCTTGTCCGAGCGCGTCCACGGGAACGACAGAAGCTTCTTGCCGAGCCCGGTGCCGCCGTCCTTGTTGCGCGTCGTCGCGGCATGCGTCGGCGCAGGCAGGCCCATGTGCTCGTCGAACGCGAGCGCGCTGAAGGGCTGGCTCGGCGAGGCGCAGGTGGGTGACGGGACGGGGCGGATGAAGAACGGGTCGTCGGTCGGCGGCAGGCTCGGGCGGCGCGAGGCGTCCTTCTTGGCGCGCATGGTCGACGACAGCGGGTACGGGAAGCGCGGGTGCTCTGGAGAGTCGGCTGCAGGGAGGGCAGAGCGCGTCAGAACGGGACGTGTCGTGGGAGGCGAGGGAGGGAGGGGAAGCGGTGCGACGCACCCACGGCGACGGCGGTACGAGGGGGCGAGGTGGCGCGATGCCGAGTGCGAGGAACGTACGAGTCGCTGCGCAACGCGAGGGTCAGGGCTGTACAGGACGGGAGGGAAGGGCGGCGAGCGAGATCAACACACCTCGATCCGGGGTCGAGGCGAGGCGGGGCGAGTAACGAGCGTGGGCGGTGCGGGTGCAGCGCAGACGGGGCGACTTGGTCGGTACAGGAACCCGGCAGATGCGAGCGAGAGCGCAAGAGGTGTGCTGGACGAGCCGTGAAGGGAGACAGACTCGAGCTCTCTCGAAGGGGAAGCTGGCCGCGTTGCGACGCGTCCCTGCTCGGCCGCCGAGCGAGGCGGAGGATGCCAAGCTCGATCTTGGCCAACGGTCGCGCTCTCTCCGTCGCCTTCTCAAACTGGCACGCTCGGTCGCGTTTCGCAGCCCTGAATGGCACCGGGTCGCACCCTCTCCCGATCTGCGAGTCGACCGAGCCTGTCACTCGCTAGCAAGTTGCTATTCGGCATTACAAGCTCGCGCTATTGGCGGTTCAAGGAAGCGAGACGGCGGTCCGCATCGCTCGTTCGGGGCCACGGTCGCGAGCTAGCGAGGACCAGAGAGCTCTGGAGAACACAGCGAGCAGCTCTGTGCAGCCAACTGAGCGAGAGCGGCCCGTCAGAGAGAGCTCGTCGTTGCTGCACCTGCTCGCGAGCACTCTCGCAGCTCGTCTCTCACCCGGCCCCGCGCAAAAGCCTGCGCTGCTTGCCTGCACCGACTCTGCACCCGACAAGACACGCCCTCGCGCCAGCGTCCGCCGTCCCTCGACTCGACCGTCCCCTCCTCGACTTCATCTCGTCGGTCGGTTCCGGCGCCCTCCAGCCTCTTCAACCCGCTCAAGAGTGCGTCCAGCTGTCCCGCGTTCTCGAGTGTACCCCCAGCTAACCCGCACATTCACCCACAGTGCTTGGAGACAACGCCCAGCAGCTCGTCGTCGAGGCGCACCGCTCCCAGCAGACGCGGTCCCTCCTCCCGTACAACACGGCCGGCGTGCGCACCGTCATCCGCGAGTCGCACTCGCTGTCCCAGTCGATCGTCCAGACGGCCGCCCCCTTTGTCGGCTCGCAAGGCGTCGCCCCTACACCCGGCGTGTCCGCCGAGTTGACCGTCGCCGCCCTCGCCCTCAACCGCAACAAGCGCGCCCTGTACGTCTACCACCAGCAGCGCATCGACGTCCTCCGCGACCGCTTCTGGGAGAGCGGCGGCGTCCTCAGCGCCGCGTTCGGCGCCGAGACCGACACGCGCAAGGCCATGACGACGACCGACGAGGAGTTTGCCAAGGGCTACGCCGACCTGTGCCTCGCCTTCAAGACGAGCGTGTACGGTGGCGGCGGCCGAGGCGGCGCGTCGAGGGGCGACGACGAGTCGTTCCGCTTCGACGACGACGAGCGCGACCCGGACGACGACGACGACGACGACGACGAGGGCGCGACCCAGCTCATGGACGCCGTCGACCTCCTCGGCGGCGGGACCAACCTCGCGCCGCCCAAGGAGCTCATGGTCGACGTGCGCGTCGCGCGCGACGTCGGCGAGGTCGAGCTCCTGAGCGGGAACCGGATCAACCTCAAGAAGGGCGCGCAGTACCACCTCGCGAGGGAGGACGTCGAGGCCATGATCGTCGCAGGCGACGTCGAGGTCATCGAGTGAGGCGTCGAGCTGGGACGAGGGCACGCGAGGCGGCATCGAGCAGCAGCTCTGCCGCTCGCTCGCGGGCGGGCTTGTCCGAGTAGAGCGCGCACGAGCGGTGCGTCCAGGCTGCTCTCCTCTCTCTCTCTCCCTCTCTCGTCGTCACTGACCCTCTCTGTACCGCCGCAGAAGCTCGCGATCGCAAGACGCCGCCTATGTCGCCGTCAAACGACCCGGCCTTCCCCTCTCTTTCCTCCTCGCCCTTCCTCCCGCTCGACAGAGCATCACGCGCACGCCCAGCCGGCCTCGACGAGCGCGATAGCGGTTGAGCACGGGCGGCGGCATCGAGAAGGAGCCTGTCGCGCCGGCAAGCTCGGGCAGAGGTCGAGCGCGCTTTGACCTCGCGCTGCAACAAGAGCTCGACTTGCACATTCTCCTCTCTGGACAGCCTCGAGAGAGAGAGGCTCAACGGCTGCGTTGCACAAAGAGAGACAGCGAGAGAAAGGGAACGTGCTCGTAACGAAAAGGGATCCGAGTGTCTGTCAAAGCGAAAGGGAGGGGCGGCGCGCCAGGCGATGAGGAAAGGAAGGGAGGGGCTACATGATGCGGGAGGAGGGTGAAAGAGGGAGAGAGAGAGGGGTGACGAAAGGAGAGTGACAGGGCGATGCAACGAGGTGGCAGAGAGGGTGACAGGGAACGTCGACGACGAGGAGCGGGCGAAAGTGGTATGGACAGGAAGGGGGTAAAGAAAGGCTCGGCGAGCGAGGGGCATAAGAGGGAGGGAGGGAAAGTGTCTGTCCGACGACGGGGCGCATGCTGGAGGAGAAAGGAGAGGAAGGGCTAGCACGCGACGCCGATACCGCGAGAGGCAGCGGGAGGCGTCGGCGGCTGCGGCGACGTGAGGAAGGGCGACTGCGACGGCGGGGCGCTCCACCTTGCGAGCGACTTGGGCGGGCGAGAGGGGCAGGTCGTGCGGCTGAAGGAGGGCGAGGCGGATGGACAGGAGCTGGGCGCGGTCGAGGTGGTGTCGATGGGCGAGGATGACGGGCGAGACGGAGACGCCGAGGTCGTGTCGGGATTGACGACCTGCCCGGACGTGTGAGAGACGTGGGTCAGAAGGTCGGGCCCGAGGGTAGGGCAGGGAGGACGAGAGGAAAAGAGAAAGAAGTGGACGCACGATGAGTGTTCCCCTCGCGAGCTCTCTCTCGGCCTGGTCCTCGAGCGGCACCCACGCCCTCTCAAGGACACTCATCTGCAGCGCCGTACCGCCCTCGGACGTCGACCTCGCGTGCCGCCTCGAGCGCGCAAAGCTCGACGACGGCGACAGCGGCGGGTGCGAGCCCGGCGGCGGACCGAAGCTCGCGCCGGCGTGCCCGTTCTCGCTCGCGACCGTCATGGCCGCAGCGGCCGACCGACGCGCCTCGCTCGGCGTCGACGGCGGGAGCTCGAACGAGACCTGGCTCGCGCGGCGCGCATGCGCGCTCGGGCCGCCGCCGCCGCTCGACAGGCTCTGCTGCCTCGCGAGCGCGAGCAGCGGCTCGCTCGTCGAGCACGACGCGCCTGTGCCGAGGCTGTAGTGGCTCGACGACGACGTCGCGCCCGGCGTCGGCGGGATGCTGAACGCGCCGCTGCCGCTCGCGCTCCCGAACGACGACATGCTCGTGTGGCGCTCGAGGTCGACGCCGGCGAGCGGCTCGAGCGCCGGGGCCGACGCGCGCCGCTCGTGTAGCGACGAGAAGGTCGTCGCGCACATGAGCGGAGCGGCGCCCGAGCCGGCGCCGCCGTGGCCCGAGCCGTGGCGGGAAGAGAGCGACAGGCGGCGGAACGTGCGGCGGGGCTGGAGGAGCGAGTTGTGGCGCTTGGCGGCCGACGACGAGCCGGTTGCGGATGACGACGACGAGGTCCTGGACGAGTAGGTCGTGTTCGAGCGAGTGAGGGACGAAAAGGGTGACGCCTTGGTGGGCGACGAGGGCGGGTCGAGCGGCGGCGGCGGCCAGAACGTCTTGATCGGCTGGTGCTCGGGAAGCCTCGCGAGCGTCGGTGACGGCAGGGGCGACTCGCAGTGGCGCGCCGGCGCCGACGACGGGATGGCGAGCGGCTCGAGCGCGGTTGGACGAGCGCGAGTTGGGCGCGCCTCGAACGTGTGCGACAGCGTCGGCGGCGACGATGCGGAGCGACCGTGCGCCGCGAAGAGCTCGAGGTCGAGCATGCCGAGGCCCGTGCGCGGCCCGCGGATGGTCGCGCCGACGTCGACGAGCTCGAGTCCCGCTCCGGCTGGCGCAAACTCGACGTCCTCGTCCTGCTCGTCGCCGCTCGCGTCGTCGCCGATGCCGTACAGGTCCTTGTGCCGCCTCGTCTCGCACGGGCTCGGCTTGAGCGACAGGCGCCGGCGCGACGTGAGGACGCGGCGGCCGTTGTGGTCGATCCGGGTCGCGATCGTGAAGCTGAGCGAGACGGTGGACGACGTAGGTGAGCTCGGCGTCGGAGGCGGAGCGAGGGACGACGTCGAGGTGCGGCTGGCAGGTGAGGAAGGGGAGAGGAGGGCCGACGAGAAGGACGTGGTCGGGCTCAGGTCGGGCGACGAGATGGACGCCTTGCGCTTGGTCGGTGTCGTCGGCGGATCGCGCCCGGGCGACAGGGCGAACGACGGCGAGAAGGGGACGAGAGGGGGCGCCGGGGCGAGGTCCAAGTGCGGCAAAGACGCCGCCCTGCCACGGCCGAGCGCCCTCTCGCCTCGCTCCGTCGCCGCCGCGCCCGCGAGGTCGACGTCGACCCAGACCCACTCGCCGAGCTCGCCCGTCTCATCGCCCTCGTCGAGCGTCCACGAGTCGATCGCGGACGAGGTGCCCAAGTCGAGGAAGCCGCCGTCGCTCGCGCCGAGCTGGTCGCCCTCGAGCGCCTCGTACCCGCGCCTCGCCGGACCTGCCCGGAGCTTGGTCGGCGAGCTGGCGCGAGATGCGGCGATGTCGGACGAGGTGGACGGGTGCGAGTCGACGCGAGTGGACGGCGGCGGAGGTTCCGAGCGAGGCGAGTGCAGGCGGGTCGTTGAGCGCAGCCTCCGGAGGAAGGAGCTCATTCCGGCTCGCTCGCGCTTCGTGTCGGGCTCGGCGAGGTGTGGTGGAGGAAGGGGAACAGGCGCTGGAGGTGGCAGAGAGGTCAGCTCGGTGAGGAGATCGGTCGTTCGACTCGGCCGTCCGAGGGGGAGGGGGGAAGAGTGGGGGACGCACCGGTTGCGCTTGCCTCCTGTGGGCCCTTCTCTGGCTAAGGGGCAGACGAGGCTCGCTGTGCAGGGAGGGATAGGGGGAGGGGACGAGAGAGGGGGAGGAAGGAAGGCGGGTCAGGCTCTCGGCGCCTCTGCTCGATCCGAGGAGGAACCGCTGCCGCCCCTCCTCCTCCGCGGAGCTCGCCGCATCGCCTGCAGAGAGAGTGGACGCACCTGAGAGCGTGCTTGCCGCCTGCGCTACTGCTCCGAGGCGGTGAGAGACGAGTGTCGAGGGATGTTGGGCGAGGCCACTCGATCCGAGGTGGGGAAGCGGGTGTACACAGGCGAGGGGAGCGCGAACGATGTAGGGGCGTGAACAGGCGAGTAACTGCAGCCAGGCGAGTGTGGCAGAGCACAGCGGCTGAACACGAGCGGTCGAGGGCGAGGGGAACGACCGCGCGAGTCGCGTCGTCGTCTCTGCCGCCGGCAGCGCGCCAAGTCGAACACTTGAGCCACACGCAGCGGAACAAGGTCCAGGCTAACTAGCCTTGCACTCGCTCCTTCTGCGCAGCACTCGATCCCGCCCTTGTGCCACCGAAACACAGGCCGGCGCCTCCCTCGAGTGGTCGCTCTGGCGAATCGCACGCGCCATGGTCGAGCTCCTTGTCATTCTTCTCGCGCTGTCTCTCTCTCGTCGTACACACTGCCCGAGAGGCGCACAGTAAGAGAGGGCACGCAGGCCCGAGACGTCGCTCTCAGCTCTCGAGACTTGGAGGGCTCGTGCGCGAGGAAGCCGGGCTGTGTTGCAGGGCCAGGCGGCCGGTCGTGATAAATAAACGTCGTCCAAGAGAGAGAGAGAGAACCGGGCGATAGGGGAATACGACGAGAAGAGAGGGACGAGGTGTGCGCATCGCGAGAGCCGGGCTCTCGAACGTCTCACCCCCTCGTCTAGAGCAGGGCCGCGCAACCGACGACACTCGCGGCAAAGACGAGCATCGTCGAGTACTCGAACGAGGCGGTGGCGGCGCTGTTGCCCGACTGCGGCGGCGAGGGAACGGAGGAAGAGTCAGCGCTCGATCCTCCTGCTCGAGAATGGGGCCGAGTGACGAGAGAGAAACTCGTGCGACGCACCGAGCCTGCGCCCGTCGTACCCGAAGCCGACGCGCTCGCGCCCGACGACACGCTCGTGACGTTGAGCGCGCTCGACGCCGCGCTCGCCGCCGACGAGGTGATGCTCGCCGCGCGGCTCGACACGTCGCTGCCGAGGCTCGCCGACAGGCTCTCGAGCGACGAGTCGACCGAGGCCGACGCGCTCTCGAGCGCTCCAGCCGACGTGACCGTCGCGGCCGACGAGATGACGGACGCGGCGTCGGACGAGGCGGTGGCGAGGACGGACGAGGCCGACGACTCGAGGCCGGCGACGGTCGAGGCGGCCGACTCGGTGACGGCTGCCGGGCGGTATCGTCGTCAGTGTGGCGTCCTTCGAGACCGACATGGAGGGAGAGGGGACGCACAGGCTGCGGTCGTCGAGCCGGCGCATACCTGGGCGAGGAGAGCCTGACTCGTCGCGATGTCGGCGGTGTTCTGCGAACAAGACTCGCCGAAAGTGAGCAGATGTACCTCAAGCTGAGGTGTGAAGGATTTGGACGCACGCAGTTGTCCTGGAGGCACTGGTCGAACGCGCCAGTAAAGGTGGACGACGAGCACAAGGCGGCCACGTTGGTCGCGTCGACGCCGGGGACGAGGGTTCCGGCCTCGCGCAGCTTGGCCTGAAGGCACGTTGCGGCGCAGGCGGGTGCACCGGCGGGGAGCTGCTGGGTCGAGGCGAGGGCGACGAGGGCAAGGAGAGGAAGGGTCGAGCGGAGCATGGCGAGGAAGCTGGGCGAGAGAGGGAGTCAACGACAGTGCTGGGGGCTCGAGTACAGAGAAACTAGACGCACCTGAGGTAGTCGGGAAGGTCGAGGGCGAGCGCGGGATGAGAAGGAGAGGGAGAAGCGAGCGAGCAACGAGCTGTTGACGACAGCGAGGCTCGTACCGCCTGACGCGCCGAGCTGCGGAGCGGCCGCGTCGCCGAGAGAGGCGAACGTCACGCATTGACCGGACCGCAGCGAGAGGAGGTAGCACCGGCGAGTCCGCGGACCCGGCGGCGACGGCGGGCAAGCGAGGAGGGCGAGCCCGCGGCCGGGGCAGCTCGACAGCGCCTCTGATCGCGCGCCGCACGCACAGCGCCAGATAGAGGGTGCAGCGCACACCCAGTCCCGGCACAGCGCGACCTGCGCGACCCTCGCCCACGACCGCCGTCCTCCTCGTCGGCCGTCGTCGCCGCGCCCCGACAACGCGCCGCCGAGAGCTGCACAAGCGCCCGCAAGCAGGCTGTGGCCTCGATCGGTGCGTCCCTGCCTCCTCCACGCGTGCCCTGGTCGTGTCGCGGCGTCGGAGAGTGATCGTGGTCGAGCGGGGCGATGAGACGGAGGACGCGGTGGGCGAGCGTGCGGGCGCTTGCGGGCGCATCGGTCGAGTCGGGCAGGGCCAGAGGGTGTGCTGCAAGGGTGCAGAGCATGAGCGCGAGGCCGCACGTAGGCGCACGGCGGCGCTTGACTCGGCCGGCTGATTCCTCCTCGCCCAAGCCTCAACCTCGTGGCCAACCCTCGCTGACTCTCTCTCCCCTTCGTTCGCCCCTCCTCGCGGCCTGCACTTCGCCCTCGAGCGTGAGCGCCACCGACCGCCCATGGTCGCTGTCCTTCCCGCTCAGCTCGCCGACCTCGAGCGCATCGCCGCCATCCACCACGCCGCCTTCGCCCCCTCGGCAATCAGCCGCCGCATCTTTGCCGACGTCAAGCGTCAAGACCAGTGCGCCAAGACGGTCGCGCGCCTCACCAAGCGCCTCGACGACCCGCGTTCCGCCCTCTTCAAGGCCGTCGTCGACAACGACATTGTCGGCTTTGCCCTGTGGGAGCGCCCGAGAAAGCCCGGCGAGCCTGATCCCGAGCACGACGACGCGCAGAAGGGCCCCGACCGCTGGCCGGCCGGGACCAACGTCGCCCTCGCCGAGTCGTTCTTCGCCCGCCTCGACCTCGGCATCAACGAGCCTCATTACCGTGCGTCCTGCGTCCCGGTCCCGACTCCTCGCGCCGGTTCACTCACATGTCCGTCACGTCCTGCAGACTTGAGCCTGTTGGCGACGGACCCGGAGCGGCAGCGGTCGGGAGCTGGGTCGGCGCTCTTGCGGTGGGGCAGCAGGAAGGCGGACGAGGACGGCGTCGAGTGTTACCTCGAGGCGACAGAGCGTGCGTCCCTCTTTCTCTTGCGTCCGTTCGCGAGGCGACGAGGCAGCACTGACTCGAGCTCTTTGCGCAGTCGCAATCCCGGTTTACCTTCGCGGGCAGTACGAGCTGTTCCGCGAGCCCATCGTCGCCGAGGAGGACGCAGAACTCGTCGTGCGTCCTCTCTCCCTCTCTCTCTTGTCATTTCTTTCCGGCGCTGACGAGCCGACCCTGCAGTTGTACCCGATGCGGCGGCCCGCTCTCAAGCTTCGTCCTGCGACCCTCGACGACATTCCCGCCCTGGCACCCGCACACCGCCTTGCCTTTTGGCCCACCAGGGTCAACCTGTACAGCTACAGCGACGTCTCGCCCGAGGCGTACGAGTCGCACTTCATCAACCGCTTCAGCAACTTTATCAAGCAGCGCGACGAGGGCGGCGCGCGGTACCTCCTCACGGTCGCGCAGCGCGGCGACATGTACCTCGGCTACGCGTTCTCGATCTACGAGCCCGACGAGAAGGAGCGCCCGGCCGGCTCGGGCGAGAAGCGGTTCTGGCCTGAAGGCGCCAACGTGCGCCGCGCCGAGGAGTACCTCGCCGGCACGCTCGACAAGCACAAGAAGGACAACCTGCCGTTCGCTCATTGGTGTGCGTCCCCTCCTTTCCCTTCTCTCCCTCGTCCCTTGATAAAGGCGCCGTTCAGCGCCCTCGAGCCGGGAAGGCCGCCGTGTCACCGCGACTGACGGCCTCCTCCTACAGCGCTCTCGATCCTGTCCGTCCACCCAGATTCCCAAGGTCAAGGTGTCGGCCGCAAGCTCGTCCAGGAGGTGCTCGACCACGGCAAACGCGACGGCGTCCCCGTCACCCTCGAGTCGACCGAGCGTGCGTCCCCCTCTCTCAGCCTCTTTACTCTGTCCTCTGGGCCAACCCTGACTCGAGCTCTTACGCGCAGTGGGCCGGCCCCTGTACGAGAAGATGGGCTTTGTCGACTTTGGCGAGATCTTGCGGGCCAAGGAGGACCCGGAGGTGGAGGTGCGTCGCCCGTCTCTCTCTCCCTCTCTTAGCGCCTCGTCGGTCGCCCATTGACTCGTCGTACCTGCAGCTGTGGCCTATGCGTCATGATTCAGCGCAGAAATAGATGCTGCAACGCGCGCCGTGTTCGACGACTCGCGGCCTTCTCAAGTCGCGTCTTGCGCTCTCCCGCCTCGCCCTCGCCACTAGCGGCTGCCGCGCACATCTCGACAGCCTCTCCCACCTTGCTTGCACCTCTCGAGCCCTCGTACGCAGCGTCGGGCGTCGTCCGGCCTCGTCGTCGCTCGAGCCGTCCGCTGTATGCGGCGTCTCCTTTCCCCTTCTCGCCGGACCCTCGCCCTCGGTCAAGGAGAGCCGCAGCACTCGCTCGCCCTCGGTCCCGCACAAGAAGGGCCTCGCTCTCGCGCGCGCCTCTCTCCCTCCTTCCTCCCACTCTTGCCCCCTCCCCGCTCGACGACCTTCCTCGTCCCTACTCGACCTCACCCTCACCCACCACCACCACCACCACCTCAGCCCCATCATGCAGTCGACGATGAGCGTCCCCGACCAGTTCCGCGCCGCCCAGTTCACCGAGAAGAACGGGCAGCTCGAGATCAAGCCGACGCAGCTCGGCGAGGTCAAGGCCGACGGTGCGTCTCCCTCTCTCTCCTCCTTCTCCTCGTCGTCGTCGTCGAGGTCGACACTGACTCTGTCCTCGTCTCGCAGGGTGCGTCATCAAGGTCCACGTGTGCGGCCTCCACTCGACGTGCGTCCCCCTCTCTTCCCTCTCTCGTCCCGCGCACGAGCCCCGACCGAGAGCTGACCCTCCCTCGCCCGCCCGCAGCGACGAGCTCCTCAAGCACGACCTGCTCCCCGACATGCGCTACCCGATGATCCCGGGCGGCGTCGTCGTCGGCGAGATCGCCAAGGCGGCCCAGCAGGGCAAGCGCAACCTCAAGCAGGGCACGCGCGTCGTCGGTCCGTCCTCGTCTCTCCCTCTCTCTCTGCCTCATCTACGCCGACAAGGACCTGCGACTGACACACCCTTACGCTCGCAGCCATCACGTTCATGCGCGGCCTCGCCGAGTACGTCGCCGTCAACGAGGCCATGGTGATCGAGCTGCCGAAGCACTTCCACTCGGGCGACAAGCAGTTCGAGGCGCCCATCTGCGCGTTCGACGCGACGCGCGTCTGGGTCGCGCACGAGCGCTGCCACGACGAGCTCAAGCGCATGCCCGACGCCGAGCGCCGACTCGTCAAGGACCTCAACGAGCGCATGGGTTTCAAGGGCGACGGCGTCCTCGTCGTGTACGGTCAAGGGTGCGTCCCTCTTTCTCTCTCTCTTTCTGTGTCGACGACGACGCGGCACTGACTCTCGCACCACCGTACTCCCCCTCCCTCTCGCAGCGGCTTTGCCAAGGTCGCGCTCGACACGATCAAGATGGCCAAGCAGGACCGCAAGGTGATCCTCGTCGCCACGTCGGACCGCTGGTCGGCCGGCGACTACGGCCTCAAGGACGAGTGTCTCGTCGTCGTCGGCAAGCACAACGTCGCCGACGAGCTCAAGAAGCTCGGCGGCGCCCAGGGCGTCATGTGTGCGTCTCTCCTCTCCCTCTCTCTCTCGAGGACGTCGAAGGACGACGCACTGACCCACTCGCTCCCGCACGACTCGCAGGCGTCGACATGCCGATTCAGCAGGTCGAGCAGCTCCTCGACGGCTGCCGCTTCCACTCGTCGATCGTCCTCCTCTCGCCTCGTCAGGACAAGGCGATGCAGCTCCCGATCGGTGCGTCCCTCGCTCTCTCGCTCTCTCATTCTTGCCGTCTCGATCTCGAGGCCGTGACTGACCCTCTCCCTCCTCCTCCTCCCTCTCTCGACCTCGCCTCCTCGCCCCCGCCGCACAGCCAACATCCTCGCCAAGTCGATGACGCTGCACGGCCAGCCCCTCGTCACGCACAAGCAGCTCGAGCACGCCATGCAGCTCGCCGACAAGCACGGCCTGCGCGCGCCGGTCAAGCAGTTCAACTTTGACGAGGGCGGGGTGCGCCGGGGCTGGGCGGCCGTCGAGGGACGCGAGCAGTTCGAGGCGGCGGTCGTCGTCGTGTCGCGCTCGTGAGGAGCCCTCTCCCTCCCTCTGCCGTAGCCTCCCCCTCTCGCCTCGTCGGCGCCTTTGCATTCAAAGCTTTGCCCTCATTTTTCGTCTCTCGCTCTCTCTTTCCGTCGAGAATCGAGAGGTACGCCTCGCCTCGCTCTTGGAGACGCTCGCGAGCGACTGCAAGAGTGAGCGGAGGAAGAACAGGCAGAGAAGGAGAGTGCGAGCAAGGTGCGAGCGCAAGCGAGGAGAAGAGGTCCGACCGCGGCCCGAGACGACTTCAGCACGGTGACCTCCTGCGCTCCTGGCTCGTTTGATCTCTATAGCTATGGCTTGGTTCTGGGCGAGCTCGCAGAGAGAGTGCGCAAGGCAACGCAGTGCACAACTCTGAGACCACATCGTCTCATCAGCTCTCGTTGAACCGAAGACCGCCTCGCTCCCTCCCTCGACCGCTCTAAGCCTGGTGAGCGACAGCCAGACAGCGCACAGCTGCTCTGCCGGCCTGTGCCCATGTGCCGCTCCCGGCCGGCCAGCCCCCGTCCACGCTCCCGTCGTCGCCTTTGTCCCGCCTCCTTGCTCCCGCTCTCGCCGCGGCCGCCCTCTGCTCGCCTCGGGCGAGTAGGGCGCCGGCTCTTCCTCGCTCTCGCCATCCACCCCGACCTAGATGGGCACCGCCACGGCCCTCTCGGTACCGTCGAGCGCGTCCGCCGCGCAGGTCGCCCGCCTGTTCGCCCTCTCGCCAGCCTGGTCGTCGTCCGAGCCGCAAGTCAACGACCCGGTCGTCCTCGCCACAGCGGCCAACTCGACCGCCACCTTCGAGGTCCTCCAGCAGCGGTGGAACGCGAGCGGCACGACCGAGCCCGTCAACGCCGTGTGGGCCGCCGACCCGTTCGACCGCACCAATCGTGACGCCGTCCTGCAAGTTGCGTACCCTGCCGACTCGCGAGAAGGCGCCCAGTTCAACATGGCCGTGTTCCCGAGAAACTCGAGCGTCCAGACGGCGCTGCTCAAGTACCAGGTGCGCCGCAGCCATTCATTCCCCTTCTCGCTCCCCTCTCTCGGCCACCGGGAACGCTGACCCTGGCTACCCCGACAGGTCGCGTTCGACCCCGATTTTACCTGGAACCGCGGCGGCAAGCTCCCCGGGCTGTACGGCGCCGCACCAGGCGCAGCCGCACGATGCAGCGGCGGCCACCACGGCTCGGACTGCTTCTCGGCGCGGCTCATGTGGCGCAATCGCGGCGCAGGCGAGGTGTACGGCTACATTCCGACGTACGACAACTTCTGCGGCCAAGACGACGTGACGTGCAACGAGGGCTACGGCACGAGCCTGTCGCGAGGAGCGTGGACGTTTCCTCGAGGAGGGTGCGTCCTCCTCTCTCTCTTCCTCTCGGCCATCCCCCGTCTGGTCCGTCAGACTCGGCTGACTTGCGATGCCCACAGCTGGACGACCATCACGCAGCTCATCGCGCTCAACACGCCGGGCGTCGCCAACGGCCTGCTCTACGTCTGGAAGAACGACACGCTCGAGGCGGCGCACAGCGGCATCGTGTGGCGCACCAACGAGTCAGTCACGATCACGAGCGTCTTCTTCAGCACCTTCTTCGGTGGCAGCGACGATAGCTACAACAGCCGAGGCGGCGACTCGAGCTACTTCCGCCGGTTCGAGGTGCGTCCTCTCTCGTCCCTCCTCGCGCCTACCTCGCGATCTCAGCCTGACACGTGCCTCTACGACAGGTGTGGAGCTCGACATTCCCGTCCAACACGTCTGGCCCGACCGTCGAGGCGAGGTTCGACGGCACCGCCTCGTCGTGCTCGCACCCCTTCCCCTTCTCGCTCGTCCGCCTCGTCCCTCTCACGCTCCTTGTTGTCGTCCTCCTGCAATGTACACTCTGAGTCGGCGCTGTGCGTCGTCTCGTTGCTCTGCTTCGCCGGCTCGTTCTCCCTCCTTGCTCTCGTCGTCGCCGGACTGCGGAAAGACGCGCGTCCGTTCGTCTGCCTCGCCTCGGCCTCGCTCCGCATCTCCTGAACTCTCTCGGGCGTGGGACCGGCTCTCCTCTCGCTCATCTCGCTCCGCGGATCTGGTCGGGCCCTTCGAGGAGGAGGCGAAAGGCTGAGCGCGGTTCGTTCGACCGAGCGAGGGCGGCTCGACTTCTCTTTCCCTCCGTCCTCTCGCTCGCCTTTCCTCGGAACCGCCTCAGGTGCGTCCCACTCTCTCTCCTCCCTCAGAGAGCTAGTCTACTGACACGCACGAGCCCTCCCGCAGCACCCGCCGCAGCCGACCATGCTCGCCTTCTCTCGGACCTCGCTCCTCGTCTTCGGCCTCCTCCCGCTCCTCCACGTCCTCCCGTCTTTCGCGCACGCCCACGAGCAGCAGCTTGAGTCGAAGAGCGGCTCGGTGGCAGTCGTGGCGCGTACGGCGAGCGCGTGTCAGGGGACGCCGGCGCAAGTCGAGGAGCGTGCTGAGAACGTCGACTTGTTCTCGCTCGCGCGCTATGGATTCGACTCGACCGCAGGTGCGCCGCACAGGTCCACCTCTTTCGTCGATCTAGCTGTACACGAGCTGACCTTGTCGAGATCCCGCGTCGACGCAGGAGCGACGAACGGCCGCAAGCTGCGTCCCTCGCCCACCGCCGTCAAGCCCGACCTGCCCCTCTTTGTGATCCAGGTGCGCACCCCTCTCTCTCGTGTGAGCTGTACCCGGTCTCGTCGATCGACGTGGCGACAGAGCAAGCGTCGCAAACCCGCCCTCGTCGTTCTCGCGGCCTCGCACTGACCACCTTCGATCGATCCTCTCCTCTTCCTCTTTCCCGCCAGTCGCCCTCGCAGGTCCTCGTCACCGCCGGCTACTCGTCGGGCCTCATGCGCACGGCGACCGCTGGCGCCGACGCCGCGTTCAACCCGCAGCACGACCCGGCGACGTCCGGTGTCGTCTCCTTCGTGTGCAAGTCGCTCGGCCTGTTCGTCACGCTCATCGTGACGGCCGTCGTCGTCTTCCTCGCCTCTGGCCCGGGCCTGTGAGCCTCGCGCGCGTCCTCGTCGTCGCGCCATCGCGTTCGAACCCTCGGACCTCCTCTCGTCCTCCCACACTCGCTTGCCGTCTCCCCCCTCTCCCCCCTTTTGTCTTTCTTCTGTAGCTAGTCGTTCCTCGCTTGATTGTGTCAGTGCCTGAAACGAAGCGCGTTGAGCGCACCTGCGAGCGACGGTCGAGAGTTGGCTTTGGTCTGGATCGCAATCGAGCTTCCCCGCTCGAGCTCACCTCCCCTCTCGCACCGCCTCGACCTCTGCAGCTGCTCACCCGCTGAGCCTGCCACGCGAGCTACACCAGCACCACCGCCATGCCCGTCTACAAGCACGTCGCCGCCTCGCAGAAGCGTTCCAAGCGCAAGGCCGAGCAGCTCCTCTCGGACGAGGAGGACGACCTCTCGGCCTCGGACAACAGCGACGCGTCCCAGGACGAGGCCGACACCGACAGCGGCTCGGACCAGACCGACTCGGACGACGACGACAGCGCAGACGAGGACGACGGCCTCGGCGGCGTCGACGATGTGCTCGGCGAGGACGACCCGCGCCCGCCGCCCAAGGGCTTCCCGAACGCGCTCGAGGCCCTCGAGAACCAGGTCGTGTCGTCTGCGCTCCTCGTGGCGGCGGCCGCTGGCGGCGAGAGCGGCGACGAGGCGGCCAAGGGCGGTGCCGACGGCGACGACGAGGACGACGAGGAGCTGCCGCTCATCTGCGTCGTGTGCCCCAACAAGGTGCTCAAGAAGGGCAAGATGACCGACGTCCACCTCGCGTCAAAGGTGCGCCCATCCGTCCTCTCCCCTCCCCTCCTCTCCTCGCCCCTCGCGACTCTTCCGGAGCTGACCCTCCTTCTCTCGCCCGCCCGCAGGACCACAAGCGCCGTTTCGCCCGCTTCTCGGCCCACGTCCAGGCCGACGACTTCCCGCCCGAGTTTGCCCTGAGCGACGCACGCTGGGTATCGAGCCAGCTCGACAAGGCCGTCATCGAGCGCCTCTCGATGCAGACGCTCGTCGGCGGCAAGAAGGCCGGCACGGCGACGGCACCGGCGGCAGTCGAGGAGAAGAAGGAGGCGGTCAAGCAGCCAGAGACGCCGGCCAAGAAGGGCAAGGGCAAGGAGAAGGCGACCACGCCGGCCGCCGCCGCCGCCGCATCGACGGCCGCGCCCTCGAGCGCCGCCGATACGCCCGCAAAGGCGTCGAACGCGGCGCGCAAGGCCGAGGCGGTCGCGGCGGCCGAGAAGGAGGGCATCTCGGTGCGCGAGCAGCTGCGGCGGGCCAAGAAGGAGAAGGAGGCCAAGCGGGCGCAGCGCAAGAAGGAGAAGAACGAGCGGGTGAAGCGGCGCAAGCTTGAGAAGGGCGAGGAGATCCCGTGCGTCCCTCTTCCTCTTCGTCTCTCGGCGGCGTCCTCGAACGGCGAGCTAACCTTCTCGTCCTCGCGCACCTGCCTCTCACCTCTTCCGCCTTGTCCCTCTCCCGACCCGGCGCCACCTCCCTCTCCAACCCGCACAGTGCCCGACCGCCGACAAAGCGTTTCGTCGAGAAGATCAAGCCGACCGAGGACGAGATCGCGGCGCGGCAAGCGTGGAAGAAGGCGCGCGACGAGGCCAAGGCGGCAGGGCAGCCAGTCCCGCCTCGGCCCGTCCTCGCGTACGAGCACGGCGGCAAGGCGCCCGCACGGCTCGTCAAGCAGCACGCGCAGAAGAAGGAGGCGTTCGAGGCCAAGGTGCAGGGCGGCGGCGGCGGCGAGACGAGGAAGAGGGAGCGCAAGGAGCGGAGGAAGGACAAGGCGTCGGCGGCGGCGGCCAAGGGCGACGAGGTGCTGGCCGAGGTGTAGCTCGAGTGTGTCGGTGCCAGTCCCACTTGCGTTGCTTCTCCTCGAGCGCGAGCGATTTCGAAAGAGACGTGTTGCGCCCCACTCGGCCCGATTCTCGACTCCGCGCGGTCGACCGCCTTCTTTTGGCCCTCGCTCCTCCCTCTCGCTCGCTCTCTCCTTCCACCTCAACCACCATGGTGACCAAGACGCAGGCACCGTTCGGCAGCTGGCCATCCCCGATCACGACCGACCTCTTCCTCTCGTCGGTCGTCGGCCTCGGCGACCTCATCGTGTCGCCCTCGTCTACCGCCGTCGCCTGGACCGAGAGCAGGCCCGAGGAGAACGGGCGCGGCGCACTCGTCTTCCAGCAGCTCGGAGGCAAGCAGGAGCAGGTCCTCCCCGACGCAAAGTGGGACGCGCGCACGAGGTCCGTCTCCTCCTCCCACTCCTCCCCCTCCTCGGTTCTCGCTCGCCGACCATCGCAGCTGATTCGCTCCATCGTCCGACAGGGTCCAAGAGTACGGCGGTGCGCCCTGGGCGTTCGAGAGCGACAAGTCGATCATCTTCTCGTTGTTCGCCGGCCGGGCTTACCGTGTCGAGCGAGGCGACGACGGCACCTGGGGCGAGCCAACGCCTGTCACGCCTGGTCCGTCCTCTTCTGCTCCTCGACGCGGTCGACGCCGTACTGACCGTCCTTGCGCCCGCAGAGAGCGACGTCCTCCGCTTCGCCGACTTTGCGCCGCACCCTTCTCAGCCCGGCGTAACGCTCGCCGTTGTCGAGGACCACACCAAGCCCGCACCTGTCGACGTCGTCACGACCCTCGGCGTCATCTCGAGCTCGTCGGGCAAGGGCAAGGTCGACACGGTCGTGTCCGGCGCCGACTTTTACGCCTCGGCTCGCTGGTCGCCCTCGGGCAACTACCTGTGCTGGGTCCAGTGGAACCACCCCGACATGTGCGTCCCTCTCATCCTCTCGATCTACTTGGTACAGGCTACTCACGAGCGCGCAACCCGCAGGCCTTGGGAGGGCAGCGAGCTCTGGGTCGCCCCTGTCGCGCTCGACTCGTCCGGCGCCGTCAACACGGCGCAGCTCGTCAAGCCTGGCTCGGCCGTCAAGGTCGCCGGTGCGGCCAAGAACGTCGAGAGCGTCAGCCAGCCGCGGTGGGCCCTGTCGAGCGAGGACGGCGCACCCGAGAAGCTCGTCTTCCTGAGCGACCGCACTGGCTACTACGAGCTCTACTCGTTCGAGCCCGAGGGCGACAAGGACGTCAAGCTCGTCCTCAACGAGCCGTCTGGCGCCGACGTCGGCAGTGCGTCCCCTCCCCCTCGTTCCTTTCGAGACCGCCGCCCTGACTCTTGATCGTCGCTCAGGCCCCGACTGGACTTTCGGCGAGCGCACCCACGGCCCGCTCTCGTCGTCGCACTGGGTCTCGATCGCCAAGGACGGCGCCCTGCGCATCATCTCGCTCGCCGACGGCACCTCGCACGTCGTCTCGACACCCTACGTCTCGATTTCGGCCCTGTGCGCCGTCTCGCCGTCCCAGGTCGCCGTCCTCGGCCGGCCGGCCACCAAGCCGGCGCTCATCGCCATCCTCACGCTCCCGTCGTCGTCATCCTCGGCCAAGGACGGCGTCAAGGAGGAGATCCTCAAGCTCTCGTCGTCAGCGTCGGTCGACCCGGCTTTCCTTTCCGAGGGCAGCGTCGTCTCGTATCCGACGCCCGACGGCGCAAAGGCATACGGCGTCTACTACCCGCCGGCGTCGGGCACTCACACCGGCGTCGACGGCAGCCTGCCGCCGCTCGTCACGAGCTGCCACGGCGGGCCGACCTCGGCGGCTCGGCGCGGGCTCGGGTGGGGCGTAGCCTGGTTCACCTCGCGGGGCTTTGCCTTTGTCGACGTCGACTACGGCGGGAGCACCGGTGCGTCCTCCTCTCCCTCCTTCTTCGCCGTGTCGGGTCGGCGAGCGCGCACTGACCCTCTTCCTCTACCTCGAGCAGGGTACGGCAAGGAGTTCCGGGAGCGCCTCGCGGGCCAGTGGGGCGTCGTCGACGTCAAGGACACGATCGCGTGCGTCGAGCACCTGATCAAGGAGGGCAAGGTCGACAAGGACAAGGTCGCCATCACGGGCGGCTCGGCCGGTGCGTCCTCTCGTTCTCCTCCTCTCTCTGTGCGCTCGCGGTCGTTGGCCTGACTGTCGCTCGGCAAACTCGCAGGCGGCTTCACGGTCCTCGGCAGCTTGGCCAACAGCAAGGTGTTCACGGCGGGCACGTCGTACTTTGGCGTCGCCGACATCAAGATGCTCTGCGACGACACCCACAAGGTGCGCCTCACGCCCTCTCTCGTCCTCACATGGCGGCGCACACGCAGGTTCACTGACGATACCCACGTGCACGCAGTTCGAGTCGCACTACCTGTTTCGGCTCGTCGGCGGCACGCCCGAGGAGATTCCCGACGTCTACAAGGGTGCGTCTCGCCGGCTTTTCTGTTTGCTCCCTCTCTCACCGTCGCCATGGAGGCGAACACTGACCCTCGCTCGTCGTCGACAGAGCGCTCGCCCCTGTACAAGGCGTCGCAGATCACGGCGCCGCTCCTGCTCCTGCAGGGCACGGCCGACAAGATTGTCCCGCCCGAGCAGGCCGAGGTCATGCTCGAGCGCGTGCGCGCGAGCGGCGGCAAGGTTGAGCTCGTCCTGTTCGAGGGCGAGGGGCACGGCTTCAGGGGCAAGGCGGCGGTCAAGGGGGCGATGGAGAAGGAGCTCGACTGGTACCGGACGACTTGGGGCATCGAGGCGGCCGAGTAGCCGGTGCGCCTCGCTATGAAATCTACGCATTGCTCTCCTCGCGTTCGACCGTGCTCCCAAGACGGTGCAGCGCAAGCGAGAGAGGCTTCTCTTCGAGCGCGCGCCTTCGCAAGTCGGCCGTCTCGCTCGCGCCTCTCTCGAGCTCAACCCGCGAGCGCTCTCAACTATCTCTCCGTGCGTCGAGGCACTCTAGCTGCACCAAGTTCAACTTGCGAGCGTGCCTTGAGAAAGATAGAGCCGAGCCTCTCTCGAAGGTTCGAGCGGTTGTAATCTGCCTCAAGCTTGGAATACAAATCTCGTCGGTTCGAATAGGAAAGCTGGCTCGAGGGGAGGGAGAGATTGAGCCGCGACTTGGTCGTGGCGGCGAGCGGTGACGACTCGCTCGTCTGGAGCGGTCGCGCGCGGACTTGACTGCGGTATCTCTCGAGGCTCCCCTGTACACTGCAGACCAGCGCATCGAGGTGCCTGCAGGACAAAGAGCGGGAGAGTGCTCGCGCCGCTGCGCGTCTCGATTGGCCAGCGCACCTTCGCAGCTCGCTCTCTACTCGCCCCAGCCACTCTGTGCAGCCAGAGCTGGTGCCAGAGCGCTCTGCAGCCGCCAAGCATGAGCACAGCCCCCTCATCGCGGCGCACCACATTGTCGCTCGCCGCCGTCCTCATCGTCTTCGTCCTCATCGGCTCGAGCCTCCACCACGTCCAGCGGCGACATGCAGCACCGGCGACCGCACCCTCGATGGCCTACAGGGCCCACCTCGAGGCCACCACCTCGCCCGAGTCGCAGCGCACCCATTCCCCAACCCTCACCTTCGACCACATCTACGTCCTCTCGCTCCCGACCCGCCTCGACCGCCGCGACCAGATGACGCAGCTCGCCCGCGCACACGGCCTCGAGATCACCTTTGTCGACGCCGCCAACAAGAACGAGCCTTTTATCCGCTGGATCGCAGAGCGCGCCGTCGAGGTTCGCAGGGACCGGCTCAAGATCATGGTGCGCCCCGATTCTCTCTCTCTCTCTTCCCCAGAGGCAATCACGAGCTGACCATGCACGTACGCCTGCAGGCCAAGGCGCAAGGCGTCGACGAGTCGTCGTTCGGCGGGCTCCACATCGGCAACGACTGGCTCGTGCAGACGCCGTCGCCCACCTCGGACAGCCCGTTCCCGCCTCGAGACGACAAACGGTTCGCGCCGACGGGCAACTGGGTCGAGTACCTCGAGGCGCACGACGCGGCGGGCACGCTCGCGGCGCTCGTGCCGGACGACCCGCACCTGAACGTGACGGCCGCGCTGTGGGACGCCAACGAGCGCATTGCGGGCCGCCAGGTCAACGAGGGCGTCATCTCGACGTTCTGGGGCCACACGCGCGCGATCAAGAAGGTGCTCGAGAACGGCGACCGCAGCGCGCTCATCCTCGAGGACGACGTCGACGTCGAGTGGGACCTCGAGCGCCTGTGGAGCCGGATCGAGCGGCGCTTGCCCGACGACTGGCACACGAGCTTTCTCGGGCATTGCTGGGGCAAGGAGATGCTCAGTGCGTCCCCTTTCCCTCGACTCTCTCTCTCTCTCTTTTCGGGCGCCGCACTGACCCTCGTTCCGCCGCTCGCAGAGCCGCAGTACCTCCACCCGCACTTGCACCGCTCGACCAACCCGCTGTGCCTGCACGCCTACGCCCTGTCGTCGTCGGGCGCCCGTCGCGCCCTGTCGCTCCTCCTCAACCCGTGGACGGCGTACCAGACGGCGGTCGACACGGCCGTGCCGTCCTTCATCTCGTTCGGGCTCGTCAACTCGTTCAGCGTCGACCCGCCGTTGATCATCCAACGCAAGGACGGGCCGAGCGACATCCAGCTCGGTGTCGGGAGCAAGTGGCGGGGCCTGCTCATGGACTCGACGGTCGAGCGCATCCGCAGGGCAGAAGGGCTCGAGGTGTGGGAGGACGTCTTTGACGAGGGCAACCTCGACCCGGCCACTGTCTTCCGGTGCGTCCCTCTTTCTCTCCCTCTTCCTCGTACCGGAGCCCTGACCCTCGATTCTCCTCGTCGCAGGTACGGCACGAGCAAGAAGTGCCATGCATGAGCCTCTTCCCCTTTCCCTCTCTCTTCTCTCGCCGCATAGCATTCACCTCTTGAATACCCTCCCTCTCGCATCTCCTTTCCCGCATACCCACCTGTCGTACTCCCTCGCTCGTCATTATCGTCGTCGGACCTCTCTCCATCCTCCTCCTCGTAGACGCTCTCCTTCCCCTCGCGGGTTTTCTCTCTCTTCCTCGAGCTGCATTATCAGGCGCTGGTCGCTCTCTCTTTCCTCTCTGTCGTCGAGCACGGAGAGCGAGCGGAACAGAGCGAGAGAGAGACACAGAAAGAGAGAGAGAGGGCTGCATCTCGCACGAACCTCGAGCTCGAGTCGGACAAACGGCGTCCCGGATTTTTCGACAACATCTCGGGCGGTCCTTGGTTGACAAGGCGCTGTGTACGGCACTACTCGGCAGGGGGGTATTGGTGGTTGAACAGAAGGATATCATCAGGGCGGTGCGTGCCACCCTCCCCCGCAGCTCGCGCTCGGCTCGCCGTCTCTCTCTCTCCCCCTCCCTCGCTCCCTCGCTCCCGTCATACTGCCCCTCTCAAGCCTCCTCCCTCAGAGCTCGCTCCGGCGCGAGCGCACCGCGCTCGACGACGCCTGGGCGGGCGCCGCGTCGATCTGCTTGCCCTTGGACGCTGCCGAGGCGCGCTCGGCCTCGCGGCGGGCGTAGATGGCGCCGGTGAAGGGGCTATAGTGGAGGTGCGAGTTTGAGGGGAGAGAGGGAGGGGAAGGACGGGGCAAGAGGGCATCAGTCGGGCGGGTCGAGGCGGGAAAGAGGGGGACGACGAGGACGAGGGGACGCACTCCTCGTAGGCGAGCGCGAGCTGGTACACGACGTAGACGAGCGCCGTCAAGACGAGGCCTGCCGGCGCTTCGTACCTGCACCGCAATGCGACTCGACCATCAGTCGAGCTCTCTCGAGAAGGAGAGGCCGAGAGAGGGAGAGAGGGGGAGAGCGAGCGACGCACCACAGGGCCGTGCCGAGGAAGCACAGGGTCGAGCCCGTGTACATGGGCGACGACGTGACGTTGAACGGGAACGACTCGACCTTGTGCTGCGGGCGGGAAAGGGACGAGGTCAGTGTGCGTCCCAACATGACGACTCCAGCGCGTCCTTCTGCCCGTGCGCAGGACGGAGGAAAGCGCGTTGCCGGATGAAGAGCTGCGACGCACGTCCATGAGGATGCCCTGCAGAGCGGCGCAACAGAGTCAGCGCTCGTCGCTTCTCCCACCCGACACCTCGCGACGACCTGGAGGAGAGAGGACGAGGACGAGGACGCACAAAGTAGTCGCCGAGGTACGTCCCCGTGTACCCGAGGGCCCACATCGAGGTCCCGACGAGGATGCTGCCCCACGCAAAGACGGCGGCGGCGACGAGCTTGAACTCGGTGTAGTGCAGGAACGGGAGGGTCGGCTGCGACGCGAGGGCGGTCTGGTACCTGCGGGTGGAGATAAACAGGTGCGTCAGAGGCTACGACCTTTCGCAAGAGAGCGGCGCGCGTGCTGCAGGGAAGGAGCAGTGCGCCGCCCCCGGGACGAGAGGAGGCGGCCGACGCACAGGTGGTCGCGCAGGATGCCGAGGCCAAAGATGGTGACGCCGAGGAGGTAGCACCCGAGGTAAGGCTTGCGGAGTGCGAGCTTGGTCAAGACCTTGTTGCGGTACTCTGCGCGCGGGGGGTTGGGAGGGTGGTCAAGCCGGTGCGAGGGAGGTCAAGTGGGGGAGGTGGAGGAGGGGGAGAGTGGGACGGACCCTGGCGGGCGACAAAGTTCCAGAAGAGCGGGTTCTGCAGGTGTGCAGGGTGGGTCAGGGCTCGGTGCGTGCGGGTGCCGAGGGAGGCGAGGGGAGGGGGAGGGTGACGAGGGGGAGGGGGAGATGAGCAAGGCGGGGACGCACGAAGCAGATGGAGCCGACTGCGACCCACAGGCTCGGCTGCGACAAGTCGATGTAGTCTGACAGGGCGGGCATCGTGGCTCAGCGCGTGAGAGACGAGGCTTGCGAGAGAGGGAGAGAGGAGCGGAGCGGCAGCCGCCGGGTCCGACGCAACCTCGCTCAGCTTGGTCGAGCGGCACTGCGAGCAAGCGCAAGCTGCACATGGTGCTCTCGAGAGCCTGCCTGAGCTGCGAGAGAAGCCCTCGTGGTGGTCGCGCTCGTCAGATGCACGTGCTGCTCCGTGTTGAACTCGCACCCGAGCCTCTGCTCCTCGCTCGACGCTCAAAGCCGAGCTCCTTCTGCAGGCTCTATAGCTCTATGCTCGACCACCTCTACGCCCGCGCGAGCACCGCTGCCCGTCGCTCCTCGTCCCGCCCTTCCCCTCGCTCCTCCTCTCCTCGACTGCGACCACCCTCGCCGTTGCCCTCCTTCCGGACGCGCTCGCCGAGACCGACCCTGCCCTCGAGCCCGAGGGCGACCCGGATCGTCTCCTCCCATCCGAGCTGCCCGTCTGCCTCTCGCTCGAACCCAGGCTCCCTCAGGCCCTCGCCCTCGCGCTCGTCCCCGCTCCCTCGCTCGCCGCCGAGTGCGACGCCCAGCGACCCACTCTCGGCGACCATGGCGCACCGCACGACAATGTCGGCCGTGAGGCCCGTGACGGCGCTCGGCGTGACGCCCTCGTCGGTCGACGCAAACGAGTGCAGCCGGTACGGCCGCTCGAGGAGCCACGCAAAGTCGGCGAACGAGTGCGTGAGCGACTCGGTGCCGGGCGCAGGGCGAGGGCGCGGGGTCGAGCGTGTCGAGGGCCGAGTCGAGGGGGCGGAAGAGGGGGCGGACGAGGGGGAATCGGCGGGTCGAGGGCGCAGGAGAAAGGCGCGCAAGGGGAGGTGGAACACGGCGGCGACCTCGTCTGGGCTTGGGACGAGCACGCGAGGGAGGTACGACGTCGTCGCCGTCGCGGCGGGCTCGACGAGGAGGGCGACGACGGGGAGGACGACGAGGAGCGTGCGCGAGGTGAAGGGCGCGAGGGTCGTCAGGTGCACGAGGTGCGAGGGCGGTCGGGGTGCGTCGTCTGGTGGGCACGACGAGGTCGAGGTCGAGGGAAAGACGGTGTCGCGTGGAGGTAGAGGGAGGCCAATCTCCTCGTGCGCCTCGCGGTACTGCGTCGAGGAAGGGGATCAGCTCGCTGGCGAGAGGATCGCGCTCGAGATTGAGAGCGAGGGGACGCACAGCGGTCCACACGCCGCCCTCGCCGTCGCCCTCCTCCCACCGTCCACCAGGGAGGGCCGTCTCGCCCGGGTGGCTGCGCAGCCTGGACGAGCGCGTCGTGAGGGTGACCGACAACTCGCCGAGCGGGTTCAGGTGGAGCAGGACGAGGACCGCCGCGAGCTTGTTCTTGGGGAGGCTGCGTGGTGCGAGGATGATGTCAACAAGGCTGGCGAGCTGTCGATCCGGGAGGGGAGAGAGAGGGACGCACTCGATGTGCCGGACGGCGGGAGGAGGGCGATACGTCGCGAGTCGTCGCAGCTCGTCCTTTGTAGAGGGTGTGGCGTCGGCGAGGGTGGTGGCGAGGGCGTGCTCGAGCTCGTCGAGGCTGGTCTCGCGAGGGACGAGAGGCGGTGCGGCGTCGAGAGGAGGAGGCATGACGACGGCGAGGGGTGCGACTGTGGGAGCAGGACGGGGTGGCCGAGGTGCGGTCGACTGGCCGGCAGTTGGGAGCGTTGCCTGGCAGGCGAGCACGAGGCGGTGCTCACGGTGCGGTGAGGGCAAGCTGGGGGAGAGGCGACTCTGGGGACGATTTGCCTCGCATCTCCGCGGCCATCTCGCCAGAGTCGGCCGCGAGGGTTTCTGCTGAGCGATCTGATTGCTGCCCTTGGCCCTGCTGCCTGCCCGCCGAGCGTGCTTGCACTCTGCACCTTGCTCCCCACCTTGGAGCGTCTGCTCCTCCTCGCTCGCTCGTCGCTCCTCCCCGCCGCCCACCGCATGCACTCAGCTCAAGAGTCAAGCCGCCCGCTGTCGCCGGCTCCGGCTCAGGGCGCGCGCTCGCTGTTCCCGCTCGACATCTCCCTCCTCGCCTCAGCAACCCGTCCAGAGCTCGGCCAAGTCCCAGGTGAGCTCCCTCGAGCCCACTGTGCGCGTGCACCCGAGCCCACCGCATGCGTCCAGCTCGTCGGTTTCGAGGACCGGCTCGCTCTCGAGCACGCTCTGCGGGGCTCTGCGCACCTCGCTCGACCTCTCTCAGTCCAGCACTGACCGTCCGCGCCCCTCGCACGCCTCTCTGCGCCCTCGCCGCCCCAACAAACGCCGTTCCGACTTCTCCCCGTCGCCGTTCCTCCTTCACCCGACACCCTCGTCGTCCCTCTCTCTTCCTCCTTCCTCCCACTCTCGTCCGACGCACCGCTCAAGCAGCTCTACCTCGTCACTGCCAGCCATTCCGTCACCTCTCCACCCTACGGCCATCTTGCGCCGCTCGCTTCAACACCTCGCCTCCGCCCGCACCTTCTCGTCCGCCATGCCCCACCAGATCAGCCGCGCCCACGCCCTCCCCGGCGGTCCCGAACCCGCCTTTGTCGGCACCAAGGAGCTCTTGATCGAGCGCGCCCTCGCCCGCCTGCGCTCCATCCCCGACCCGCTCAGCCAGTACGCCTACCTCGCCGGCCTGCGCAGCAAGAACGCCGACGTCTTTTACGGCCTCGTCGGCGGCAACATGAAGGAGTGCACCGTGCGTCCCTCGCTCTCTCCCTTTCGAGCGGCGGTCGGGGCGAGACCGGCGCCCACGAGGTCGTGTGGACGGACATTTGTCGGCCGAGACGTTCAAGGCGTCGAGGGCCGCGGCGCGACGACGCTCAGCGTGTCGAGCGGGGCGAGAATGACGACAAGAGCACGAGGAGAGAGTGTCGGCGCGCCGAGAGAGGGAGCTGGGCGGGCTCAGATGCCGCACGGGCCGCACGTTCGCCCTCTTCTCCGCTCCCTCGCCGCCCTACGCGCCACACACATGCCCGCGACTCTCAAAGCCCTCGTACTGACACTCGTTGTCCCGCCGGCCTCCCACTCGCAGCCCATCATCTAGTGCGCCGGCTCCCCGACCTCTCTTCCTCCTCCTCGACTCGTCGACTGACGTCCCCTCCTCTCCTCCCCACTCGACAGCACGCCCATCATCGGCCTCGCGTGCCAGAACTGGTCCCTCATCCACCCGCCGCCACCGGCCAACGACGACACGGTCCGCTCGCTCTACCTCTCGTACTCGGACCTGCCGCGCCTGCCCGAGATCATCAAGAACCTCAAGACGACCATGCCCCACGACCAGATGGAGATCTCGGTGCGTCCACGCTTCTCTGTTCCTCTCGAATTTCTCCCGCCGTCGCCGAGCGCAGGACGAGAAACTGACCTTCTCGATTCCCCCTCGTCGGCCTCGTCCTCGCCCGCTCGCAGGTCGTCACGGACGGTTCGCGCGTTCTCGGCCTCGGTGACCTCGGTGTCGGCGGCATGGGCATCTCGCAGGGCAAGCTGTCGCTGTACGTCGCCGCCGGCGGCGTCAACCCGAAAGCGGTACGTCTCGGCCCTCTTCGCCGTCTCTTTCCGCCTTCACGGGCCTCCTAGATCGTTACTGACTGGCTCTGTACCGCCCGTACCGCCCACAGACGCTCCCGATCGCGATCGACTTTGGAACGGACAACGAGAAGCTCCTCGCCGACCCGCTCTACGTCGGCCTGCGCCAGCGTCGCCTCGCCGACGACAAGTGCGAGGAGTTCATGGAGGTCTTTATGCGCGAGATGCACAAGGAGTTCCCCAACATGGTGCGTCGAGCCTCGTCCTTCGCTCGAGTGCGCGCGAGCCGGGCTGTCGCGCTCGGCTCGCTCGATAGTTCCTCGCGCGCCGCAGCTCACGCTCTCTCGCCCCGTCCGCAGATCATCCAGTTCGAGGACTGGCACACGACGCTCGCGTTCCCGCTCCTGCACAAGAACCGCGACATCTACCCCTGCTTCAACGGTGCGTCGCAGCTCCCTTCCCCGAGCCCGTCCCTCCCCTCGAGCCCGTTCCTGACTCTCCTCTCCTCTCTCTTGCGCACCGCCCGAACAGACGACATCCAGGGCACGGGCGCCGTCGTCCTCGCGGGCGCGATCCGCGCGTTCGCGCTCAACGGCGTCGCGCTCAAGGACCAGAAGATCCTGTTCTTTGGCGCCGGCGGCAGCGGCGTCGGCGTCGCCGAGACGATCGCCAAGTACTTTGAGCACCAGGGCTGCACCGAGCAGGAGGCCAAGGACAAGTTCTGGCTCGTCGACTCCAAGGTGCGCCCCCTCTTTTCTCGTCGTCATCGTCGTCCCCGAGCGCGACCTTCCCAAACTGACTCTTGGCCTCGCCCGTCCTCCCTCTGCAGGGCCTTGTTGCGCACAACCGTGGCGACAAGCTCCCGATCCACAAGCAGTACCTCGCGCGCGCCGAGCCCGACGCGCCGAAGCTCCGCACCCTCAAGGAGGTCGTCGAGCACGTCAAGCCGACCGCGCTCCTCGGCCTGTCGACCGTCGGTGGCACGTTCACCAAGGAGAGTGCGTCGCTGTCGTTCCTCTCTCTGTCTCTTGCGTGACGCGCTCGCACGCCGAGAGGCGCATGGCCCGGCGACGAGAGCTCACACGGACCTCTTCCTTCCTTCCCTCCTCTTGCTCCCTCTCCCTCCTCCCTTTCTCCCTTCTCTCTTCGCTCCCTCTCGAACTCGTTCTCCTCGCAGTCCTCAACCTCATGGCGACGTACAACAAGCGCCCGATCGTCTTTGCGCTGTCGAACCCTGTCGCGCAAGCCGAGTGCACGTTCGAGGAGGCGATCGAGGGCACCGACGGCCGTGTCCTGTTCGCTGCCGGCTCGCCGTTCGACCCGGTCAGCTACCAGGGAAAGCGGTACGAGGCGGGCCAGGGCAACAACATGGTGCGTCCCGGCGCGAGGCGTTCTCTCTCCTCCCCCTCCCCTCTACCTCTCCCCCTGCCCTGGCTGTGCACAGGTCAGGG